AATGCTGTGAACACAGTCCTATCCTCTCCGCCAGATGCCGGCCCTTCGGTCAGCTCTGTGTCTGCTACTCGTCATTCTCTCTTCAGGACCAATTACCTCGATGCTTTGTGTGCTGAGCAATTTTGGGTTGTATTGTGGGCGTCCTAAACATTGTGTGATAAGGTACTGGGTCTTGTTTAAATTCTGTGCAGATTGAGAATACTTTTGGGTTTTTTGGGGGGACATGGCTTTTTGTTGTTTTGTTTTTGAGACAGAGTTTCGCTCTTGTTACCCAGGCTGGAGTGCAATGGCGCGATCTCAGCTCACCGCAACCTCTGCCTCCTGGGTTCAGGCAATTCTCCTGCCTCAGCCTCCTGAGTAGCTGGGATTACAGGCACGCGCCACCATGCCCAGCTAATTTTTTGTATTTTTTTTTAGTAGAGACGGGGTTTCGCCATGTTCCGGGATGGTCTCGATCTCTTGACCTCGTGATCCACCCGCCTCAGCCTCCCAAAGTGCTGGGATTACAGGTGTGAGCCACTGTGCCCGGCCCGGGGTTTTGTTTTTGAGACGAATTCTCCCTCTGTCTCCCAGGACAAGTGCACTGGTGTGATCTCGGCTCACTGCAATGCTCCCCCCGCCCCGCCCAGGTTCAAGAGATTCTCCCACCTCAGCCTCCTGAGCAGCTGGGATTACAGGCGTGTACCACCATGCCTGGCTAATTTTTGTATTTTTAGTAGAGATGAGGTTTCATCATATTGGTCTGACTGGTCAGGAATTCCCAGACTCAGGTGATCTACCCGCCTCGGCCTCCCAAAGTACTGGGATTGTAGGTGCGAGCCACCCACACCCAGCCTGTTTTAGTTTTGTTGATACAGGGTCTCCCTCTGTTGTCGAGGCTGGAGCACAATGGCACGACCTCAGCTCACTGTAGCCTCCACCTCCCAGGCTTAAGCGATCCTCTCACCTCAGCCTCCCGAGTACCTAGGATTACAGGTGCGTGCCACCGTGTTCCGCTAATATTTGCGTTTTTTGGTAGAGATGGAGTTTCACCATGTTGCCCAGGCTGGTCTTGAACTCCTGACCTTAAGTGATCCTCCTGCCTTGGCCTCCCAAAGTGCTGGGATTACAGGCATGAGCCACCGCACTCAGCAATACTTTTGTTTTGACAGGTCACCGCCTCGTTTGCTTCAGGGCCTGTGTTCTGAGCGGCCTTCTGTGGGCTGTGCTTCCAAGGTCAGTTCTGACTTCAGACCTGTTGCAGTGACTTTCTAATCTGTCCTCCCCATGGACCACCCACTGGTCGGACTGGGACCCGGACGGTGTCGAGTCCCTTCATTGTGTCCTCAACGTCTTTGGAATGCTGTCTAGGCTCAGATCCACGTGCAACTTAGGGACAAACACAGAAATTCATCAAAACTACTTTTTTTTTGCGAGAGAGAGTTCTGCTCTTGTTGCCCAGGCTGGAGTACAATAGCGTGATCTCGGCTCACTGCAACCTCTGCCTCCTGGGTTCAAGTGATTCTTCTGCCTCAGCCTCCCGAGTAGCTGGGATTACAGGCACGTGCCACCACACCCGGCTAAGTTTGTATTTTTAATAGAGACAGGGTTTCTCCATGTTGGTTAGGCTGGTCTTGAACTCCCAACCTCAAGTGATTTGCCCACCTCGGCCTCCCAAAATGAAACACAGCTTTCTTAGGTCACTTTCCCAGTCTCTTCCTTCTCCATGGTACTTTCTGGTTTTCTCCCCTTTGTTGGTCCTCCAGCCAGAAAGTTGGGGCCTTAGCTCCCCACTTGCCTCACACTTCCTGCGACTGTACGTGCATCCAGGGCTAAGTGGGCAGGAGGCTTCGGGGGAAAGAAGGTGGCACTGGGGCTGGTGCTGCCCCCGGGGGGCCACAGAACCTTGATCAGGCTGGAGGTGTCCCTCCTTCAGAGTTCTCAGCACCAAAGAACAGAGAAACAGAAGGGGAAATGAGGGATTCCCCACCCTCTGAGCATTAGGAGGCCATTATTATTAATTCGTTAATTTATTTGTTTGTTTCTTGAGATGGAGTCTCGCTCTGTCACCCAGGTTGGAGTGCAGTGGTGGAATCTCTGCTCACTGCAGCCTCTGCCTCCTGGGTTCAAGCAATTTTCCTGCCTCAGCCTCCTGAGCAGCTGGGACTACAGGTACCCACCACCACGTCCATCTAATTTTTGTAATTTTTGGTAAGGATGAGATTTCACCATGTTGGCCAGGCTGGTCTCGAACTCCTGACCTCAGGTGATCCGTCTGCCTCGGCCTCCCAAAGTGCTGGGATTACAGGCTTGAGCTGCTGCACCTGGCTGGCCCTTACTGCTATAATACGATAATATATTTATTGAACTTAGGGCCTTAGGACTTTTTTTTTTCAAGAGAGTCTTAAAATCTTGCTCTGTCACCCAGGCTGGAGTGCAGTGGTTTCATCATAGCTCACTGCAGCCTCGACCGCCTGGGCTCCGGCGACCCTCCTGCCTCAGCCTCCCAAGTAGCTGGGACACTGGGCCAATTTTTATTTGTTTCTAGAGATGGGAGATCTTGCTGTGTTGCCCGGCTGGTGTCCAATTCCTGGGCTCAAGCAATCCTTCCACCTTGGCCTCCCTAAGAGCTGACATCACAGATGTGAGCCACCACGCCTGAAAATTGTGTTTGCAATGAAGAGTTTTAAGAGATTGGGTGTTATTTTCAAAGTGGAATAGCAGCAAATAGTCTTTTATTTTTCTGGAGTGCAGTCGTGTGCTCTCGGCTCACTGCATCCTCTGCCTCCCTGGTTCAAGCAGTTCTCTGCCTCAACCTCCTGAGTAGCTGGGATTACAGGCAGCCCCCACCACACGGGGCTAATTTTGTATTTTTAGGAGATATGGGGTTTCATCATCTTGGCCAGGCTGGTCTTGAACTCCTGACCTCATGATCCACCCACCTCGGCCTCCCAAAGTCCTGGGATTACAGGCGTGAGCCCTGGTGCCCGGCCCACATTGCTTTCCATTCCCAGCCCCTGACACACACATCTAGAAACACAAGTTTGACGAGAGCCAGGATTTTTATCTGTCCTGTTTCTGGTTGTATCCCTGAACAGCTGAGAGTTTTAGACACAGAGTATGCACTCCATAAATATTTTTAGGCTGAGCATGGTGGCTCACGCCTGTAGTACCAGCACTTTGGGAGGCAAACGAGGGAGGATTGCTTGAGCCCAGGAGTTGAAGACCAGCCTGGGCAACATAGGAGATGCTGTGTCTACAACACAAAAAATAACAAAATCGCCACGCGTGGTGGAGGGCATCTGCTGTCCCAGCTGCTTTGGAGGCTGAGGTGGGAGAATCGTTTGAGCCCAGGAGCTGGAGGCTGCGGTGAGACGTCACTGCACCACTGTACTTCAGGCTAGGCGACAGAATTAGATCCTGCCTCTAAAATAAAAATATTTTTAAATTACATCAATGAATGAATGAAAAGGTGTTTGGGGCTGGGCATGGTGGCTCATGCCTGTAATCCCAGCACTTAGGGAGGCCAAGGCAGGTGAATCCCAGGGTCAGGAGTTTGAGACCAGCCTGGCCAACATGGTGAAACCCTGTCTCTATGAAAAATGCAAAATTTAGCTGGGTGTGGTGGGAGGTACCTGTAATCCCAGCTACTTGGGAGGGTAAGGCAGGGGAATCACTTGAACCTGGGAGGCGGAGGTTGCAGTGAGCCAAGATTGCACCACTGCACTCCAGCCTGGATAGCAGAGTAAGACTCCGTCTCAAAAAAAAAAAAGTATTTTGAAGCTCTGGGAAGGAAGTGGTTAACTGTCTTCTGGCAGACCTCGGAAAGAATGCCTTTTCTTTTTTTTTTTTTTTTTTGAGTCAGCCTCTCGCTCTGTTGCCCAGGCTGAAGTGCAGTGGTGTGGTCTCAGCTCACTGTAACCTCCGCCTCCTGGGTTCAAGCGATTCTTCTGCCTCAGCCTCCCAAGTAGCTGGGATTACAGGCACCCACCACCACTATGCCCAGCTAATTTTTATATTTTTAGTAGAGATGGCATTTTACCATATTGGCCAGGCTGGTCTTGAACTCCTGACCTTGTGATCTGCCCACCTCTGCCTCCCAAAGTGCTGGGATTAAGGGCATGAGCCAATGAGTCTGGCCAGACTTTTTACTTTTTATCTACCCCTAAGGATGAGTTGAGAATTGAGCAGATGGAGAGAGGTGGGAAGTTTGCTCCAGGCAGAGGGAACTGTGTGTGTGGGGGGGAGGGAGGCGGGGGGCAGGGGCGGGACTGAGGGAGCTGGGGGTGGAGCTTGGCTCGTAAGTCCCTGTGGCTGCGGTGCAGAGCGTGATTGGCAAGTCACACAGGATGAAGCTCGACAGACTTGATGAGGTCATCAAAGTAGAGAAGCTGGGGCTCCTGGTACACTGGGAGCCGGGGGAGGAATATGAGCAGAGCGCAGCAGGCTCCTCTCTGGGGCCGTTTGGGGAGTGGGCCAGAGGGAAGAGAGTGATGGCTAGGAGGCCAGGGAGGAGGCTGGGTTGGTGGTCCAGGCAGGAGACGGTGAAGTATGAATGAGCTGGGGTCTGGGTGTGGGGATGCAGAAGGTGGAATTGGGCAGAGAAAGTCAGGGGAGTGGCAAGGATGGGGCTGGGGCTACTGGGTTGTGGGAGCTGAAGGGGAGAAAAGGGAAGAGGAAGGTGCCTGGGGTGTGGCCTGGTGACTGGGCAGACAGTGGCTCCACCCCTGAGGTACAGAATCTGGGAGACTGGGGTGTGGGAGGCAGATGCTGAGTGCAGGAGACTGTGGGGAGAGGTGGGGGGCCAAGAGCTTTTTAATGTAATTCAGAAATTCTGCATGTAGCATTTTATGTTGAGGCTGGGCACGGTGGCTCACACCTGTAATCCCAGCACTTTGGGAGGCTGAGGCGGGCAGATCACTTGAGGTAGGGGGAGAGACCAGCCTGGCCAACATGGTGAAACCCATCTCTCTCTCTCTTTTTTTTTTTTTTTTTTTTAAGATGGGGTTTCACCATGATGGCCAGGCTGGTCTTGAACTCCTGACCTCAGGTGATCCACCCACCTCAGCCTCCCAAAGTGCTAGGATTACAGGCGTGAGCCATGGTGCCAGGCTGGCGAAACCCATCTCTACTAAAAATTAGAAAAATTAGCCGGGCGTGGTGGTGGGTGCCTGTAGTCCTAAGTTCTCAGAAGACTGAGACAGGAGAATCACTTGAACCCAGGAGGTGGAGGCTGCAGTGAGCCAAGGTCTGCATCACTAAGCTCCAGCCTGGGCGACAGCAAAAGATTCCATAGTAACATGTCAAATTTTCGGTGCCGCAAAAGAAGTAGCACTTGAACATAAATTTCCTCAGCAAGGCAATTTACTTCTATAGAAGGGTGTGGCTCACAGATGGAGCAATGGGGAGTGCACAGCTGGACAAGGGAGGGGAAGGGGTCCTTACTCCTGACAGAGGTCGCCCCTACTGCTGTGTGGTGCTCCTGTTGGCTAGGGGTAGACTGCACGGTCTAGGCTAATTCTGATTGGCTGTTTTAAAGAGAGCAGCGGTATCAGCCAGAGTGGCGGGGTGGGTAGTTTGATGGGAAGGACGTTGATGGGTAGACTAGAGCAGGTAGCCAGGGGTGACCTGGGTCAAAGCAGGTGACTGGAGCAGGTGACCGGGATGAATCAGGACAGAGCAGGGAACTGGGGGGACAGATGTGAACTACTGATTAGAACTCGTGGAGAAGGTTGTTTACTGAAACTACCAGGAAATTAAACTTTAGAATGGAGGACGAAGACCTCGACACACTGATTCTTTGTAGAGAAATTTGGAACTCATTATATCCAACACTGTCTCAAAAAAGAAATGACAGAAAAAACCCCAAACAACAACACATTTTATTACAGAAAAAGTTAAAATCTACAGAAAAGTAGAGAATGAGACGGTGAAACCCCGAGTGCTCATCATTCAGCTTCAGCGTGAAATACTCCGCTGCTCCTCCTCTGTTTACGATCCCACCCTAACTGGATTATATTTTGCTGTAGGATTTAATAGCACATCTGGTGCTGCTTAAAAATGGAAATGATTTTGTCTTGGCGGCAGTAATGGTATGGTATGTTCTCTAAAGGATTGATTCTGTGCTGAACATACAAAAAAAGTAGAACATAAACGGGTTGGGTGCCGCGGCTCGCACCTGTAATCTCAGTGCTTTGGGAGACTGAGGGAGGAGGATTGCTTGAGCCCAGGAGTTTGAAACCAGCCTGGGCAACAGGGCAAAAACCCCATCTCTACAAAAAATAAAACACAAAACATTAGGTGTGGTGACGTGTGCCTGAGGTTTCGGCTACTGGAGAGGCTCAGGCAGGAGGATCACTTGAACCCTGGAGGTTAAGGCTGCAGTGAGGTGAGATTCCAGCCTGAGCAACGGAGCAAGAACCCCGTCTCAGAAAGAATAAAACCAACATAAACGTCATTCTCCATTGCAATTCTCATGCAACTGATGTTAAGGTTTGGTTCTATATCCTCCTAGACGCTTTACACAGATATTGTTGCAAAAGTAGGAGTGTACCGTTGTGACAGGAATGCCACACCAAAGATGGCTCCCTCGCCATGAGAAGAGCACCTCACCTGAGTGGCCCAAGAGCATCTAGAGGCATCTCTCTCTCACGGCAGACTGGGCTCCCCCCTTTCCTGCCGCGTCCTTTAAACGGACCATTCAGACGTTTGCCTGTGAACTTACAAGTGACCCACACCCTTTCCCCTGCACACCTACTCTGCGCTGCCAAGCATCCTTGCTCGCTCTCTGACTGTCCTTCACTCCTGCCTTGCAGGACCCCGGGATGGCGCACTGTCCTCCCACATTGCACCTGCCTTTCCCAGGATCTGTAAGTCCTAAATCTTTGACCTTATTTTCTTTTTCTTTTTGAGACGGAGTTTCCCCGTTACCCAGACTGGAGTGCAATGGCACAATCTCAGCTCACCGCAACCTCTGCCTTCTGGGTTTTTTGGGTTCAAGCAATTCTCCTGCCTCAGCCTCCCGAGTAGCTGGGACTACAGGCAATCACCACCATGCCCAGCTAATTGTTGTATTTTTAGTAGAGATGGGGTTTCACCTTGTTAACCAGGATGGTCTCGATCACTTGACCTCGTGATCCACCTGCCTCAGCCTCCCAAAGGCATGAGCCACAACACCCGGTCTGACCTTATTTTCTTTTTAAAAAAAAATTTGGCCAAGCTCAGTGGCTCATGTCTGTAATCCCAGCACTTTGGGAGGCCGAGGCAGGGAGATCACCTGAGGTCAGGAGGGAGTTCCAGACCAGCTTGACCAACATGGTGAAAACCCATCTTTACTAAAAATACAGAACATTAGCTGGGCGTGGTGGCGCGTGCCTGTAATCCCAGTTACTGGGGAAGCTGAGGAAGGAAAATCGCTTGAAACCAAGAGGCGGAGGTTGCAGTGAGCTGTGATCGCACCATCGCGCTCCAGCCTGGGCCACAAGAATGAAACTCTGTCTCAAAAAATTTTTTTATTTGCATAGGTGATTGGGGAACAGGTGGCGTTTGGTTACATGAGTAAGTTCTGTAGTGGATGCGTGAGGTGGGTGCAGCATCTCCTGAGCAGTATACACTACACTGAATCTGTAGTCTTCGTCCCTCACCCCTCCCACCCCGAGTCCCCAAAGTCCACTGTGTCATTCTTATGCCTTCGTATCCACAAAGCTTAGTTCCCATTTATGATGGTTGGTTTTCATTCCTGAGTTACCTCACTTAGGATAATAGCCTCTAATCCCGTCTGGGTTGCTGCGAATGCCATAAACTCCTTCCTTTTTATGGCTGAGTAGTAGTCCATGGTGTGTGTGTGTGTGTGGGTGTATATATATACACACACACATATACATATATAGCGATTAGATTATATACATGTGTATATACATATATAGAATATAGATTATATATACATATGTATATATACTTATATCGACTAGACTAGATTATATAAACGTGTATATAGACTATAGATTATAGATAAACATGTGTATATACATGTATATATGTATATATACACACATAGATACATATACACATATACACAGTGTACACATGATAGATACATATGTATACAGGAGAGGAGGGGAGCTGGGTGTGATGTCCACGTCCTTCCATACCTAGGCGTGTATTTCTCAGGATACTTCTACCTGGTGGATGACCTAATGCCCAATTGTCTGACATGACCAGGGATCCCTCACATGGAAAGCTTGTTCTACCGCAGACCATAAACTGGACACAGGTCGTTCGTATACATGTTTATGTAGGTATAGAGCATGCATCTATCATGTATATATGTATATGGATATGTGTGTGTGTGTACACACACAAACACACACACACCCCACAGTTTCCTTATCCACTCATTGATTGATGGGGATTTGTGTTGGTTTCAGTCTTTTTTTTTTTTTTTTTTGAGACAGCCAAGCGCCAGGCTGGAGTGCAGTGGCACAATCTCAGCTCACTGCAACCTTCGCCTCCCGGGTTCAAGTGATTCTCCTGCCTCAGGCACCCGCCATCACGCCCGGCTAGTTTTTGTATTTTTAGTAGAGACGGGGTTTCGCCCTGTTGGCCAGGATGGTCTCGATCTGTTTTTTTTTTTTTTTTTTTTATGGTGAAAAGATACATATTCAGAATTAGCCAGTCGGACTCAGTTTAGATGATCCCAATTTTGTTGGCAACATCCAAAGCGTCGTCATCAGGAGCCAGCGGGACATACGCCTTCTCTGCATCAGGCCGAATCCGGGTGCTGACCTTGGCCACATCGGTGTCCCTGAGCTCTTCACGGCCTGTTGGATCCGGTGCTTGTCGGCTTTAACCTCCACAGCGAACACAAGCGCGTTGTCTTCTGTCTTCTTCATGGCGGACTCAGTGGTCAGCGGAAACTTGAGAGCATCGTGGTCAAGCTCGTTTCTCCTGGGGACGCTCTTCCGAGGACATCTGGGCGGCCTCCGGAGTCGCCGCGTCTTGGGCCGCAGGAAGGTGGGTGACGTGCGGATCTTCTTTTTGTGGCCGCGGACACCTTTCAATGCTGCCTTCTTGGCCTTTAAAACCTTTGCTTTGGCTTCGGCTCTAGGAGGTGCGGGAGCTTCCTTCTTCGCTTTCCGCGCCATCTTGTGAAAAGGGTCCAGTCTCGATCTCTTGACCTGGTGCTCCGCCCGCCTCCGCCTCCCAAAGCGCTGGGATTACGGGCGTGAGCCACTGCGCCCGGCTGGGCTCATAGTTTTGCATTTGCAAATTGTGCTGCTGTAAACGTGTTCTTTTCCTCTGGGTCGATCACCAGTAGCAGGATCGCTGGACCCGAGGGTGGTTGTACTTGCAGCTCTTATGTGAATCTGCACGGTTTTCCGTAGTGCTTGTGCTACACACATATAGATGCATATACATATGTACACAGTGTACACACAATAGATACATATATACAGGACAGGAGGGGAGCTGGGTGTGATGTCCACGTCCATCCATACCTAGGTGTGTATTTCCACCGGCACGTGGAAGGGGTCCCTGTTGACCACATCCACGCCGTCTGTGGTTTTTTGGTTGTGGCCATCCTAGCAGGGGTGAGGTGGTGTCACCATGTGGTTTGGATTTGCATTTCCCTGCTCATTTGTGATGTGGAGCATTTGTTGTCCATCTTCTTTTGAGAACCCCCCGTGCATGCATGTCCTCAGCCCACTTTTCGGTGGGACTGCTTGTTCTTGCTGGCTTGTTTGCTGTGGATTCTGGATATTGATATCAGTCGTTTGCCAGATGTCTAGATTACGAAGATTTTCTCCCACTCTGTGGGTTGTGTGTTTGCCCTGCTGACTGTTCCTTCTGCTGTGAGAAAGCTCTTGTTAAGACCCAGGCCGGGTGAGGGGGGCTCACGCCTGTAATCCCAGCACTTTGGGAGGCCAAGGTGGACGGATCACGAGGTCAAGAGATCGAGACCGTCCTGGCCAAGATGGTGAAACCCAGTCTCTACTAAAAATACAAAAATTAGCTGGGCGTGGTGGTGCGCGCCTGTAGTCCCAGCTACTTGGGAGGCTGAGGCAGGAGAATTGCCTGAACCCAGGAGGTGGAGGTTGCAGTGAGCAGAGATCAGATTCTTAGATTCACAGGATGTTCATGATGCCCACTACAGTTTTGTTTGTTTGAAACAGAGTTTCACTCTTGTTGCCCAGGCTGGAGTGGGATGGCATGATTTCAGTTCACTGCGACCTCTGCCTCCTGGGTTCAAGCAATTCTGTTTCAGCCTCCTGAGTAGTTGGGACTACAGGGTTACCCACCACGCCCAGCTCATTTTGTAGTTTTAGTAGAAAGGGAGTTTCACCATGTTGGTGAGGCTGGTCTTGAACTCCTGACCCTCATGATCTGCCCTCCTTGGCCTCCCAAAGTGCTGGGATTACAGGAGTGAGCTACTGTGCCTGGCCCACAAATGGCTATTAAAATTAAATTTTAAATTCAGTTCCTCAGTCTCATCTGCCCTCATTCATTGAATTCACCCATTTTCAAGTGCTCAGTAGTGTCATGTGCACACGTAGGCCACTCCTAAGATCACAGAGTCCCACTTAACAGTGCTGTCCCAGGTGATGGTTCTCAAACGAGGCTGCTCACTGGAATCACCTGGAAACTTTTTAAACCCCAAAACTCAGGTTTTTTTGTTTGGAGACAGGGTCTTGCTTTGTCACCCAGGCTGGAATGCAGAGGCGTGATGACAGCTCACTGCAGCCTCGGCCTCCGGGCCCAAGCAGTCCTTGTGCTCAGCATCTTCAGTGGTTGAGAGCACCATCATGGCCAGCTAATTATTTTTGTGTGTGTGGACATAGTGTCTCCCTATGTCGCCCAGGCTAGTCTCAAACCCCTGAGCTCAAGTGATCCTCCTGCCTTGGCCTCCCAAAGTGTTGGGATTACAGGCGTGAGCCTCCACGACCAGCCACAACTCAGTTTTCATTGGGCGGTAATTTACAGGCAAAAAGCACAGATATTAAATGTATACTTTAATGAGTTTTGACAGATGACCCATGTCACCAACACCCCAATTTCCATAACTCCTGAGTTACTTTGGGTTCCCTTCTCTTCACCCTAGAAGCAATGACTGATTTCCATCACTGGGTATTCGTCTCACCTGTTCCTGGGTTTTATAGAAATAGTTCACATGGTGTGTAGACATTTGTGTCTGGCCTGTTGCATTCCACATGTTTGCTAACCCCAGGGTCATAAAGATACTCGACACTTTCTTCTGGAAGTTTCTAGTTTTGGCATTTAAATTTAGGCCTTTGGTTCCTATTAATTATGGGGTGGGGGTAAGGTATGTGGCAGGGACAAGGTTTATTTTTTTTCTATACGGCAGTTACCGCACTGTTTGCTGAAGAGAGTTTCCCTGACCCACTGAATGGCTGTGGTATCTATATTGATCATATGTGTACAGGTTTATTTCTGTTCTGTTGATCTTTTGGGTTTTTTAGCCCAATATGACACGCCTTGGCTTCTGTAGCTTTCTAGTAAATCTTGAAATTAGATAGTATGATTCTCCAATGTGTTCTTTCTCAAGATTGTTTGGAATCATTTAGATATTTTGGATTTTTGAGATGGAGTCTTGCTCTGTCGCCCAGGCTGGAGTGCAGTGGTGCGACCTCAGCTCGGTGCAACCTCCCTGCCTCCTGGGTTCAAGTGATTCTCCTGCCTCAGCCTCCCGAGTAGCTGGGATTACAGGCAACCACCACCATGCCTGGCTAATTTTCAATTTTTAGTAGAGATGGGATTTGCCATGTGGACCAGGCTGGTCTCAAACTCCTGGCCTCAAGTGCTCCTCCCGCCTCAGCCTCCCAAAGTGCTGGGATGACCGGTGTGATCTATTGCACCTGGTCGGTCCTTTGCATTTTCATACTCATTTTAGAACCGGTCAGTTCCGCAGCAAAGCTGGCTGGAATTTGAAATGCCACTGTGTCGAATGTGTAGATCGGCTCGGGAGAACTAACATCTTAACACTAACGATTGTTTTGTTTTTTTTGAGACAGCATCTCACTCTTCCACCCAGGCAGGAGTGGAGCGGTGCCATCTCGGCTCACTGCAGCCTCAGCCTGGTAGGCTCAAGCGATTCTCCTACCTCAGTCTCCTGAGTTGGGACACAGGTGCGCCCAGGTAAATTTTTGTATTTTTAGTAGAGACAGGGTTTCACCATGTTGGCCTCAAATTGCTGAGCTCATGTGACCCGCCGGCCTCAGTCTTAGCCTCCCAAAGCGCTGGGATTACAGGCATGAGCCACCACACAGCCTACACTAATGATTCTTTGAATTCATGAACAAATCTTTCCATTTATGTAGGTCTTTAATTTCTCTCAAAAACACCTTGTAGTTTTCAGCGTAGAGATTCTGAATCTCTTTTGTTAAATATAGTTTTAGCATTTGATTTTTGAGGCTGCCGTAAATGGTTTTTTAAAGATTTCATTTAACCATGGTTGTTGGTAGCATGCAGAGACAGGATGATTTCTGTATACCGGCTTTTATTTTTGTGACTTTCCTAAGTGCACTTACTCTAGTAGCTGATTTTAGCCGATTCCTTAGGGTTTTCTGACTATACACTTACGACATCTGTGTATAAAGATGGTTTTACTTCTTAGCCAGTTTCTAAGTTTTTTGTATCTTTTTCTTGCCTTCTCTCCCTGGCTAGGGACATCACTATGGTGCTGAATAGAAATGGCGTAAAGGGATTTCCCCTCCCTGTTTTCAGTATTAGGGGAAGTATTCAGTATTTCACCATTTATTTTTATTTTTTATTTATTTAAAGACAGGGTTTCACCATATTGGTCAGGCTGGTCTTGAACTCCCGACCTCAGGTGATCCGCCCGCCTTGGCCTCCAAAGTGCTTGGATTACAGGCGTGAGCCACCGCACCCGGCCTGTGTTTCACCATTGAGTATGATGTTCGCTGTAGTTTTGTTGCTGTTTTTTGGTAGAAAGTGATTTGTTTGAGAGAGAGAGAGAAACAGGAGAAGGAGAGAGAAAGAAACAGGTAACTTTTACCCTGAGTGAGAGAATCCAGAAAGATGGAATCCAGGAGAGGAAAGCAGCTTCCTCTGAGTGGAAGAGAACAGAGTTGGAGTTTAGGAGGGGATGACAGACTTCCACGAGTGTGTGTGGGGAAGGGGACTCCAGAGGGGAGATCCAGGAGCGGGAGAAACAGCTTCCACGAAGGGAGTGTTCATGGAAGGAGATCCGAACGTGGAGTCCCGTTTGCTGTAGTTTGTCATTGTTGATATTCTTAACACAGTGAACGGTTCTCAACCAAGGGTTATTTCCCACCTCCTCCAGGGACATTTGGTAACGTCAGGTGACATTTTTCATCGTCACAACTGGGGGGGAGCGCTGATGCTGGCATCTTGAGGGTGAAGGCTAGGGATCCTGGCAAACATTCTGCAGTGCACAAAACAGCCTCTCCCCACCCCAACCAAGAATTTTCTGGGCAAAATCCCAATAACGTTCAAGTGGAGAGTCTGCCTAGCAGGTGGAAGTTCTGTTGTTTCTAGTTTGAGCAGGTTTTTTTTCCCCACGAATAGAGGTGTTGAATTTTGTCAAATGTTTCTTCCCCTTAATCTATTAATGTAATTGATTAAGTGCTGGGATAAACCCACTTCTTATACTGTATCCACTTTATATATCAGTGGATTACATTTGCTGACATTTGAGACACTGTCTTGTTCTGTTGCCCAGGCTGAAGTGGCACGATATCGGCCTGCTGAAACCTCCACCACCTGCGTTCAAGGGATTCTCCTGCCTCAGCCTCCCAAGTAAGTGGGATTACAAACATACGTTACCACACCCGGCTCATTTTCTTGTATTTTTAGTAGAGACAGGGTTCCGCCATGTTGGCCAGGCTGGTCTCGAACTCCTGACCTCAAGTGATCCGCCTGCCTCGGACTCCCAAAGTGCTGCCATTACAGGCACATGCCGGGCCGAATTTAACTTTTAAACTTAGAAATGGGGCTATTTAGGTTTTCTACTTGCATTAATCTTGGTAATTTGTACCTTGCAAGGAGTTTGTCTGTTTCCTTTAAGTTGTTGAACTTCTTAGTATAAATTTGACGATATTTCACTATTTTGTCATCGGGATCTGTAATGATGCTCCCTTTATTTTTTGAGATGGAGTCTCACTCTGTTGCCCAGGCTGGAGTGCAATGGCATGATCTTGGCTGCTCAGCCTCCCGCGTAGCTGGGATTACAGGCACCCACCACCACACGCAGCTAATTTTTGTATTTTTAGTGGAGATGGGTTTCGCCATGTTGGCCAGGCTGATCTTGAACTCCTGACCTCAGGTGATCTGCCTGCTTCGGCCTCCCAAAGTGCTGGGATTACAGGTGTGAGCCACCGCGCCCGGCCCTTTTTCTTTTTTAGATGGTCTGTCTGTCTCTGTTGCTCAGGCTGGAGTGTAGTAGCACAATCTCAGCTCACTGCAGCCTCAGCCTCCCAAGTAGCTGGGGTTACAGGCACCCACCACCACGCTCAGCTAATTTTTGTCTTTTTAGCAGAGACGGGGTGTTGGCACGTTGGCCAGGCTGGTCTTGAACTCCTGACCTCAGATGATCTGCCTGCCTCAATCTCCCAAAGTGCCTGGATTATAGGTGTGAGCCACTGTGCTCGGCCAATTCTCTGTATTTAAAATGTTTTTTTTTCTCAGTCTATCTTCTCCACCAGCTACTGAGAGGGAGGTGTTGCAATCTCTATGATTATGAATTTATCTATTTTGAAACTCTGATGAGCTGCATAAGCATTTCTATAATTCGGGCTTCCTGCTGCACTGACCCATTTCATTCTGCAACCCTCCTCTTAGTCTCTGCTGTGACTTGCCTGGCGTTGGTGCTGAAGTAGCCACACCAGCCTCCGTGTTGGTTTGCATGTATCTTTTTCCATTTCTTTAAACCTCTGTCTTTATAAAGGGCATGTCTTGCCACCAGCACACGGTTGGGTCCTACATTCTTTAGGTTGACAGTTGCTGTCCCGATTCTCTCCCCGCTCCTTCTGAAAATCCAGTTATACATATATTAGTCTTACAGGTCGCTGATATGTTTAGCTTTTTTCAATTTTTTTTTTTTTTTTTTTTTTGAGACGGAGTTTCGCTCTTGTTACCCAGGCTGGAGTGCAATGGCGCAATCTCAGCTCACCACAACCTCCGCCTTCTGGGTTCAGGCAATTCTCCTGCCTCGGCCTCCCGAGTAGCTGGGATTACAGGCACGCACCACCATGCCCAGCTAATTTGTTTTTAGTAGAGACGGGGTTTCACCGTGTTGACCAGGATGGTCTCAATCTCTTGACCTTGTGATCCACCCGCCTCGGCCTCCCAAAGTGCTGCGATTACAGGCTTGAGCCACTGCGCCCGGCCTCTCAATTCTTTCTTTGTGCTTCTCTTTCTATAGTTTCTTTGTAGCGGTCTTCAAGGTAACTGATCCTTTCTTCCACTGGTTCCAGTTTATATTAAACCCATCCAGTGAAACTTTCACTTTTTCAGTTTTAGAATTCCCATGGGTTACTGCAAGGCTACAGTAGAAAAAAGCAGACTGGGCGCGGTGGCTCACACCTGTAATCCCAGCACTTTGGGAGGCCGAGGCGGGCAGATCATGAGGTCAGGAGATTGAAACCATCCTGGCCAACATGATGAAACCCATTTCTACTAAAATACAAAAAATTGGGCATGGTGGTGCATGCCTGTAGTCGCAGCCACTCGGGAGGCTGAGGCAGGGGAATCACCTGAATCTGGGAGACTGAGCTGCAGTGAGCCGAGATGGCGCCATTGCACTCCAGCCTGGTGAAAGGGCAAGACTCCATCTCAAAAAAAGAAAGTATACACACTTCCTCAGCATAATTCCTGGGAATAATGTGAGGATAATTATTGGACCGAACAATTGCTTTGGATGATGGATTCTTCAAGACGGCACTACCTGGTGGCAGGCCATGCTGTTAGTGTCTGCAGGGCTTCTCCTCAGCTGTGTAAAAAGGCTGTCCCCCTAGGAAAACCCCGCCCATCACCCAGATTAAGCACTTACCCACAGATATCAAAACACTCACGACTGTGTGTCCACTGCCCTTCGGTAACTCACAGAAAGTGTGGTTTTTATTCAAGGGCTGCTGCTGCCATGAGGCGTGGGTGTTCGCATCCTTCGACATTCTGATGACAAGAGCAATTCCGCTGTGGAGCATTTGCGAATCCCAATGTCCGCGTGTACCCAAGACCAAGTCAGACTCTCTGAAGGAGGAACTGAGACGTGAGTGTTTTCTGATGCTCCTGAATGATTCAGAGGGACAGCCCAGGTCTGTAACCACTGACCGTGGCCCGAGAGCTTTAAGTGCCTTCTTTGTGACAGAAGTGGTTTTGGAATCTCCCTCCCTCAATTTGCAATTCATGGAAAGCTTAGAGCAGCCGCCTCTGACGATTTTCTTACCTACAGAGTGGTGGATGTTGCATCAGAATATTCCTCTTTTGAGTCGGAGTCTTGCGTTGTCACCCAGGCTGGGGTGCAGCTGCACGATCTCGACTCACTGCAACCTCCAACACCCAGGTTCAAGCGATTCTCACGCCTCAGACTCCTGGGTAGCTGAGACTACAGGTGCCTGCCACCACGCCCAGCTAATTCTTTTGTATTTTTATGAGAGACAGGGTTTCACCACGTTGGCCAGGCTGGTCTCCAGTTCCTGACCTCCGGAGATCCGCCTGCCTTGGCTTCCCAAAGTGCTGGGATTACAGGCATGAGCCCTGGCACCTGGCCGCATTCCTTTTTTAATGGTTTTCTGTGAGAATAAGTAATGTTGTTTTTAGCGGAAGGTCCATGAAGCTGGCAGATTTCTAAAGTAAAGGGAGGGGCCTTTCCTTGTACCTGCAAGGCTCTGATGGCTCATTTCTCAACACAGGTGTGGCCACTGGTGGTGGCCCATTATCCCAGCACTAGAAAGACGATCGATGTGGTCCTCATGGAGCTTATCAGGTTGCCCAGGGCTGCAGCGGGTGGTAGGCCGCCTTGACATAATCATTGCCTCCAGCCTCGGAGGAGGAGAAGGTGGCCCGGCTCAGGGAAGGGAGCACATGGCCTCCTGCCTGATGCCACACGTTCAGGGACGACAAGGTAGAGAGCTGTGGATGGGTGAGAGGAGCTTCTGAGTGGACTTGGAAGGCAGTGGGCTAAGGTAGAGAGCAAAGGGAGAAGCACGAGGCTGGGGCAGAAGGTTCGGAGTCCCAGGCCTCACCTCTGTGATCATACGTCTGAGGCCGGTGACGGTACCTTCCAGGAAGAGACCTCAGAGGAAGAGGGAGAGGAGGAGGATGGAGGGAGGAAGACAGGTGAGCAGCGGCCTCCTGGCCAGCAGGAGTAGAAACAGGAGCGGTGTTAAGGTGGAATTATGGGAGGCACTATTCCAGAGAGAAAATGCTGTCGTACCCGAGCGAGTTGGAATGCGCCACACTCTGAGATTGAATTATGAGTCGTTTATTTTAGCCAGTGACTGAGAGGTTGCTAATACCCGAAATTCTCTCGGCCCTGAAGAAAGAGTTAGGGGGTTTCTTATACCCGAGTTTGAAAAGGGAGGGGGAACCTAGCTGAAGCAACTTTGCTACAGAAGCAGAGTAAGCAAACAGTTAAAAGATAAACTAGTGCATGAGAAATAAAGCAGTACTGGGTGGAAAGCTGGAGCTGTCACATAAAGACATACAACTTACAGACACGGGGGCTCCGGGCGCTCGGCAGCAGCTGCATTCCGGGCTCCACTGGTGCCGCTGTACTCAGCCTCATCAGCAAATGCAGTCCGGGAGGCGCCCGGGGTCATCCTGCCCCAGCTGCTACAGCTGCATACTTAATGAGGGGAGTCACCAAAATGAAGACGCTGAGATGGAGTCTCAGCTGAGAGAGACTCAGTTTAAGCTAAAAAGCGCAGGTATAAACCAAAAAGCAGGTTAGTTATCACAGAGCGAACCGTGAGCTGCCCAGAGTGGGAGTCCATGGAGAGACAGCTTTTCAAGGGTGGGGAGGTGGACTCTTCATTCCCAGGCCTTGTTTTCCCTGTCACCAGGCTGAAATGCAACGGCACCATCTCAGCTCACTGCAGCCTCCACCTCCCAGGTTCAAGCGATTCTCCTGTCTCAGCCTCCAGCATAGCTGGGACTACAGGAGTGAGCCACCACGCCCGGTCTCCCAGGCCTTGGTTTTATGGCTTTTGTGTGAGTTTAGGGCCAGGAGCTAATGAGGCTGAAGACTGCACAGAAGAACATTATAAGTGAAAGGACAGGACAAGAAACGGAGAGAGAATGAACTGCGGCCCCTCTCTCTGTGTATCCATCCCTCTCAAACCTTTAGTAAAGTCAACTTTTGTAGGAGTGGTTGATTTTGGAGGCTGTGAAGAGAGGGTGAGCTGAGGATGGAGATGGATGATGTGAAGATTGACCGTCTGCAGCTGGGCACAGTGACTCACACCTGTAATCCCAGCACTTTAGAAGGATCATGAGGTCAGAAGATCGAGACCATCGTGGCCAACATGGTGAAACCCCGTCTCTACTAAAAATACAAAAATTAGCCGGACGTGGTGGCGCAAGCCTGTAATACCAGTTACTCAGGAGGCTGAGACAGGAGAATGGCTCGACGTGGAAGGCTGAGGCTGCAGTGAACCGAGATCGCACCACTGTACTCCAGCCTGGGTGACAGAGCAAGACTGTCTCAAAAAAAAAGTTGATCACTTGCACGAGTGCAGGAACCAGTTCACCAAAATGATCTAATAAAAAATGTATTTCAGTGTGTTTAAGACAGGGTCTTGCTCTGTCACCTAGGCTGGAGTGCAGTGGCACAATCTCGGCTCACTGCAATGTCTGCCTCTTGGGTTCCAGTGATTCTTCTGCCTCAGCCTCCAGCGTAGGTGGGATTCCAGGTGTGTGCCACCAGACATAGCTAATTTTTGTTATTTTCAGTAGAAACAGAGTTTCACGATATTGGTCAGGCTATTCTTGAACTCCTGACCTCAAGTGATCTGCCTGTCTCTGCGTCCCAAAGTGCTGGGATTTTAGGCACGAGCCACTGCGGCCAACCTGAAATACATTTTTTATGTAAACGGAGCATGATCCAGATGCCAAGGAGATGGATTTAAAGAAAATACTCCGGCCGGGCGCAGTGGCTCACGCCTGTAACCCCAGCCCTTTGGGAGGCCGAGGCGGGTGGATCACGTGGTCAAGAGATCGAGACCATCCTGGTCAACATGGTGAAACCCCATCTCTACTAAAAATACAAAAATTAGCTGGGCATGGTGGTGCGCACCTGTAATCCCAGCTACTCAGGAGGCTGAGGCAGGAGAATTGCTTGAACCCAGGAGGCAGAGGTTGCGGTGAGCCGAGATCGCGCCATTGCACTCCAGTCTGGGTAACAAGAGCAATACTCCGGCCGGACACGGTGGCTCACACCTGTAATCCAGGCACTTTGGGAGCAGGCAGATCACTTGAGGTCAGGAGTTCAAGACCAGCCTGGCCCACATGGTGAAATCCCACCCCTACTAAAAACTGTAAAAGTTAGCTGACATGGTCCCAGGCACGTGTAGTTGCAGCTACTCAGGAGGCTGAGGCAGGAGAATCACTTGAATCCTTAAGACAGAGGTTGCAGTGAGCTGAGATCATAACATTGCATTCCAACCTGGGTGACACCACAAGACTCCATCTTAAAAAAAAAAAAAAAAAAAAGGCCAGACACCATGGCTCATGCCTGTAATTCACCTCAGGTCAGGAGTTTGGGACCAGCCTGACAAACATGGTAAAACCACGTTTCTACTAAAAAAACAAAACAAAACAAAAATACAAAAAATTAGCCGGGTGGTGGCAGGTGCCTATAATCCCAGCTACTTGGGAGGCTGAGGCAGGAGATTGACTGAGCCTGAGCCTCAGAGGTTTCAGTGAGTCAAGATCACGCCACTGCACTCCAGCCTGGGCAACAAGAGCGAAACTCTATCTCCAGGGCGGGGAGGGGGAGGCTCCAAATGGGTAACTGGAATTGGTGCCAGTCAGCTCCTTAGGGGTTAACATGCACGGTCAAAAGTCAGGGAGGTGGAGATGGCTCAGCTGGCGAGACTGTGGTCTGATCTGAAAGGTCGCCCGCAGGTGTCTGCACGCAGAGATGTGGGGATCGGGTCAATAGGAGGCCCGTCTTCAAGTGGTCTGTGAACAGCAGCTCTCTATAAAGAGAACGGCGGCCGGGCGCGGTGGCTCACACCTATCATCCCAGCACTTTGGGAGGTCGAGGCGGGTGGATCACGAGGTCAAGAGATCGAGACCATCCTGGACAACAAGGTGAAACCCCGTCTCTACTAAAAATACAAAAATTAGCTGGGCATGGTGGTGCACACCTGTAGTCCCAGCTACTTGGGAGGCTGAGGCAGGAGAATTGCTTGAACCCAGGAGGCAGAGGTTGCGGTGAGCCGAGATCGCGCCATTGCACTCCAGTCTGGGTAACAAGAGTGAAACTCCGTCTCAAAAATAAATAAATAAATGAATAGAGAACTGTATTTTGACAGTGATGTTAACCCCTAGAGGAGCTGAAATAGAAGAAATCCCAGGAGCTGGCGGTTCTGTTGTACAAGCTCAGCAGGACACACGCAGCAGGGTGGACAAGGTGGGCAGAGACCTTGAGCCCACAGAGGGAGACGGGGGGTTACCAGGGGCTGGGCCCCTCACTTACCAGAATGCTGTCATAGCTCACGCTGCACAGCCCGGGGACAAGCTGCTTCCAGAGCCGGGCGTGGTGCAGAGGCAGCCACTGCCCTCGATCATCTCCATGTGTGAGAACCGGATCCTGAGTGAGAAGAGCATGAAATACCTCAGGATGAAGCTGCCTGGAAAGGCGGCCGGGTGCTGTGCTCAGGTAGCCAGGAGTGCCGGCCTTGCCCCCATTTTCCCCGGGAGCCCATGTGCCCAACCTCGGCTTTCTCCTTCTGGGCCCAGGTCTAGAGGCTCCCAGCCCTGAAGTTCCTTCCTTAAGCTCTGGCCCCAGGCCCCTGGCCTTAGCTCCCCCGCTCCGGTGACACAGGTAAAAAAGTACCACCCGCTGCCCGGCCCGACAGAGAAGGCATCTGGAGGAAGAAGCTCTCACTGTGTCTAGACTGACGTGGTTTTCAGCTTGGTGGCCTTGAGCCTCCCGGACAGGGAACGGGGTCTGGGATGTCTTGGAAGACTCTTCTTGTCAGACCAGGTAATTCCTCCAGGGCCTCCCTGGCTTCTTTTCGAGCCCATTGCATCCTGAGGAAAGCTGAAGCTTAGGTCACCAAGGGCAGCAGACTTGACAGGACACGTCTCGGGTGCCAGGCTGCAAAACGTCCTCACAGGGGTCTTTGAGAACTGAGGGCCAGAGGGGAATCTTGGCCCTCCTCCCCCTGAGTTGGTTCCCTAGGGGAAATAGATATATTACTTTTTGAGACAGGGTCTTGCTCTATCGCCCAGGCTGGGGTACAGAGGTGCCATCTCAGCTCACTGCAGCCTCCGCCTCCCAGGTTCAAGTGATTCTCCTGCCTCAGCCTCCCAAGGCTGAGAAAGAGCAAGACTCCATCTCACGGGGCGGGGTGGGGAAGCTTCGCTGGATTCCACCTTGGGAAAGGCGGGATGAAAGAGCTTTGTGACCCGTCCCCTAGTGCAAGGAGTCAACTCCTGAGAACTAGAAAGAAAAACATTTAAGGGCTCTGGAAACTGTCCTAAAGGCATACAGCAAGTGAGAAAATCTCGAATAAAGAAAACACACTAATAATTCTGGCCAGGCATGGTGGCTTATGCCTGTAATCCCAGCACTGTGGGAGGCCAAGGCAAACAGTTCACTTAAGGTCAGAAGTTTGAGACCAGCCTGGCCAACATGGCAAAACCAGTCTCTACTAAAAATACAATTAGCCAGATGTGGTGGCATGTGCTTGTAATCCAGTTACTCAGGAGGCTGAGGCGGAAAAATAGCTTGAACCTGGGAGGCAAAGGTTGCAGTGAGTCGAGGTCACCCTACTGCACTCCAGCCTGGGTGACAGAGCCAAGACTCCATCTCAAAATACATATATATACATGAAAATTCTGAACCACAGCCAGCTCCTTCCCTCCCCACTCCTAGCCCACTGTGGCAGCTCCACTCCAGGTGCACACAGGTAAGAACGTGGGGCTCTTTCTCTCCCTTGCTTCAAGGTGAAGGCTATAGTATCTTCCCAGGAGGGGCAGGCCACCAGCATTCTCACTCCTTCCCAGCTATATGTTGCAAGTGGGGTAAAAAGGGCAGGAGCTCCCTCCTTCTATCTAGCTAGCACCCCTCCCGTTTTTAGGGCAGAGGTTCCACGCCAGCCATTGGGAAGACTGGAGCCCTGATCTCCCCCGGCCCTAGCTCATTTCTAAGGCTGAGCTTGCATTCCTGAAGAGGCAAGTCGATAAGAACGGAGTTTAACGTCCCATCCAGCAAGCAGCTGCTAAAGCTTCATGACTGGGTGCCTAGCCTGTAATCCCAGCACTTTGGGAGGCGCACGTGGACCGATCACCTGAGGTCAGGAGTTTGAGACCAACCTGGCCCAGATGGTAGAACCCCATCTCTAATCAGCCAGGCTTGGTGGCTCATGCCTGTAATCCCAGCTACTCAGGAGGCTGAGGCAGGAGAATCACTAAAGCAGGGATGCCTCTCAGAGATAAATAGGCCACTGTCCCTACCCATCTCTGGAGATTGTGCATGAGAAAGCTGAGCCTTCAGAACAAAGAGCTCTGAAGCTCCCCCGTCCCCAACCCCAGCCAAGAACTGACTTTACTTGAAACACACGATGGAGGTTCTGTTGGTAAGTGATTAAGAGGAAGCTGGCAGCACTTCATGAGAGAGACAAGCGAAACCACAGGCCAGCTAATTGCCACAGACAATCGGGGAAAGAGGCGGCGAGGAAGGTCCCACCTGCGTTCGGAACAAGTCTCAAGCACTGACCTCAAACTATTCCTTTAAGGGAGCCTAAATTTGAGTGGACCAGATGCAGAACAATTTATGCCTGAGGGCGTTGTCAGAAACGGTAACTAGCGGGCAATTAGTGGAGCCTAAAAGCCGAGTGTGGTGAGGAAGAGAGGCGGGAGAGCCCACCAAAAACCACTGTCATTCCTCGGGTGACAGCGCATGTCTAAGGCTGTGCCCCTCGAGGAGTACACACTATGACCAGCAGGATTTATCCCAGGAATGCAAGGTTGGTTAATACCCGAAAATCAACTAATGTATCAATAAAGAACAAAAGCCACGTGATCATCACAATAGATCTAAAGAGAGCACTTGACAAAAATTCGACACCCTTCATAATAAACACAACAACCTAGAAACAGAAGGAAATCTTAACTGGATAAAGGGGATCTACAAAAAAATCCAATTAACATCATACTTAACAATGAAAACAGTTCTTTCCAGGGTCGGGAACAAGACGTGGGTGTCTTTTCTCAGCTCTTTGGTTCAATATTGTACTGGAGATTCCAGTCAGAGAAATTAGGCAAGACAGTAAGGTCAAATATACCAAGAATGAAAAAAACTATCCCCATATAACATGATCTTGTATGAAGAAAATCCTAAGGAATCCGCTAAAAACCTATTACAACTCATAAATAGGTTTGGCAAGGTTGCAGAATCCAAGAATATACAAAAGTAAATTGTATTTCTATAGACTTGCAAAAACAATCCAGAAATTAAAACTATTCCATGGATGACAGTATCTGATGTCGTTTGGATGTTTGTCCCCTCCACCTCTCATGGTGACATGTAGTCCCTACAGTTGGAGGTGGGGTCTGGTGAGAGGTGTTTGGGTCATGGAGCAGATCTCTCATGGATGGCTAGCTGCTGACCTGTTGACAGCGAGTGACTTCTTGTGAGATCTGGTCGTGTAAGAGAGTGGCTCTTCCTCCTCTTGCTTCTCTCATTTGTGATAGAAGTGACATGCTAGCTCTCCATGACCTTCCACCAAGATTTTCAGTGTCTTGAGGCCTACAGCAGCTGCTAGCGCCGTGCTTCCCGTATATCCAGCAGAACCACGGGCCAACATAAAATCTCCTCTTTATAAATTACCGCAGCATGAGACGGGTATAAGGAGGGACAACAGACCTACAGGAATACCAGTGATTCCTTCATGGCAATGCCCACATGGCCTAACACAGCGTCAGAATAAAATACTTAGTAACACATTCAATGAAAGGACAAACTCTATACTCTGAAAACTACAAAACATGTTGAAAGAAGATTTAATAAATGAAAACCCCATGGTTATGAATCAAAACTAAATATTAAGACGGCAGGCCGGGCGCGGTGGCTCACACCTGTAATCCCAGCACTTTGGGAGGCCGAGGCGGGTGGATCACGAGGTCAAGAGATCGAGACCATCCTGGTCAACATGGTGAAACCGTCTCTACTAAAAATACAAAAAATTAGCTGGGCATGGTGGTGCGCGCCTGTAATCCCAGCTACTCGGGAGGCTGAGGCAGGAGAATTGCCTGATCCCAGGAGGCTGAGGTTGCAGTGAGCCAAGATCGCGCCATTGCACTCCAGCCTGGGTAACAAGAGCGAAACTCCATCTCAAAAAAAAAAAAAAAAAAAGACAGCAATAGTTCCCAAATTGATCAATACAGTTAATGCAGTCCATAGTAAAGTCCCTAGCTGGCTGCTTTGCAGAAAATGACCAGCTGATAGGATTCATATGGAAATTCAAGGGAGCCCAAAATAGCCAAAACAAACTTGGCAAAGAACAATGTTGGAGTACTCACACTTCTGAGTTCAAAACGTATTACGATGTTACAGTAATTAAGCTGCATGGGACTGCTACAAGAATGATACAAACCAACACCAGGCTATAGAACAGAGAGCCCAGAAATAAACCTTTATGTGTACACTCAACTTTTTTTTTGAGACAGTCTTGCTGTGTCACCCAGCCTGGAGTGGGTGGCGCGATCTCAGCTCACTGCAACCTCTGCCTCCCAGGTTCAAGTGATTCTCCTGCCTCAGCCTCCCAAAGAGCTAAGACTGCAGACACCCGCCACCACGTCCGGCTAATTTTTTGGTATTTTTAATAGAGACAGGGTTTCACTATGTTGGCCAGGCTGGTCTTGAATGCCTCATGATCCGTGCACCTCAGCCTCCCAAAGTGCTGGGATTACAGGCATGAGCCACCACGCCCAGCCCACCTATAGTCAGTTTTCAACAGGTGCCAAGAGTGCTCAGTGGGAGGCAGACAGTCTCTCCCACAGACGGTGTTAGGAAAACTGGATATCCATTTACAAGCAAAAATAACCTTGGACTCTTACACTATACACAATTATCTCAAAATGGATCAGAGACCAATATGTAAGAGCAGAAACTATAAACCTTTCAGAAGAAAATGTCAGGGGGCAAATCTCCATGACCTTGATTTGGCAATGGCTTCTTAAATATGACACCAAAATATGTCCTTTTGTGCATCAAAAGACATTATCAGAGAGTCAAAAGATGACCCACAGAATGGGAGAAAATATTTGCGAATCAAGTATTTGGGAAGATTCTAGTATCCACAATATAAAAATAACCCCAACTGAGAAACAAAAAAGTAAACTCAGTTTAAAAAGAGCAAAGTATGTTAATTAGCTCTATTGAGCATTTCACTCTAGATGCATGTTCCAAAACAGCGAGTTGTACGTGATAAATATATATATGATTTGTATCTGTTTATTTACAAATCAATTTTGTTAAATGGGCAAAAGACATCAATAGACATTTCTTCCAAGAAGATAAACAGATGGCCAAAAAGCACATGAAAAGATGCTCAGCATCTCTAATCACTGGGGAAAGGCGAGTCAAGGCCAGAATTACCATCTCACACCCATGAAGACGGCTACCAGAAAACCAAATCGATGGGAAACGACAGTCGCTGGTGAGGATGTGGAGAAATTGGAACCATTATGCATTGCGGAGAAGAATGTAAACTAGAGGTGGGGCGCAGTGGCTCACGCCTGTAATCCCAGCACTTTGGGAGGCCGAGGCAGGCGGATCACGAGGTCAGGAGATCGAGACCTCTCTCTACTAAAAATACATAAATTAGCTGGGTATGGTGGCAGGCGCCTGTAATCCCAGCTACTCAGGAGGCTGAGGCAGGAGAATTGCTCGAACCCGGGAGGCGGAGGTTGCAGTGAGCCGAGATAGTGCCACTGCACTCCAGTCTGGGTGACAGAGCAAGACTCCATCTCAAAAACAAACCCTCAACCGATACTTGTATATTGCTCATACATTCACAATAACCAAAGGTCCAAACAATCCACGTGTCTGCAAACAGGTTAATAGATGAATAAACTCTGGTGTAGCCTACAGTGAAGTATTATTCATCCATGAAAAAGAATGAAATTCAGATCCATGCTATAACATGGATGAGCCTTGAAAACATGTTACATGAAATAAGCCGGACACAAAAAGATGAATATTATGATCCTGTTTACATGAAATATCTACAATAGGCAAATTCCTAGAGACAAACTATATTAGAGGTTACTAGGGGGGCCAGGGAGAGAGGAAGAATTACTGCTTAACGGAGGGGAGGGGGAAGGGGAATGGGGGAGGGGGCATGGGGGAGGGGGCACGGGGGAGTGTGGTGGAAGTGAGGGAGTGTGGTGTTGGCAAGAGATAATAAATACATCAATGGAAAAGAGAGCCCATACATACACCCCGGCTTATGTGGTCACCTGATATATAACAGAAGTGCCACCGCAACTGAGCGGCAATGGATGGTCTCTTCAGTAAGCAGTCCCAGAATAATGATTGATCTATGCAGGAAATAACCCCTGAGCCCACCTCACATGACACACGAGCATTAATTCAAGATAAATTATAGGTATAAATGTGGAAGGTAAAACAAAGGGATTCCAAAAGAAATATGAAAATATCATTTTGACTTTGGGAAGGCACATTTTCTTAAATAGAACACATAAAAGCACTAACTATAAGAAAATTAGAACTTGGGCCGAACGTGGTGGCTCAAGCCTGTAATCCCAGCACTTTGGGAGGCAGAGGCGGGTGGATCACGAGGTCAAGAGATAGAGACCATCCTGGTCAACATGGTGAAACCCCGTCTCTACTAAAAATACAAAAAATTAGCTGGGCACAGTGGCACGTGACTGTAATCCCGGCTACTCAGGAGGCTGAGGCAGGAGAATTGCCTGATCCCAGGAGGCTGAGGTTGCGGTGAGCCGAGATCGTGCCATTGCACTCCAGCCTGGGTAACAAGAGCGAAACTCCATCTCAAAAAAAAAAAAAAAAAAAAGGAAATTAGAACTCGAGTTCATTAAGTTTTTAAAAATTAAATGACACCTTTCAGAAAGTAAATAGGTAAGCCACAGATGGAACACATCTGTAATGCACACATTTGACAAATGACTTGTATTCAGAATATAAAGAATGCTGGCCAGGCACAGTGGCTCACACCTGTAATCCTAGAACTTTGGGAGGCAGAGGTGGGCAGATCACAAGGTCAGGAGATGGGGACCATCCTGGCTAACACAGTGAAATGCAATCTCTACTAAAAATACAAAAATTAGCCAGGTGTGGTGGCGGGCACCTGTAATCCCGGCTGCTCAGGAGGCTGAGACAGGAGAATCACTTGAACCCAGGAGGTGGAGGTAGCCGAGATCACACCACTGCACTCCAGCCTGAGGGACAGAGCAAGACTCTGTCTAAAAAAAAAAAAAAAAAGAAAAGCAAATACAAAACAAGAACAAACAACCTATGAAAGGGCGAAAGACGTGAACAGATACTTAACAAAAGCAGCTACCCGGATGGCCAGTAACCTTAGAAAAGGGCTGGATATTACTCATGATGGAAGTGCAAACGGAAGCCACAACCAGGTGCCACTGCACAGCTACCAGGACGACGAAAACCGACAACACGGAGCTCATCAAACATTGTCACGCTTCCATTGCTGGCGGGACCGTTTCAGACGTGTTTGGCGGACTCCACAAAGACACAAACGCTGTTCCGTGACCCGTAAAGTCAGGTCTAGGTGCATAAAAACATGTGCGAGAATGTTTGTTGCTGCCTTATTCAGAATAGCCCACAAATGAATAGTGGCATCTTCATACAATACGATACTACGCAATAAAAAAGGTCCTATGCCCCAGAACATGGATGAAGCTCAAAAACTTCTTAGATTTAATAAAAATAATTGTAATGGTTCATAAAGTATATTTTAAAATAAAAAATAGACAAAAACTGTATATATTCGAGGTATATGATTTGATATATGCATACACTGTGTAATGATTACCACAGTCAAGTTAACATATCTATAACCACCATAGTTATCATTTATGTGTTTGTGTGTATGTGTTGAGGACACTTAAAATCCATTCTCTGGCCAGGCACGGTGGTTCATGCCTGTAATCCCAGCACTTTGGGAGGCCGAGACGGGCAGATCATGAGGTCAAGAGATCAAGACCATCCTGGCCAACATGGTGAAACCATCTCTACTAAAAATACAAAAACTAGCTGGACGTGGTGGCATGGCTGTAGTCCCAGCTACTTGGGAGGCTGAGGCAGAATTGCTTGAACCTGGGAGGCAGAGGTTGCAGGGAGCTGGGATCGTGCCATTGCACTCCAGTCTAGAGACCTAGCAAGACTTCATCTCAAAAAAAAAAAAAAAAAAAGTCTAGCAAATGTAAATTACTAAAAAATAATCCAAGAATTTTGAGGAAAATTAATGGAAATGGTTGGAAAGTAGACATCTGCTGCAGAAATGGGCTCTGGGGCCAGATGTGTTCAGAGAGGAGTTTGATTTAACCTTTAAAAAGCAGATGATTCTGGCTGGGCTCGGTGGCTCAAGCCTGTAATTCCAGCACTTTGGGAGGCTGAGGCAGGAGAATTGCCTGAACCCAGGAGGTGGAGGTTGCCATGAGCCGAGATCGAGCCATTGTACTCCAGCCTGGGTAACAAGAGCGAAACTCCGTCTCCAAAAAAAAAAAAGCAGATGGTTCTAACGTCAATTACACAATGCCGGTCAAAGTGTGGCTACGAATCCTAAGCATCACCTGGGAGTGTGGTAAATGCAAATTAATGAGCCCAAATCCAGATTCGCCACATAAAAATCACTAGGGGATGGGGCGCAGGGAGCTGTGCACCAAGCTTTCCAGGTGACTCCCAGCATGCTCAAGTGCTAGCAGCACTGGCCTAGAGTCACAGAAAAAATGAGCAGCTCCCTGGTTTACTTTCTGAAGTAAACATCACTTTAATGCCGAAGTTTATAAAAAGCAGGAAAAAACCCTCATTCACAAAGATGCAATGAACAAGCTAAATATTAGCAAATAGAATCTAGAATTTATCAAAAGGCTATTATACCTAAGTAGAGTCGATTCCACAAGGATGGTTCCATATTTAAAAGTCTATCAAGTCCACTAAATGCTAAAAAGCCATTTGGCAAAATGTGGCAGCTCTCGGAATATACTAAATACCACGGAATTGTAAACTTTTTTTTTTTTTTTTTGAGACAGGAGTTTTGCTCTTGTCCCCCGGGCTGGAGGCAGTGGTGCGGTACCGGCTCATTGCAACCTCCACCTCCCGGGTTCAGGAGATTCTCCTGCCTCAGCCTCCCAAGTAGCTGGGATTACAGGTGTGCACCACCACACCCAGCTCATTTTTGTATTTTTAGTAGAGATGGGGTTACACCATGTTGACCAGCGTGGACTCAAACTCCTGACCTCAGGTGATCCGCCCGCTCGGCCTCCCAGAGTGCTGGGATTACAGGAGTGAGCCACCATGCCCAGTTGAATTGTAAATTTTAAATAGGTTAATTGTATGATGTAGGAATCACATTTCAATAAAGCTGTCACAATACCTCAGGCCTCTGGACAAAAGGGAGCTTGGGCGTATCTGGTAGACACAGCTGATGGCAATAACTTTCCTTAAGCCCACCCTTCGGGCAGATACACCTGACAGCAATAACCTAACTCCACCCTGAGAACGAGCGTTGCCACGTGGAACTAGCTAGCGAGGAGGATGCCGAGTGAGAGTACCCTAGGAACTGTTTTTTTTGTTTGTTTTTTGAGATGGAGTGTCACTCTTGTAGCTCAGGCTGGAGCGCAGTGGCATGATCTCGGCTCACCACAACCTCTGCCTCCCAGGTTCAAGCAATTCTCCAGCCTCAGCCTCCTGAGTAGCTGGGATTCCAGGCGCCCGCCACCACGCCGGGCTAAATTATTAGTGGAGATGGGGTTTCACTATGTTGTTCAGGCTGTTCTTGAACTCCTGACCTCAAGTGATCCGCCCACCTCGGCCTCCCAGTGTTGGGTTTACAGGCCTGAGCCACCGCGCCCGGCTGAACTGCATGCTTTTTGCAAGTGGCCGTGGTTCTCCCGTCCCGCCCACCACCACTGGCCCACCCGGCAAGTTCTCGCAAATAAGCCCTGTTGTGTGTGCCGGCTCCGGGTCTCTTCTTGAACCTGGTGCCACGGATACTCACGTTAACAGACATCTGGCACGAGAGCTGATGATCCCAGCAGGAGGTCGGAGAAAATCCTGTGCGCACAGAGTCGACGGGGCTGGAGAGGAGGAAACCCACAGGGGGAATCTCGGGCTGGCTGTCCATGTCTGTGTGGGGCCCAAAACCTACTATCCCTGATGGATGGGCCCCAAGGCACGGGTACAGAGATGCCCCCAAAGCACAGAAAGGTCTAGGCTGGGTGTGGTGGCACATGCCTGTAATCCCAGCACTTTGGGAGGCTGAGACCGTTGGATCACCTGAGGTCAGGAGTTCAAGACCAGCCTGGCTAACATGGTGAAACCCTGTCTCTACTAAAAGTATGACATTAGCCGGGCGTGGTGGTGGGCGCCTGTAATCCCAGCTACTTGGGAAGCTGAAACAGGAAAATCGCTTGAACCCAGGAGTTGGAGGTTGCAATGAGCCGAGACTGAGCCACTGCACTCCAGCCTGGGCAACAAGAGCAAGACTCCATCTCAAAAAGGAAAAAAAAAAAAAAACCCAGAAAGGTCTGGAAGACCTATTGCAGGGGTGGGTGTAATTAAGCAAAGGTGAGAGGCCTGAGTGGTGGCGGCTGCGGTCGGCCGCTCCAGACTGTGCTCTGCACAGCCACGGGGGCCGAGCTCACGGCGCAGGTGAAGGTGCATCTGTTACAAGATGAGCTGTGACTAGGAACAAATGCCTAATTAGCTCAGGCTGAAATGTCAGAAACTGTCCCGCCTGTGGGTGTGGGATGACAAAACGGAGAGACCCTGGCTTGTCGGGTACTCGGTCCATTTGAAGAGCTGCTGGCTGCTCTGTCAATGAGTCAGAGTGCTCATGACGAAAGCATCCTGGGACTCCAAGTCCTGGGACCCCATGCAGAGCTCTAGCGGGGAATAGAGGCTGGGATGAGCTCACAGAGGTTCCTGTCCTCTCTGCACGTTTACCGGGCACCCCCGAGATGAAAGCCAACCAACCGCATCTGCAGGAGCCGCCCCACAAGACTTGCCCCTGCCTGGAAGACACCCCAGTGCTCATTTTGTAACGAATACACCTTCACTTGCACTGTGAGCTCGGCCCCCGTGGCTGCTCAGAGCACAGTCCAGAGTGGCCGGCCAACCTCAGCTGCCATAGCTTAGGCATCTCACTTTAGCTACACCTAACATCTAGCTACTCGGGAGGCTGAGGCAAGAGCATCTCTTGAGCTCTGGAGGCGGAGGTTACAGTGAGCCGAGATTGCGCCACTCCACTCCAGCCTGGGCTACAAGAGTGAAACTCCATTTCACACTTCCCAGCACTCTGGGAGGCCAAGATGGGCGGATCACCTGAGGTTCAAGAGGCTGAAGAAGAGACCTGGAGCCTAGGTCTCCCAAGCCAGGGCTGTGGAATCGGGAAGCAGGCTCAGGCAGAGCGGGAGACAGTTGATCACAGGGTGGCTTCTCTATGGGACGTGGAATAACAGATGAGTAAAACGGCGTCCATCACCAACATCCAGCCCTGTGGCACTGCCTTGATGGCACCAACAATGAGGATCAGGCCACCCCCTTCTCAGCTGGGTGGTTGCGAGCTGCAAGGTAGTCTGGCCCAATGAAAGGAATGTCCCCACATCTCTTCTGTGGTGACAGATTAGGGAGGGATTGAGGGGCATCCTCTGGGAATTAGGGGTGACGCGTGCTATCTATGCCAAGCATTACTGAGGTCCTAACAATAGGCTTTGCGCTGCTGGCATGAGAAACACCATCTTACAAAGGCACACAACCAAGGGCGTGGCACGATAGCCTCTATCTCGAGTCCCTTGGTAGCATAGCCAGTGTCTCGGGCGGCCCAAGGCGCCACCACTTAGGAGAAACAAACTGCATAGGACTAGCTGGGCGTGGTGGTGCACACCTGTAATCCCAGCTACTCTGGAAGCTGAGGCAGGAGAATCCCTTGAACCTGGGAGACGGAGGTTGCAGTGAGCTGAGATCGCGCCATTGCACTCTGCACTCCAGCCTGGGCAATAAGAGCAAAACTCTGTCTCAAAAAAAAAAAAAAAACAACCTGCATAGGAGGTGTGTACCATGCTGGGATAAGAACAAGGGAGCTGCAGGTGTGGTGGTTCACGCCTGGAATCCCAGCACTTTGCAAGGCTGAGGTGGGTAAATCACAAGGTCAGGAGTTCAAGATCAGCCTGGCCAACATGGTGAAACCGTCTCTACTCAAAATACAAAAATTAGCCGGGCATGGTGGCGTGCACCTGTAGTCTCAGCTACTCAGGAGGCTGAGGCAGGAGAATTGCTTGAACCTAGGAGGCAGAGGTTGCAGTGGGCAGAGATTGTACCATTGCACTCCAGCCTGGGGGACAGACTGAAATTCTGCCTAAAAAAAAGTGGGGGGAGCCAAAGGAAAAACAGCCAAGGGGCTGTCAGGGGACCACCTCTGACGGCTCTGTTATTCCATGTCCCACATAGAATAACAGGTGCCAACCCCTTTAGACTAGGACAAAGGTTAAGGGCCCAGGATCCCGGTAAGAGCAACAGTGGCTGGGTGTCTGGAGACCGGCGGCCACATACAGAGCTAACTAGATAATGGTCACCTAAGATGCACAGGCTGGCTGGGCACGGTGGCTTATGCCTGTAATCCCAACACTTTTGGAAGCCGAGGCAAGTGGATCACAAGGTCAAGGGTTCAAAACCGGCCTGGCCAACATGGTGAAACCCTGATTCTACTAAGAATACAAAAATGTGCTGGGTGTGGTGGCAGGCACCTGTAATCCCAGCTACTCAGGAGGCTAAGGCAGGAGCCTCACCTGAACCCGGGAGGCGAAGGTTGCGGTGAGCCGAGATCACGCCATTGCACTCCAGCCTGGGTGACACAGTGAGACTGTCTCAAAAAAACAAGAATGCACAGGCTGTGTTTGCCCCAGGAATACTGGAGCTGAATGCACTCGTATGCGGTGACATCGTAGTTGCGGTGGCCTATAACAGCAATGTGGTGTGACCAGCTAGTGGTGGGAACGCTTACTGTGAAAATAAACACAGTGCTGTTCTGGTCGGCCTGTGGCAGAAGGTCCGGCCAACACAGCGCTTCCGTAAGAGTCCTCATACTCAGCCCACTGCGCCTCCCACATAGGGATGCAGGTGCCAACCCCTTTAGACGAGGACAAAGGCTAAAGGCTCAGGATCCCAGTAAGAGCAAACACAGCCTGTGCATTCTTGTTTTGAGACAGTCTCACTATCACCCAGGCTGAAGTTCAATGGCATGATCTCAGTTCACCACAACCTTCACCTCCCAGGTTCAAGTGATGCTCCTGCCTTAGCCTCCCGAGGGGCCCGAGAAAGTCAGACAGGTTGAGGCAAGTTAGGAGACTGCTGCCCAGACTCTAGTTAGTATGCAGAGCCCCCACCCCAGGTTGCCTCTTGGGGAATGGCTATCTCATCAGGCTTGACCCTCCAAATTCCTACTGAGAGTTAGGACCATGGTGAAGCCTGTGATCAGGGGGAATGGGAAACAGGCAGCAGCACAGCTGCCAGCCCCTCTGTGAATAGCAGCATTGAAACAGCGCCTTCCAGGAGGTGCTGATGACATCGTGGGGACTGAAAAGGAAAGGAGTAAGTCTGGGTGGATTTAAGACCAGTGAACAGGGCGGGCGCGGTGGCTCAAGCCTGTAATCCCAGCACTTCGGGAGGCCAAGGTGGGCTGATCACAAGGTCAGGAGTTGGAGACCAGCCTGGCCAACATGGTGAAACCCTGTCTCTTAAAAATATAAAAATTAGCTGGTCATGGTGGTGGGCGTCTGTAGTCCCAGCTACTCAGGAGGCTGAGGGAGGAGAATCGATTTAACCCAAGAGGCGGAGGTTGCAGTGAGCCGAGATGGCGCTGCTGCACTCCAGCCTGGGCAACAGAGCAAGACTTGTCTCAAAAAAACAAAAAAAAGACCAGTGAACAGTCCATACAAACCCTGCATGGCCCATGTGGATGCCTGATGGGACACGGAGAATGACAGATTACTGGGGATTAAAGTGGTCCCCCTAAGGTGTGCAGCCGTTCCCACACGGTCTCCTTTCTGATGAGGACAGGAGAGGGACTGGGCACGCCTCATTTTGTAATTTTTGTAGTTGCATTCACCTGGTATAGGAGTCCATGTTCATGCTGCTACGAACTGCCCCAACCCGGGTAATTCATAAAGGAAAGACGTTTAATTAACTCACAGTTCAGCATGGCGGGGAACGCCTTAGGAAGCTTACAATCATGGCAGAAAACGAACAGGAAGCAAACCACCCTCTTCACGAGGCCCAGTGAAGGAGGAAGAGCCCCTTATATAACCATCGGATCTCGGGAGCTCTCACTCACTACCACGAGAACAGCATGGGGAAACGGCCCCTGACTCATTACCTCCACATGGTCTCTCCCCCGCCCTCGGGACTACGGAGATCACAAAGCCTAACCTCACCACCTGGGAAGAAGAGACCTTGACTGCCTTGCAGCGGGATATTTCCATGGCCTCACTGTGTATCAATGCCTAGTGGTCACATACCTCAGTATATGGACCACCCTAGAGGGGTACGTTTTCTATTACATCGATGATATCATGCTAACCTGAGTCGTTTGTTTGTTTTTGAGACAGAGTCTTGCTCTTGTTGCCCAGGCTAGAGTGCAATGGCACAATCTTGGCTCACCGCAACCTCCACCTCCCAGGTTCAAGCCATTCTTCTGCCTCAGTCTCCCCAGTAGCTGAAATTACAGGCATGCGCCACCATGACCAGCTAATTTTTGTATTTTTAGTAGAGACGGGGTTTCACCATGTTGGTCAGGCTGGTCTCAAACTCCTGACCTCAGGTGATCCGCCGGCCTCGGCCTCCCATAGTGCTGGGATTACAGGAGTGAGCCACCATGCCTGGCTGAACTGTAAATGTAAATAGGTTAATTGTATGATGTAGGAATCACATTTCAATAAAGCTGTCACAATACCTCAGGCCTCTGGACAAAAGGGAGCTTGGGCGTATCTGGTAGACACAGCTGATGGCAATAACTTTCCTTAAGCCCACCCTTCGGGCAGATACACCTGACAGCAATAACCTAACTCCACCCTGAGAATGAGGGTTGCCACATGGAGCTTGCTAGCGAGGAGAATGCCAAGTGAGAGTTCCCTAGGAACAGTTTTTGTTTTTTTGAGGTGGAGTGTCACTCTTGTAGCTCAGGCTGGAGTGCAGTGGCATGATCTCAGCTCACCGCAACCTCTGCCTCCCAGGTTCAAGCAATCTCCAGCCTCAGACTCCTGAGTAGCTGGGATTCCAGGCGCCTGCCACCACGCCGGGCTAAATTATTAGTGGAGATGGGGTTTCACCACGTTGGTCAGGCTGTTCTTGAACTCCTGACCTCAAGTGATCCGCCCACCTCGGCCTCCCAGTGTTGGGTTTACAGGCCTGAGCCACCGCGCCCGGCTGAACTGCATGCTTTTTGCAAGTGGCCGTGGTTCTCCCGTCCAGCCCACCACCACTGGCCCACCCTGCAAGTTCTCGCAAATAAGCCCTGTTGTGTGTGCCGGCTCCGGGTCTCTTCTTGAACCTGGTGCCACGGATACTCACGTTAACAGACATCTGGCACGAGAGCTGATGATCCCAGCAGGAGGTCGGAGAAAATCCTGTGCGCACAGAGTCGACGGGGCTGGAGAGGAGGCAACCCACAGGGGGAATCTCGGGCTGGCTGTCCATGTCTGTGTGGGGCCCAAAACCTACTATCCCTGATGGATGGGCCCCAAGGCACGGGTACAGAGATGCCCCCAAAGCACAGAAAGGTCTAGGCTGGGTGTGGTGGCACATGCCTGTAATCCCAGCACTTTGGGAGGCTGAGACCGTTGGATCACCTGAGGTCAGGAGTTCAAGACCAGCCTGGCTAACATGGTGAAACCCTGTCTCTACTAAAGTATGACATTAGCCGGGCGTGGTGGTGGGCGCCTGTAATCCAGCTACTTGGGAAGCTGAAACAGGAAAATCGCTTGAACCCAGGAGTTGGAGGTTGCAATGAGCCGAGACTGAGCCACTGCACTCCAGCCTGGGCAACAAGAGCAAGACTCCATCTCAAAAAGGAAAAAAAAAAAAAAAAAACCCAGAAAGGTCTGGAAGACCTATTGCAGGGGTGGGTGTAATTAAGCAAAGGTGAGAGGCCTGAGTGGTGACGGCTGCGGTCGGCCGCTCCAGACTGTGCTCTGCACAGCCACGGGGGCCGAGCTCACGGCGCAGGTGAAGGTGCATCTGTTACAAGATGAGCTGTGACTAGGAACAAATGCCTAATTAGCTCAGGCTGAAATGTCAGAAACTGTCCCGCCTGTGGGTGTGGGATGACAAAACGGAGAGACCCTGGCTTGTCGGGTACTCGGTCCATTTGAAGAGCTGCTGGCTGCTCTGTCAATGAGTCAGAGTGCTCATGACAAAAGCATCCTGAGACTCCAATTCCTGGGACCCCATGCAGAGCTCTAGCGGGGAATAGAGGCTGGGATGAGCTCACAGAGGTTCCTGTCCTCTCTGCACGTTTACCGGGCACCCCCGAGATGAAAGCCAACCAACCGCATCTGCAGGGGCCGCCCCACAACGCTTGCCCCTGCCTGGAAGACACCCCAGTGCTCATTTTGTAACGGACGCACCTTCACCTGTGCTGTGAGCTCGGCCCCCGAGGCTGCTCAGAGCACAGTCCGGAGTGGCCGGCCAACCTCAGCTGCCATAGCTTAGGCATCTCACTTTAGCTACACCTAACATCTAGCTACTCGGGAGGCTGAGGCAAGAGCATCTCTTGAGCTCTGGAGGCGGAGGTTGCAGTGAGCCGAGATTGCGCCACTCCACTCCAGCCTGGGCTACAAGAGTGAAACTCCATTTCACACTTCCCAGCGCTCTGGGAGGCCAAGATGGGCGGATCACCTGAGGTTCAAGAGGCTGAAGAAGAGACCTGGAGCCTAGGTCTCCCAAGCCAGGGCTGTGGAATCGGGAAGCAGGCTCAGGCAGAGCGGGAGACAGTTGATCACAGGGTGGCTTCTCTATGGGACGTGGAATAACAGATGAGTAAAACGGCGTCCATCACCAACATCCAGCCCTGTGGCACTGCCTTGATGGCACCAACAATGAGGATCAGGCCACCCCCTTCTCAGCTGGGTGGTTGCGAGCTGCAAGGTAGTCTGGCCCAATGAAAGGAATGTCCCCACATCTCTTCTGTGGTGACAGATTAGGGAGGGATTGAGGGGCATCCTCTGGGAATTAGGGGTGACGCGTGCTATCTATGCCAAGCATTACTGAGGTCCTAACAATGGGCTTTGCGCTGCTGGCATGAGAAACACCATCTTACAAAGGCACACAACCAAGGGCGTGGCACGCTAGCCTCTATCTCGAGTCCCTTGGTAGCATAGCCAGTGTCTGGGGCGGCCCAAGGCGCCACCACTTAGGAGAAACAGAAACTGCATAGGACTAGCTGGGCGTGGTGGTGCACACCTGTAATCCCAGCTACTCTGGAAGCTGAGGCAGGAGAATCCCTTGAACCTGGGAGACGGAGGTTGCAGTGAGCCGAGATCGCGCCATTGCACTCTGCACTCCAGCCTGGGCAATAAGAGCAAAACTCTGTCTAAAAAAAAAAAAAAAACAACCTGCATAGGAGGTGTGTACCATGCTGGGATAAGAACAAGGGAGCTGCAGGTGTGGTGGTTCACGCCTGGAATCCCAGCACTTTGCAAGGCTGAGGTGGGTAAATCACAAGGTCAGGAGTTCAAGACCAGCCTGGCCAACATGGTGAAACCGTCTCTACTCAAAATACAAAAATTAGCCGGGCATGGTGGCGTGCACCTGTAGTCTCAGCTACTCAGGAGGCTGAGGCAGGAGAATTGCTTGAACCTAGGAGGCAGAGTTTGCAGTGGGCAGAGATTGTACCATTGCACTCCAGCCTGGGGGACAGACTGAAATTCTGCCTAAAAAAAAGTGGGGGGAGCCAAAGGAAAAACAGCCAAGGGGCTGTCAGGGGACCACCTCTGACGGCTCTGTTATTCCATGTCCCACATAGAATAACAGGTGCCAACCCCTTTAGACTAGGACAAAGGTTAAGGGCCCAGGATGCCGGTAAGAGCAACAGTGGCTGGGTGTCTGGAGACTGGCGGCCACATACAGAGCTAACTAGATAATGGTCACCTAAGATGCACAGGCTGGCTGGGCACGGTGGCTTATGCCTGTAATCCCAACACTTTTGGAAGCCGAGGCAAGTGGATCACAAGGTCAAGGGTTCAAAACCGGCCTGGCCAACATGGTGAAACCCTGATTCTACTAAGAATACAAAAATTTGCTGGGTGTGGTGGCAGGCACCTGTAATCCCAGCTACTCAGGAGGCTAAGGCAGGAGCCTCACCTGAACCCGGGAGGCGAAGGTTGCGGTGAGCCGAGATCACGCCATTGCACTCCAGCCTGGGTGACACAGTGAGACTGTCTCAAAAAAACAAGAATGCACAGGCTGTGTTTGCCCCAGGAATACTGGAGCTGAATGCACTCGTATGCGGTGACATCGTAGTTGCGGTGGCCTATAACAGCAATGTGGTGTGACCAGCTAGTGGTGGGAACGCTTACTGTGAAAATAAACACAGTGCTGTTCTGGTCAGCCTGTGGCAGAAGGTCCGGCCAACACAGCGCTTCCGTAAGAGTCCTCATACTCAGCCCACTGCGCCTCCCACATAGGGATGCAGGTGCCAACCCCTTTAGACGAGGACAAAGGCTAAAGGCTCAGGATCCCAGTAAGAGCAAACACAGCCTGTGCATTCTTGTTTTGAGACAGTCTCACTATCGCCCAGGCTGGAGTTCAATGGCATGATCTCGACTCACCACAACCTTCACCTCCCAGGTTCAAGTGATGCTCCTGCCTTAGCCTCCCGAGGGGCCCGAGAAAGTCAGACAGGTTGAGGCAAGTTAGGAGACTGCTGCCCAGACTCTAGTTAGTACACAGAGTCCCTACCCCAGGGTGCCTCTTGGGGAATGGCTGTCTCATCAGGCTTGACCCTCCAAATTCCTACTGAGAGTTAGGACCACGGTGAAGCCTGTGATCAGGGGGAATGGGAAACAGGCAGCAGCACAGCTGCCAGCCCCTCTGTGAATAGCAGCATTGAAACAGCGCCTTCCAGGAGGTGCTGATGAGATCGTGGGGACTGAAAAGGAAAGGAGTAAGTCTGGGTGGATTTAAGACCAGTGAACAGGGCGGGCGCGGTGGCTCAAGCCTGTAATCCCAGCACTTTGGGAGGCCAAGGTGGGCGGATCACAAGGTCAGGAGTTGGAGACCAGCCTGGCCAACATGGTGAAACCCTGTCTCTTAAAAATATAAAAATTAGCTGGTCATGGTGGCGGGCGTCTGTAGTCCACTGAGGGAGGGAGGCTGAGGGAGGAGAATCGATTTAACCCAAGAGGCGGAGGTTGCAGTGAGCCGAGATGGCGCTGCTGCACTCCAGCCTGGGCAACAGAGCAAGACTTGGTCTCAAAAAAACAAAAAAAAGACCAGTGAACAGTCCATACAAACCCTGCATGGCCCATGTGGATGCCTGATGGGAGGCGGAGAATGACAGATTACTGGGGATTAAAGTGATCCCCCTAAGGTGTGCAGCCGTTCCCACATGGTCTCCTTTCTGATGAGGACAGGAGAGGGACTGGGCACGCCTCACTTTGTAATTTTTGTAATTGCATTCACCTAGTATAGGAGTCCATGTTCATGCTGCTACGAACTGCCCCAAACCGGGTAATTCATAAAGGAAAGACGTTTAATTAACTCACAGTTCAGCATGGCGGGGAACGCCTTAGGAAGCTTACGATCATGGCAGAAAACGAACGGGAAGCAAACCACCCTCTTCACGAGGCCCAGCGAAGGAGGAAGAGCCGTTATATAACCATCGGATCTCGGGAGCTCTCACTCACTACCACGAGAACAGCATGGGGAAACGGCCCCTGACTCACTACCTCCACCTGGTCTCTCCCCCGCCCTCGGTACTACGGAGATCACAAAGCCTAACCTCACCACCTGGGAAGAAGAGACCTTGACTGCCTTGCAGCGGGGATATTTCCATGGCCTCACTGTGTATCAATGCCTAGTGGTCACATACCTCAGTATATGGACCACCCTAGAGGGGTACGTTTTCTATTACATCGATGATATCATGCTAACCTCTGAGTCATTTGTTTGTTTTTGAGATGGAGTCTTGCTCTTGTTGCCCAGGCTAGAGTGCAATGGCACAATCTTGGCTCACCGCAACCTCCACCTCCCAGGTTCAAGCCATTCTTCTGCCTCAGTCTCCCCAGTAGCTGAAATTACAGGCATGCGCCACCATGACCAGCTAATTTTTGTATTTTTAGTAGAGACGGGGTTTCACCATGTTGGTCAGGCTGGTCTCAAACTCCTGACCTCAGGTGATCCGCCGGCCTCGGCCTCCCATAGTGCTGGGATTACAGGAGTAAGCCACCATGTCCGGCTGAACTGTAAATTGTAAATAGGTTAATTGTATGATGTAGGAATCACATTTCAATAAAGCTGTCACAATACCTCAGGCCTCTAGACAAAAGGGAGCTTGGGCGTATCTGGTAGACACAGCTGATGGCAATAACTTTCCTTAAGCCCACCCTTCGGGCAGATACACCTGACAGCAATAACCTAACTCCACCCTGAGAACGAGGGTTGCCACATGGAGCTTGCTAGCGAGGAGGATGCCGAGTGAGAGTTCCCTAGGAACTGTTTTTTCTTGTTTTTTTGAGATGGAGTGTCACTCTTGTAGCTCAGGCTGGAGTGCAGTGGCGTGATCTTGGCTCACCGCAACCTCTGCCTCCCAGGTTCAAGCAATCTCCAGCCTCAGCCTCCTGAGTAGCTGGGATTACAGGCGCCCGCCACCACGACGGGCTAAATTATTAGTGGAGATGGGGTTTCACCACATTGGTCAGGCTGTTCTTGAACTCCTGACCTCAAGTGATCTGCCCACCTCGGCCTCCCAGTGTTGGGTTTACAGGCCTGAGCCACCGCGCCCGGCTGAACTGCATGCTTTTTGCAAGTGGCCGTGGTTCTCCCGTCCAGCCCACCACCACTGGCCCACCCTGCAAGTTCTCGCAAATAAGCCCTGTTGTGTGTGCCGGCTCCGGGTCTCTTCTTGAACCTGGTGCCACGGATACTCACGTTAACAGACATCTGGCACGAGAGCTGATGATCCCAGCAGGATGTCGGAGAAAATCCTGTGCACACAGAGTCGACGGGGCTGGAGAGGAGGAAACCCACAGGGGGAATCTCGGGCTGGCTGTCCATGTCTGTGTGGGGCCCAAAACCTACTATCCCTGATGGATGGGCCCCAAGGCATGGGTACAGAGATGCCCCCAAAGCACGGAAAGGTCTAGGCTGGATGTGGTGGCACATGCCTGTAATCCCAGCACTTTGGGAGGCTGAGACCGTTGGATCACCTGAGGTCAGGAGTTCAAGACCAGCCTGGCTAACATGGTGAAACCCTGTCTCTACTAAAAGTATGACATTAGCCGGGCGTGGTGGTGGGCGCCTGTAATCCCAGCTACTTGGGAAGCTGAAACAGGAAAATCGCTTGAACCCAGGAGTTGGAGGTTGCAGTGAGCCCAGACTGAGCCACTGCACTCCAGCCTGGGCAACAAGAGCAAGACTCCATCTCAAAAAGGAAAAAAAAAAACACCCAGAAAGGTCTGGAAGAGCTATTGCAGGGGTGGGTGTAATTAAGCAAAGGTGAGAGGCCTGAGTGGTGGCGGCTGCGGTCGGCCTGCCACTCCAGACTGCTCTGCGCAGCCACGGGGGCCGAGCTCACGGCGCAGGTGAAGGTGCATCTGTTACAAGATGAGCTGTGACTAGGAACAAATGCCTAATTAGCTCAGGCTGAAATGTCAGAAACTGTCCCGCCTGTGGGTGTGGGATGACAAAACGGAGAGACCCTGGCTTGTTGGGTACTCGGTCCATTTGAAGAGCTGCTGGCTGCTCTGTCAATGAGTCAGAGTGCTCATGACAAAAGCATCCTGAGACTCCAATTCCTGGGACCCCATGCAGAGCTCTAGCGGGGAATAGAGGCTGGGATGAGCTCACAGAGGTTCCTGTCCTCTCTGCACGTTTACCGGGCACCCCCGAGATGAAAGCCAACCAACCGCATCTGCAGGGGCCGCCCCACAAGACTTGCCCCTGCCTGAAAGACACCCCAGTGCTCATTTTGTAACGAATACACCTTCACCTGCGCTGTGAGCTCGGCCCCCGTGGCTGCTCAGAGCACAGTCCGGAGTGGCCGGCCAACCTCAGCTGCCATAGCTTAGGCATCTCACTTTAGCTACACCTAACATCTAGCTACTCGGGAGGCTGAGGCAAGAGCATCTCTTGAGCTCTGGAGGCGGAGGTTGCAGTGAGCCGAGATTGCGCCACTCCACTCCAGCCTGGGCTACAAGAGTGAAACTCCATTTCACACTTCCCAGCACTCTGGGAGGCCAAGATGGGCGGATCACCTGAGGTTCAGAGGCTGAAGAAGAGACCTGGAGCCTAGGTCTCCCAAGCCAGGGCTGTGGAATCGGGAAGCAGGCTCAGGCAGAGCGGGAGACAGTTGATCACAGGGTGGCTTCTCTGTGGGACGTGGAATAACAGATGAGTAAAACGGCGTACATCACCAACATCCAGCCCTGTGGCACTGCCTTGATGGCACCAACAATGAGGATCAGGCCACCCCCTTCTCAGCTGGGTGGTTGCGAGCTGCAAGGTAGTCTGGCCCAATGAAAGGAATGTCCCCACATCTCTTCTGTGGTGACAGATTAGGGAGGGATTGAGGGGCATCCTCTGGGAATTAGGGGTGACGCGTGCTATCTATGCCAAGCATTACTGAGGTCCTAACAATGGGCTTTGCGCTGCTGGCATGAGAAACACCATCTTACAAAGGCACACAACCAAGGGCGTGGCACGCTAGCCTCTATCTCGAGTCCCTTGGTAGCATAGCCAGTGTCTCGGGCGGCCCAAGGCGCCACCACTTAGGAGAAACAGAAACTGCATAGGACTAGCTGGGCGTGGTGGTGCACACCTGTAATCCCAGCTACTCTGGAAGCTGAGGCAGGAGAATCCCTTGAACCTGGGAGACGGAGGTTGCAGTGAGCGGAGATCGCGCCATTGCACTCTGCACTCCAGCCTGGGCAATAAGAGCAAAACTCTGTCTCAAAAAAAAAAAAAAAAAAAAACAACCTGCATAGGAGGTGTGTACCATGCTGGGATAAGAACAAGGGAGCTGCAGGTGTGGTGGTTCACGCCTGGAATCCCAGCACTTTGCAAGGCTGAGGTGGGTAAATCACAAGGTCAGGAGTTCAAGACCAGCATGGCCAACATGGTGAAACCGTCTCTACTCAAAATACAAAAATTAGCCGGGCATGGTGGTGTGCACCTGTAGTCTCAGCTACTCAGGAGGCTGAGGCAGGAGAATTGCTTGAACCCAGGAGGCAGAGTTTGCAGTGGGCAGAGATTGTACCATTGCACTCCAGCCTGGGGGACAGACTGAAATTCTGCCTAAAAAAAAGTGGGGGGAGCCAAAGGAAAAACAGCCAAGGGGCTGTCAGGGGACCACCTCTGACGGCTCTGTTATTCCATGTCCCACATAGGGATGCAGGTGCCAACCCCTTTAGACTAGGACACAGGTTAAGGGCCCAGGATGCCGGTAAGAGCAACAGTGGCTGGGTGTCTGGAGACCGGCGGCCACATACAGAGCTAACTAGATAATGGTCACCTAAGATGCACAGGCTGGCTGGGCACGGTGGCTTATGCCTGTAATCCCAACACTTTTGGAAGCCGAGGCAAGTGGATCACAAGGTCAAGGGTTCAAAACCGGCCTGGCCAACATGGTGAAACCCTGATTCTACTAAGAATACAAAAATGTGCTGGGTGTGGTGGCAGGCACCTGTAATCCCAGCTACTCAGGAGGCTAAGGCAGGAGCCTCACCTGAACCCGGGAGGCGAAGGTTGCGGTGAGCCGAGATCACGCCATTGCACTCCAGCCTGGGTGACACAGTGAGACTGTCTCAAAAAAACAAGAATGCACAGGCTGTGTTTGCCCCAGGAATACTGGAGCTGAATGCACTCGTATGCGGTGACATCGTAGTTGTGGTGGCCTATAACGGCAATGTGGTGTGACCAGCTAGTGGTGGGAACGCTTACTGTGAAAATAAACAGCCCAGTGCTGTTCTGGTCAGCCTGTGGCAGAAGGTCCAGCCAACACAGCGCTTCCGTAAGAGTCCTCAGACTCAGCCCACTGTGCCTCCCACATAGGGATGCAGGTGCCAACCCCTTTAGACGAGGACAAAGGCTAAAGGCTCAGGATCCCAGTAAGAGCAAACACAGCCTGTGCATTCTTGTTTTGAGACAGTCTCACTATCGCCCAGGCTGGAGTGCAATGGCATGATCTCCGCTCACCACAACCTTCACCTCCCAGGTTCAAGTGATGCTCCTGCCTTAGCCTCCCGAGGGGCCCGAGAAAGTCAGACAGGTTGAGGCAAGTTAGGAGACTGCTGCCCAGACTCTAGTTAGTACACAGAGCTCCACCCCAGGGTACCTCTTGGGGAATGGCTGTCTCATCAGTCTTGACCCTCCAAATTCCTACTGAGAGTTAGGACCACGGTGAAGCCTGTGATCAGGGAGAATGGGAAACAGGCAGCAGCACAGCTGCCATCCCCTCTGTGAATAGCAGCATTGAAACAGCGCCTTCCAGGAGGTGCTGATGAGATCGTGGGGACTGAAAAGGAAAGGAGTAAGTCTGGGTGGATTTAAGACCAGTGAACAGGGCGGGTGCGGTGGCTCAAGCCTGTAATCCCAGCACTTCGGGAGGCCAAGGTGGGCTGATCACAAGGTCAGGAGTTGGAGACCAGCCTGACCAACATGGTGAAACCCCGTCTCTTAAAAATACAAAAATTAGCTGGTCATGGTGGCGGGCGTCTGTAGTCCGCTGAGGGAGGGAGGCTGAGGGAGGAGAATCGATTTAACCCAAGAGGCGGAGGTTGCAGTGAGCCGAGATGGCGCTGCTGCACTCCAGCCTGGGCAACAGAGCAAGACTTGGTCTCAAAAAAACAAAAAAAAGACCAGTGAACAGTCCATACAAACCCTGCATGGCCCATGTGGATGCCTGATGGGACACGGAGAATGACAGATTACTGGGGATTAAAGTGGTCCCCCTAATGTGTGCAGCCGTTCCCACACGGTCTCCTTTCTGATGAGGACAGGAGAGGGACTGGGCACGCCTCGTTTTGTAATTGCATTCACCTGATATAGGAGTCCATGTTCATGCTGCTACGAACTGCCCCAACCCGGGTAATTCATAAAGGAAAGACGTTTAATTAACTCACAGTTCAGCATGGCGGGGAACGCCTTAGGAAGCTTAGGATCATGGCAGAAAACGAACGGGAAGCAAACCATCCTCTTCACGAGGCCCAGCGAAGGAGGAAGAGCCCTTATATAACCATCGGATCTCGGGAGCTCTCACTCACTACCACGAGAACAGCATGGGAAACGGCCCCTGACTCATTACCTCCACATGGTCTCTCCCCCGCCCTCGGGACTACGGAGATCACAAAGCCTAACCTCACCACCTGGGAAGAACAGCAGACCTTGACTGCCTTGCAGCGGGGATGTTTCCATGGCCTCACTGTGTATCAATGCCTAGTGGTCACATACCTCAGTATATGGACCACCCTAGAGGGGTATGTTTTCTATTACATCGATGATATCATGCTAACCTCTGAGTCGTTTTTTTGTTTGTTTTTGAGACAGAGTCTTGCTCTTGTTGCCCAGGCTAGAGGGCAATGGCACAATCTTGGCTCACCGCAACCTCCACCTCCCAGGTTCAAGCCATTCTCCTGCCTCAGTCTCCCCAGTAGCTGAGATTACAGGCATGCGCCACCATGACCAGCTAATTTTTGTATTTTTAGTAGAGACGGGGTTTCACCATGTTGGTCAGGCTGGTCTCGAACTCCCGACCTCAGATGGCCTCCCACCTCGGCCTCCCAAAGTGTTGAGATTACAGGTGTCAGCCACCGTGCCCGGCCTACTTCTGAGTCTTTTTCTAGTTTACAAACCGTAGCCCTCACCTTGCTGTCTCACTTGGTTGACAGAGGATGGGCGGTCAAACCAGGCAAAATTGGGGGCCAGGCTTATCAAGTCAGATGCTTGGTGTCATCTGGTTGGGTGAGTCTAACGGGGTTCAATTTGCCATGATAAATACACTGCAGGCCCACCCACATCCTACGCCACCAAAGCAGTTGCAAACCTCCCTCGTTCCTCTAAGGCGTTGGTGTCCTTTTATTTCCCATTTGGCTCCACTCCTTAGGCCACTGTACCACTTAGTCAAGAAGGGGCCGACTGGGACTGGCAGCAAAGACAAGGACATAAACTTGTGCCTTTAGGATTCTGGTCCCTGCTATGGAAAGAGACTTATGTTAGATTATAGAGTCACACAGCAACAATTCCTCACTACATGACGTACCTTGCAGCAAGTGGAAGGCATTACAAATGGGTCCCCATGCCGGTACATACCCAGTACCCCATAGCAAGTTAGCTGAAGGACACCTTCCAGAAACCAAAGCCTAGGAAGGCCCAGACACAGAATGTGGCCAAAGGGCGTGCACACCTGCAACAGAAGAGCACATTAACTAGCACAAGGCTGCTGTGCAGTGCCTCATGCCTGTGATACCAGCACTTGGGAGGCCAAAGCAAGTGGGTCACCTGAGGTCGGGAGTTTGAGACCAGCCTGACCAATATGGTCTCTACTAAAAAAAAAAAAAAATACAAAAATTAGCTGGGCGTGGTGGCACATGCCTTGTAGTCCCAGCTACTCAGAAGGCTAAGGCAGGAGAATTGCTTGAACCCAGAAGGCGGAGGTTGCAATAAGCCGACACTACGCCATGGCACTCCAGCCCAGCCAACAAGAGTGAAACTCCATCTCAGAAAAAAAAAAAAAAACCTAGCACAGGGCTCCATTTGGTGCCTAGCCCTGTCACATGTGTGACAGCTGAAGGACAGTCTTTGACAGAGATGCTGAGCCTTTCTCCTGCATACAAGACAGACAGGGTCCAATTCCTGACCAGGCTTCGTGCACGGATGGTTTGTCCCGAGGCAATCTTTGTACCTGTATCCAGCCATCCACTGACAGTGTCTAGCTTGATAAGGGCAAAGGACATAGTAGCCAATCGGCTGAGCTGCAGGCTGCCTGGATGTTCCCTTCCAGAAGCTGGACCCGATAGTCCGGTGCATTGACACCTATGTGCCATCTTTAAGGGGCCCACCTGTGTTTCTACCATGAGGAGAAACACAGGACTGGATGGAAGCAGGCAGCCTCCTTTGGGGGCTGATGTGGGAGAACATTCTCCGCACCTGGGAGATACATGTAACCGTCTAGCATGTGGATGCCCACACTGCATAATATTGCTATTGTCTTACTCCAGCCTCACATGACACATTGTAGAGAGTTATTGCAAACCAGGCACCAGGCCACTGCAGGGGTGGTGCTCTCTCAGAAGGACACAACCTCCTGTACCTTGTAAGATGACCATGAGGCTGGGCATGGTGGCACACACTGTAATTGCAGCACTTTGAGAGGCCAAGGTGGGCAGATCACCTGAGGTCAGGAGTTTGAGACCAGCCTGATCAACATGGTGAAACCCCATCTCTACCAAAAATACAAAAATTAGGCGAGCATGGTGACGCAAGCCTGTAACCCCAGTTACTCAGGAGGATGAGTCTGGAGAATCGCTTGAACCTGAGAGGCGGAGGTTTCAGTGAGCCGAGATCGCACCACTGCACTCCAGCCTGCACAACAGAGCCAGACTCCATCTCAAAAAAAAAAAAAAGGAAGCCAAGCAGCTATTCTGGAACCAGTTAGGAGCCAGGAAGGATTTCCCATGGTGGGAGGGGGATGAGGGAATCAAGAGACCCCCAACAGTCCACATTCCCACCACAGACACCTGCAATCCTAGCACAGGAGAGCCCTGGCCTTTGCAAGTTTGTTTGTTTGTTTTGAGACAGAGTCTCACTCACTCTGTTGCCCAGGCTGGAGTGCAATGGCATGATCTCAGCTCACAGCTACCTCCACTGGGTTCAAGCGATTCCCCTGCCTCAGCCTCCCAAGTAGCTGGGATCACAGGCACCTGCATCGCGCCCAGCTAATTTTTGTATTTTTAGTAGAGATGAGGTTTCACCATCTTGGCCAGGCTGGTCTTGAACTTCTGACCTCATGATCCACCCACCTCGGTCTCTCAAAGTGCTGAGATTACAGGCATGCCCGGCCTGCAAGTTCTGAGACTAGTATAGGGGCTGCCTGGAGTCCATGACATTACGTTGTCCCAGAGAAGGAGCTCACCCGGCTCCCACCCGTGCCCTAGGACCTAAGCTGCCGCAGCACAGCACCATTTTCACACCAAACCACGTCCTGCTCCAGGGCCCAATATCCCCTGCCTCTCCACATCCCTGGTGCCCCACCAACCATCCCCACTTCCACTCAGAGGGAGGCAGTGTGGCACCACCAGCTGGACTCAGCAGCGTGGCCATGTTCCTGGAACCCGAGCAGTGCCATGGCCACGCTGCTGTCAAAAAAGAGTTTTGACACTGACTCCAAGTCACTCATCATTCCCCTCAATGTGACATGAGACCAGCAACTGGGACAGTCTCATCCTGACATTGAATCAAAACACAAATATGAATGTCTGATCAGCGATGATTTTGGAGACAGAGCTTGATCAAAAGGGAAAATGTGCAAGTTGTTAGAATAAAATGGAGTCACTAATGTTCAGAAAGCCCTAGCAAGGCTGGGTGCAGTGGCTCACACCTGTAATCCCAGCCCTTTGGGAGGCCCAGGTGGGTGGATCAAGAGTTTGAGACCAGAATGACCAACATGGTAAAACCCCACCTCTACTAAAAATACAAAAATTAGCTGGATGTGGTAGTGGGCACTTGTAATCCCAGCTACTCGTGAGGCTGAGGCAGGAGAGTTGCTTCAACCCAGGAGGCAAAGATTGCAGTGAGCTGAGATTGCACCACTGCACTCCACCCTTGTGGGTAACCCCCCATATAGGCAGCGAAGAATGAGAGCTGAGCAGAACCCTGGCACAGTTAGGGCTTGAGAAATATCTCACTTTATAGTGTTACCACTCAGCTATTTCCTTTTATATAATCCTTTATATAATCATATATTAGTTTATAGAATTAGGGCTTGACGAATCCCTTTATATAGTCCTCTATATATAATCATATAATAGTTAATAGTATGAGTGCCTAAAGAATATTTCCCTACATATATACCTATAATTATATCTTAGTTCATAATCGGAGGAATGCCTGGAGTGGACACAGTACAGAGCATGAATTAAGGAATAAGCAGCTTATAATCGGAGGAATGTCTGGAGAAGACACAGTGCAGAGCATGATTTAAGGGAAAAACAGTTATGCCAGGACAAGAATCCATGGCCCAGGTGGCAGCGTTCAGTATCGTAAAGATACCCGCTGTCTGGCAGGCTTGGGGCGAGAGCCACTCCTCCTGATAAAGGAGTTGTAGGACCTTGCTCCAGTTCTTGTGGAAGGCTGCCCTCAGAACGGCAATCCACCTTGGTGACTGTGAACTCACCAGCTCTTGCTACCGTGCTGCTTGAAAAGCATCTTCCTATAGAACCCATTAGAAGCTGCCAGTAACCCTGACAGCTCTGTCACTGCTATGTGACTTAAAGCATCCTCCTATAAATCTTCTTAGAAGTAGTGTGACCATAGATAGAAGTATTGCACACTGCACACGGCCCACCTTCAAGCCTCGGTGACCTAATGGGGGTGGACCCCTTACTGCACACGGCCCTTGCCTTTGTGGGAACAGGCCCCTTGCTGTGCACTGTCCACCTCCTGGCCTAGGTGACCTAATGGGGGTGGATCCCATGTTTTATTGCTCACGACCCAATCACTATCCTTAAAGATGATTTTACTCACTGCCCTGCCCCCTAACCTATGCATAATAAATACTCATATTTCTGGACATTTGGGGCCTTGTTTGACTCTGCTCATAGGTGGCGTAGCCCACCGAGCCCAGCTGCGTTTTTCTTGTGCTTCTGTGTCACTTCTGTGTCCTGTCTCTTTATTTCTCGGATCCTGCGCCTCAGCACAGCATAAGGCTCACCCCACAACCCTGTGGGGCCATCAGCCCTACAAGCCTGGGAAACAAAGCAAGACTCAATCTCAAAAAAAAAAAAAAAAAGAAAGCCCTAGCAAATGGAGCCAAGGAAGGCCATGAAGAGAGGATTCTCATGCTTATATGCCTGATTAAAAAAAAAAAAAAAAAACTACAAAACTATCACAGTGCATAAAGCCCACTGCAACCTTACACACGCACACAAACTCCTGCAGAAACATCTGTGCAACAAATGCCTATCCAACCTTGGACTGTTGTCACCCTTGTTACTATCTCCGTAGCCAAGGAAAACTATTTTAAAACAATTACGTCATCCTCTTCATTTTTTCCTTTAAAAACTTTGTTGGCCGGGCATGGTGGTTCACACTTCAGGAGGCTGAGGCGGGTGAATCAACTCAGGTCGGGAGTTAGAGACCAGTCTGACCAACATGGTGAAACCCCATCTCTACTAAAAATACAAACAATTAGCTGGGCATGGTGGTGGATACCTGTAATCCCAGCTACTTGGGAGGCTGAGACAGAAGAGTCACTTGAATCTGGGAGGTTCAATGCACTCTACCAGCTGGGAGAAAATAACTTTAATATATACAACTGGAAAATGACAACATATCCAGAATATATAAAGAACTCCAAGGAAAAAGACAGATCATCCAGTATTTTTTTAAATGGGCAAAAATGAACTCAACCACACATTTTGCTGAAGAGACAATCCAATGGCCAATATATATATATATCAAAGGATACATAACCACCTTATCAATAACCAGAGAAATACAAATTAAAACCATACAATCCTACCAAATTGGCAAAATTTTTAAACTATGACAATACAAGTATTTGCAAGAGTGAGGTAATGAGAACTTCCACACATACATTTCTAATATATACAATTAGACACTGGCACAAACACTATGGAAAGTAATCTGGCATCATCTGTGAAGTTATAGATATACGTGGTAGCGTGAAAAAATACAGCCACAACATTTTGCAGCTCCTTCAATTAAGAGGTAAAGTCTATTTTTACCTTTGGAATCTGGGATGGCCTTTTTTCATTCCTTTTTTTTTTTTTTTCCGAGACGGAGTTTCGCTCTTGTTACCCAAGCTGGAGTGCAATTGGCGCAATCTCGGCTCACCGCAACCTCCGCCTCCTGGGTTCAGGCAATTCTCCTGCCTCAGCCTCCTGAGTAGCTGGGATTACAGGCACACGCCACCATGCCCAGCTAATTTTTGGTATTTTTAGTAGAGACAGCGTTTCACCATGTTGACCAGGATGGTCTCGATCTCTTGACCTCATGATCCACCAGCCTCGGCCTCCCAATCTTTTTTTTTTTTTAGTTGAGATGGAATTGGTTTCACCATGTTGGTCAGGCTGGTCTCAAACTCCTGACCTCAGGATCCACCCGCCTTGGACTCCCAAAGTGCTGGGATTACAGGCTTGAGCCACGATGCCCACCCTGGGGTGGCTTTTTTTTACTTCCTTCAACCAAGAAATGCAGCGGCAATGGAAGCAGTCTACACTTCCCTTCAGACACTTTGCTGAGTCTGCCTTTGTGCTCTGTGGGCTGCCATGTGAGGAAGACCAAACTAGCCCCATGGAGAGGCCTCATGGAAGTGAACAGCCCTTGCTGGCTTATGTATGCATATGTAGGCAATACAGTAACACTATCCTGACTTTCATGTCTACAAACAGGAGTAAACCCAAACAACACCACTTAGCCAGCCAGGCGCGGTGGCTCACGCCTGTAATCCCAGCACTTTGAGAGGCCGAGGCGGATGGATCACCTGAGGTCAGGAGTTCACCTGGCCAACATGGTGAAACCCTGTCTCTACTAAAAACTCAAAAATTAGCTGGGTGTGGTGGCGGGCACCTGTAATCCCAGCTACTCAGGAAGCTGAGGCAGGAGAATTGCCTGAACCTGGGAGGTGGAGGTTGCAGTGAGCTGAGATCAGGCTACCACTCTCCAGCCCGGGTGACAAGAGTGAAACTCTGTCTCAAAAAAAGCCCATCCCTGCTGGGCTTAGCCCCCAGCCAACCCTCCAGCTGAACACAGCCATGTTAGTGAACCCACACAAGCCCAGCAGAAGAACTTTCCAGCCAACCCACAGAATCATGAGATAAAGCATTGTTGTTTTAATCCATTTACTTCCAGGGCGATTTGTTACCTAAGAATAGATAACTATGCCTCGACAGTCTAACTCATCTGTCCCAGAAAAATGTGAACATATGTAGTACTTTACAGCAACACTTTTAATGGCATAAAACTGGAAAGACTCCAAATGTCATCAATAGAATGGATTTTTTTAAACTGTGGTACAGTCATATACTGAAACATTATACAGCATTTTAAAAGTACAGATTAAAGTTACACACAGTATGGATAAATATTACAAACATGTTGAATGAGAGAAATAAAGCACAAAAGTAAGCAAAGAGAACATATATGTGAGGAAACAAATAACTAAACTATACTGCTTTACAGGAGGCTGAGGCAGGAAAATTGCTTGAACCTGGGAGGCAGAGGTTGCCGTGAGCCAAGATCACACCACTGCCCTCCAGCCTGGGTGACAGCGAGACTCCATCCCAAAAAAAAGCACAACTAACAAACAGAAAAACTGTATTTCTTTATATAAGTGGACAAATTAAACTATATTGCTTAGCTCTGCATACATAGATGACAGAACATAAAAAAAAAACAAAGAACTAATGGCTATTCTGACTTCTATGATGATTAATTCTTTTTTTTCCTTCTATTCTAACATCTGTGTATGCATATCTAAGCAATACAGTGGCCACTACCCTGACTTTAATGATAGTTACCTCTGGGCAGCAGTAAAGAGATATGATTAGGAAAAGACACATGGAGAGCTCCTAGGGTTACTCTAGTTCTCAATACCGGTGATGTTTACTTCACAGTTCTTTACACTATACATTGTTTTATACATTTTTTCTTTTTTTGCTCGAGGTGAGGTCTCACCCAGCTGGTTTCACACTCCTGGATTCAAGCAATCCTCCCATAAAATGGCTTTAGCCCATTGATCATGAAAGCACCAACAAGACACCAGCCACCATGCCTGGCCTTGTTTTATGCATTTTTCTATATGTATTTAATAGCTCATAATAAAAGGGGTTTTTTTGAAAACACACAAAGAAATACCATTACACTGCCACCAGACTGGAAAAAATTTAAAAGTCCAATCAAGTTTAATCAAATGTTGTACAAAAAGTAAAACGAATGAAAGTCTCACACACCCTCGATGGGAGGGTAATGCACCACACCACTTTGAAAAGCAGGCAATATATGATAAAGCTGAAGATGAGCATACCCGACTCAGCAATTCCATTCCTAACTACATACTGTCAAGAACTCTTGCACATGTACACATGTATATGCCCAGGCATCTTCTAGAAGAAAATGGTGGTTATTTGTGAGGGTTAAAATTACTGGGAGAGGCTGGGCATGGTGGCTCATGCCTATAATCCCAGCTCTAAGGGAGGAAGAGGCAGGAGGATAGCTTGAGCCCAGGAGTTCAAGACCTGCCTGACCAATATAGTGAGAGATCCCATTCTCAAAAATTAAAAAAAAAATTAAAAAAATAAAGATTACCAGGAGCAATTCAACTCAGGGTTGCCTCCTCTGGAAGGCCCTATCTGACTAGCCCAGAAAGAATTCATGGCTCTGTCTCCTGTCCTCACCTATCACTTCTGCTGCCAGTTAGCACAAGGTAGGGGGACGCTCAACTAAGGGGCTGAACTTACCTCTCACAGCAGTGATGTGTGATGACTGTCGCCCAGAAGCCCAGGACACAGAAGTTGAAAGATGTGATAATCACCAAAGTGAGGTTTATCAAGGACACGAGAAAGGCATCACTGAGACAGTTGTTGGACTGGGGCATGTAGGAGGCTAAGGAGGCAACGGAGCCAAGGCCTATGCCTGTGTTAAACAAAACGTGGCTCCCTGCTACAGACCACACACTCATATTGTACACGTCCGCTATCTACAAGAGATAAAAGTATAAGGGGTTGTAAAAGAAGAAGCAGAGGACAACAACAGAAACGTTTCGGGGAGGAGAGAGGGAGATATGGAAAGAAAGAATGGGGAAAGCAAGTTCTAAGAATAGGCAGCTGTGCTGCCCTGCAAGGCCTGATGGGGGAGTGAGGAAGACAGATTTCACCTTGGCAGCCACCAACTCTTGAAGGCCAAATTTTGCCCCTTCCAGCAGTAGACTCCGGATGAAGAGCCCAACGATGATGAAACAGGAGAGCAGTATCAAGACATACATGACCTGCATAGAGAGTGGGACATATCAGCAACCGTGTACCAGCAGGGGCCAACTAACAGTCAGGAGGGATCAAAAGTTCTGAGTGAGTAATGAGTAGGAGTTAGAAGAAAGCATTCAGCAAGGGTCAGGGGCCAGTGGGAGTAACAGGCCAGAGGAGTAAGAAATTAGGAAATCAACAAGCAACGAAGTGAGGTAAGGGCTAAAGCATCTGAGAATTTCAAGGAATCCAACACTGGTGGCTCACCTTCCCGGTGGACTTGAGCCCACTGATCATGAAAGCACCCACAGACACCAGCAAATAAAGAAGGGCAGGATCAGACTGCTGACTGGTGACCCACCATCCTCAATTCTGTCTGAGGCCTTCAAGGTCTCCCGGCACCAGAAGTACATGGAGGGTATTGTCCGTTCACATGCAGGATCTAGGGGGACCTGGCTTTGGACATGCCTGCTAGACAAGGTAACCCCTCCTCTTTTTTATCCCCTCTCCCACCTCTCTTTTCTCTTTCCTCCTCCCATTTCTTTTTCCTTCTTCTGTCTTCCTCTTCCTTGTCCCTCCCCACTCCTTTCTCCTCTTCCCTTCTACTTCTCCATTTTTCCCTCCTCTTCTTTCACCTTCCTCACCAAAGCCACTAGAGTTCGCCGTTAAGTGACATTTCTCCCATGGAGCAGGATACTTGAAGGACTGGCTCATGTAGAAGACAGTCCAGGAATTCATCACATTCAAGTACAAGCCAATGATGAAGCACATCTGGGGGCCAAGCAGGAAGTGGCTGGGGAGGAAGAGCAGGGACAGGAAAGGGGAGAGGACTTGAGAGAGGATTGGGGAACCAAAGGGATTTGACCCATGCAAGTACTCATTGGACACATTTCAGGAAGAGCGTTGGGATGGGGTGGGGTGTAAAAGTCAGGCCTGGGCAGCCAAGGGCTCCTCACCATGAAGCTGGAATACCCCACACCACCAATCCAGGGGGCAATGATCTTCCATACACCCATGCTACCCTGACGCATGCTCTGACCAGCTGCCATCTCCAGGAAGAAAACAGGAACCCCTACTGGGAACAGCATGAAGATGCAGACAGCTGCGCAACTGCCTGTGAAGCGGATTCAGGAGGGACTCTGAGAACCATCTGGCCTTTCAGTGCCTGGGCTGCTTCAGGAGTCCAGGAAAACATTCTCCCTACAATGACCTCTCCCAGGGCAACAGGGCTCATCCACTTCTTTTTTATTTTTTCCTTTTTTTTTGAGACAGAGTCTTGCTCTGTCACCCAGGCTACAGTGCAGTGCAATCTCGGCCCACTGCCACCTCCGTGGTTCATGTGATTCTCCTGCCTCAGCCTCCCAAGTAGCTGGGACTACAGGGGCATGCTACCATGCCCAGCTAATTTTTTTGTACTTTTAGTAAAGACAAGGTTTCACCATGTTAGCCAGGATGGTCTCCATCTCCTGACCTCATGATCTACCTACTTCAGCTTCCAAAAGTGCTGGGATTACAGGCATGAGCCACCACGCCTGGCCAGGCTCACCCATTTCTACATCTCTCAAAATCCCAAATGTCCAATTCCCTTGGCCCCCAATTCCTGGAAGACCCAGGTACCTAGTTTCCAGCCATTCTTGGACTGAGGCCCCCAGCTCAGCCATCCCCATGTTCAGATACCCTGAACCTCTATCCCTCTGGTGATTCTAGGTATACAGGGACCTGGCACCTATGCTGCTCAGAGTACCAGGTCTTCGGCCTCTACATATCTCAGAGACATTCACGTTTAAAGCCTGGCTAGGACTCTGTCTGCCCAGGTTTCCTGATCCCCAGATTTACAGCCTCCACTGTTAAGCCACAGGTAGGTAAAGCGCCAGAGATAATCTGGCCTCACAGAGAAGCCCACCTGGGCGAGAATGTACTCAGCTTTGCTGGACCAGAACGGATGGGCATAGAGGACCTCACTCTTTTCCTTCTCTGTCATCTGCACCTTCTCATATATGGGTTTCTGCTTCAGGACTGAGGTAGGTGCCACCTCCGGTATAGAAATTGGCTTGGGCTGCCTGGTCCTGGCCTGAGCCTCCATAGCATGGGTTTTCCAGGCCTGAGCCTTTGCAATCCGGGTGGCTGAAACTTGGGCCTCTGAGGTCCAAGGTGGTGCATCCCAGGTCCCCGGATCCTTGTCTTCCCGTGTTTGACTTCCTGAGCCACTGTCAGAAATCACTGTGTCAATGAGGTGTTTGCCAGCGAGGATGTCGAAGGCTGGGCCTCTGTCTTCATCACAAACAGACTCTCTGGGGCAGCTCCAGCTTCTGCAGAGGAGGGTTCATCTTCCTGAAAGACCTTAAGGACACCAAAAACCGTAGACTTTAGATTTGGAGATTTAAGATTTTAGATTTGGAGTCAAGTAATTACCGAGTTCCAAAATAATTCTCAACCTCTCCTTAAAGCAAACTTCATTTTTATCCCAACCACTGATATTCAAAGCACAAAAAAAATCTTAGTTAAGTTTCTCTTCTTAGAAATGATTTTGAGCAGTGGCTCACACCTGTAATCCCAGCACTTTGGGAGGCCGAGGTGGGCAGATCACCTGAGGTCAGGAGTTGGAGACCAGCCTGGCCAAAATGGCAAAACCCCGTCTCTACTAATACAAAAATTAGCTGGGTGTGGTGGTGTGCACCTTCAATCCCTGCTACTCAGGAGGCTGAGGTGGGAGAACTGCTTGAATCCAGGAGGCGGAGGTTGCAGCTGAGATCAGGCCACCGCATTCCAGCCTGAGAAGCAGAGCAAGACTCTGACTCAAAAAAAAGAAGAAAGAAAGAAAGGAAATGTTTTCATGCAAGGGATAGGAAGAGAGATAGACCAACCAAGAGTCAGGAATCCCTGAAAACAAAGGATTTTTTTCTTTTATTGTTTTCACATGGAGTCTCACTCTGTCGCCCAGGCCCCAGTGCAATGGCGCAATCCCGGCTCACTGCAACCTCTGCCTCCCGGGTTCAAGCAATTCTTCTGCCTCAGCTTCCAGAGTAGCTGGACTTATGGGTACACACCACCATGCCCAGCTAATTTTTGTATTTTTAGTAGAGATGGGGTTTCACCATGTTGGCCAGGATGGTCTCGAACTTCTGACCTCAAGTGATCCACCGACATCAGTCTCTCAAAGTGCTGGGATTACAGGTATGAGCCACTGCACCCAGCCTGAAATCAAAGGACTTCTAAGAACACTGAGGTACTATTTGCAGAGGGCTTCCAAATTAAAGAAAAATCTAAGTTAATACTAAATCTGCCTTGTAACCTTAAAAAAGTTACTGTACCTTACTGAGCTTTCTAATTGGTACAACACTCAGATAGCTGGGCACAGTGGCTCACGCCTGTAATCCCAACACTTTGGGAGGCCAAGGCAGGCAAATCACCTGAGGTTGGGAGTTCGAGACCAGCCTGACTAACATGGAGAAATCCCATCTCTACTAAAAATACAAAATTAGCCAGACATGGTGGCACATGCCTGTAATCCCAGCTACTCAGGAAGCTGAGGCAGGAGAATCACTTGAACCTGGGAGGTGGAGGTTGCAGTGAGCTGAGATTGCACCATTGCACTCCAGCCTGGCAAACAAGAGCAAAACTCCAATGGGAAAAAAGAAACAAGACACTCAGATCTCTGCTCAAATACAGCCTCACCAGAGATGCCTTCCCTGTCTCCCTATCTTTTTTTTTTTCTTTTTTTTTTGAGATGGAGTCTTGCTCTGTACCCCAGGCTGGAGTACAGCGGCACAATTTCAGCTCAATGCAACCTCCGCCTCCCAGGTCCTGGTTCAAGCAATTCTCCTGCCTCAGCCTCCTGAGTAGCTGGGATTACAGGAATGCACCACCATACCCAGCTAAGATGGGCTTTCGTCATGCTGGCCAGGCTGGTCTTGAACTCCTGACCTCATATTCCATCTGCCTCAGCTTCCCAAAGTGTTGGGATCACAGGCGTGAGCCACTATGCACAGCCAGCCCTGTCCCCCTATCTAAAATAGTGCCTGCCTACCCACTACTCTCTTTACTTTCCTTCATGGTATGTCTGGTCTCCTGATTTTATTATCTATTTATGGTTAATTTATTCACTGTCCAGCTCTGCCTACTGCTCTATCTCCAGCAAAAGAATGGTGTTCTACCTCGTATCTGGGGCTATTCTTCTTGCTCTCCAAGTTCCCGCCATTCTGAATGTCTGTTGGCTCTTCAAATACAAGAGAACGGGCAAGGAGTATGCTGAAAAAATTTAAAAAGTTCAGTGAAAGAGAGGAAGAGAGAGGGAAAACTGGAGTCTTCTTTCAGAGGGGGAAGGAGCATGCTTTCCAAAAGCAGAGGCAGTAGGTGGGCACCAAGGCAGCACTGGCACATGTGGGTCACCTGGATAATTGCTTGTGAGACACAGCTTCCAGAGAGCTCTGTGCTACTCAGGAAAATGCTTAAAATTCAATGACAGGTTAAAAACATAAAACTAAGATACAAATTTCTACCTTTAGTTCTAGAAATTTAAAAATGCAATGAAAGGCTGAAAGGAAATACATCAATATATAGAAGATGATCAGGCCAGGCGCAGGGGCTCACACCTGTAATCCCAGCTTCTCAGAAGCTGAGGAGGGAGGATTGTTAGAACACAGGAGGCAGAGGTTGCAATGAGCCAAGATCAAGCCACTGCATTCCAGCCTGGGCAACTTTGTCTAAAAAAAAAAAAAAAAAAAAAAAAAAAAAGATGACAATGGCTGCAAATATGTTCATATCCTTCTCCCTGCTTTTACACTAAAATTTTTTAAATCCTGTATTACCTTTTCTTCAGACACAGTCTCACTCTGTCACCCAGGCTGGAACGCAGTGGCATGATTCATATAGTTCACTGCAGCCTTGAACTCCTGGGTTCAAAGGATGGATCCTCTCACCTTATCCTCCCAAGTACCTAGGACTATCGGCATGTGGCACCATACTCAGCTAATTTTTAAGTTTTGGCCAGGCAAGGTGGCTCATGCCTGTAATCCCAGCCCTTTGGGAGGCCGAGGCAGGCGGATTACGAGGTCAGGAGTTTGAGATCAGCCTGGCCGACATATTGAAACCCGTCTCTACTAAAAAATACAACAATTAGCCGGTCATGGTGGCATGTGCCTGTAATCTCAGCTACTCAGGATGCTGAGGCGGGAGAATCGCTTGAACCTGGGAGGCAGATGCTGCGGTGAGCTGAGATTGCACCATTGCTCTCCAGCCCAGGCAACAGTGCAAGATACTGCCTCAAAAAAGAAAAGTTTTTTTCGAGATGGGAGTGTCACTATATTGCTTAGCTGGCCTCGAACTCCTATGTTCAAGTGATTCTCCTACCTCAGCCTCCAGAATAGCTGGCATTACAAGCACAAGCCACCATTCCCTGCTTGCCTGTATTACTTTAATAATCAAGAAAAATGTGGCCAGGCACAGTGGCTCATGCCTGTAATCCCAGAACTTTGGGATGCCAAGGCAGGTGGATCACTTGAGGTCAGGAGTTTGAGACCAGCCTGGTCAACATGGTGAAACCCCATCTCTACTAAAACTACAAATAAAATAAAATAAAATAGCCAGGCATGATGGCAGGCACCTGTAATCCCAGCTACTAGGAAGACTGACACAGGAGAATCACTTGAACTGGGAGATAGAGGTTGCAGTGAGCCAAGATTGTGCCACTATACTCCAGCCTAGATGACAGAGTGAAAGTCTGTCTCAAAAAATAATAATAATCAAGAAAAACAGGCCAGGTGCAGTGGCTCACGCCTATAATCCCAGCAGTTTGGGAGACTGAGGCAGGTGGATCATGAGGTCAGGAGTTGAAGATCAGCCTGGCCAAGATGGTGAAACCCCATCTCTACTAAAAATACAAAAATTAGCCAGGTATAGTGTTGGGCGCCTGTAATCCCAACTACTCAGGAGGTTGAGGCAGATAACTGCTTGAACCTGGGAGGCAGAGATTGCAGTGAGCCAAGGTAGTGCCACTGTACTCCAGCCTGGGTGACAGAACAAAACTCTATCTCAAAAAAAAGAAAGGGGGGGGGTGGGGAAGAGAGAGAAAGGAAGGAAGGAAGGGAGGGAGGGAGGGAGGGAGGGAGGGAAAGATACCTGGGCATGGTGGCTCATGCTTGTAATCCCAGCACTTTGGGAGGCTGAGGCAGACAGGTCAGGAGTTGGAGATCAGCCTGGCCAACATGGTGAAACCTTGTCTCTACTAAATATACAAAAATTCCCAGCTACTCAGGAGGCTGAGGCAGGAGAACTGCTTGAACCAGGGAGGCAGAGGTTGCAGTGAGCTGAAATCATGCCACTGCATTCCAGCCTGGGAGACACAGCAAGACTCTGTCTCAAATATATATATATATATATACACACACACACACATACAGAGAGAGAGAGAGAGAGAAGTAAAAATAAAAAGATCATAATAGACACAGAAATCCAATTGAAGGGCCGGGCGCAGTGGCTCACACCTGTAATCTCAGCGCTTTGGGAGGCCAAGCCAGGCTGATCACCTGAGGTCGGTAGTTCAAGAGCAGACTGACCAAAATGGAAAAATCCTATCTCTACTGAAAATACAAAATTCGCCAGGCATGGTGGCACATGCCTGTAATCCCAGCTTCTTGGGAGGCTGAGGCAGGAGAATTGCTTGAATCCAGGAGGCAGAGGTTGCGGTGAGCCAAGATCACGCCATCACACTCCACCGTGGGCAACAAGAGTGAAAACTCCATCTCAAAAAAAGGAAATCTTGAAGGAGCTCTCATGAGCCAAATCTGAACAAATCAGAACATCAAAATAAATAATAGTAACAGATGAAAACCAACAGACTAAAACAAGAATTTATGAATCCACAGAGATACAACTCAGAAAAAAAGAAAAGCTCTTCCTTATAGAATACAAATTAATAAATGTACAAGGAATGATGAATTAGAATGTCATTGCTTATCACATGAATTCACATGTAATTGTATTCTATTTATTAGAATACAAACTAATAAATGTACAAGGAATGATGAATTAGAATGTCATTGCTCATCAAGTTGCACACATTAAATATGTACAGTTTTTTACATGTCAGTCACACCTCAGTAAAGATGTCCTTTTAAAAAATCATTGTTTGGAAATGAGCAGAGTAATAACTGATTCACGAAAGAATCACCAACGGCAGCTAACACAATATGATGAAAATTTGATGGGGACAGGATAATTGCATAGTATTACTGTATCTCCCCATAAGGTATTCCCCCAAAAAGACAGAAAAATAGTATCTTTAGAGTGTTACGCACTGCCTTAACCAAGTAATAAAAGTCAACTGACATCATATAACTCCTGATACAAAGCATTAAGAACACAACATCAGGCCGGGCGTGGTGGCTCACGCCTATAATCCAAGCACTTTGGAGGCCAAGGCGGGGGATCACCTGAGGTTGGGAGTTTAAGACCAGCCTGACCAATATGGTGAAATCCCGTCTTTAAAAAAAAAAAAAAGAACACAACATCGTTTCTGTGATATTGCTGCCAAAAATGTATAACTAGGCCAGGCGCGGTGGCTCACGCCTGTAATCCCAGCACTTGGGGAGGCTGAGGCAGGTGGATCACCTGAGATCAGGACTTCGAGACCAGTCTGCCAATATGGTGAAACTCCACCTCTAAAAAAAAAAAAAGATAAGAAAAAAATATAAAATAAAATATTTTTTTAAATGTATAACAAAACTCCAATCATGAGGGAACATCAGAAAACAAAATCTAAATTGAAGTTCACTCTGTAAAATGGCTGGCCTGTGCTCAGTAAAAATGTCAAAATCGTGAAGACAACAAAAGATGGAAGTGTTGGAAGTCTGAAATTATGCCAAAATTTTTTTAATTTTAAAATTCCAAGCACCTGCCACTCCTACAATTCACCATCAAAACAAAATGAAATTTATTCCAAGAAAGACAGCCACACGAACACTGACCTCCAAACTTACCCACAATCTCCCCTACCCAACAGAAAAACAAACGATTTTAAAATATGACAGATATGGGGATATCTGCATCATTTCTGAAAAATAGGTTCCATCCTTATGTCAAAAACAGAGAAACTTCTGCTACATAAACAAGAAATAGGACCAAACTGTAATCACTGAAGAGTCAGTTCGCATCTTTTTTTCCTGGTGAAGTGGTCCAGTGTTTCAGGACGTAAGTGAATACTTCCCCAGCAACCTGTGGGAAATAGAACCAATCGCTTGCCAAAGACCTTCCGCTCCATGAACCAGTAGCTTGCAGAAGCTGTGTGCCAGGACATGCAACAACACGTAGGCCACTGCGTTGATGAGCATCTCCCTGAGACAAACTATGCTTCCTAACATTAAGACAGAAGCTAGAAACCATGCAGGGGAGAAAAGGCTGAAGAAAGAATTAGGTACAAAAATCCAACTAGTGGGCAGGAGAACAACATTGGAATGGAGGTAATATGAGGAAACAGTATCATCATGTTAGATGCCTTGGAGTAAGTACAAATAATGGCTGATCAGTAGAGAAATCCACATCCTCTTTCCAAAGGGCCTGTTTTACTATCATTAAAAACTTGAGGGCAGGCACAGTGGCTCATGCCTGTTATCCCAGACCTTTGGGAGGCCAAGGTGGGTGGATTACCTGAGGTCAGGAGTTGGAGACCAGCCTGGCCAACGTGGTGAAACACCATCTCTACTGAAAATACAAAAATTAGCCACGTGTGGTGGTGGGTACCTATAATCCCAGCTACTCAGGAGGCTGAGACAGGAGAACTGCTTGAACCCAGGAGGCAGAAGTTGCAGTCAGCCGAGACCACGCCATTTCACTCCAGCCTGGGCAACAGGAATGAAACTCCATCTCAAAAAAAAAAAAAAAACTTAAGTCATACCATGAGGACCAAAAAAAGTGAATCATATATATTTTCATTTTAAACTTTTTGTTAAACTTTTGTAATAGTCAAGAAAAAAAGGTGTATGGAAGACAAAAGAAACTCTACATACAGACAAATTTTTATAAAAGACCTTAAAACAACTACAAGAAAAATACAACTATAAGAGTATCTGGAAAGAAGACAGACAGATGACTTCTCAAAATCAAAAATGGAAGCCATGAGACAGTGGTGGTATATGATCAACAAGTTAGAAAAAAAAAAAAGAACTTCCAATCTAGAATTTTAAACCCTAAAAATAAATATCTTTTTAAATGAGGGTAAAATACATATAGATTACAAATTTTACCCTCATTTAAAAAGATATTTATTTTTTTGATGAAAAGAATTTTTGAGACAGGGTCTCATTTTGTCACCCAGGCTGGACTATAGTGGTGCTATCACAGCTCACTGCAGCCTCAAACTCCCAGGCTCAACTGAATCTCCCACCTCAACATCCTGAGTATCTGGGACCACAGACACACACCACCATGCCCAGCTAGGTTTTTTCATCGTTTTTTTTCTTTCTTTTTTTTTTTTTTTTTAAGAGATGGGATTTTGCCATGTTGCCCCAGCTGGTCTCAAACTCCTGGGCTCAAACAATCCACTTGCCTCAGCCTCTCAAAGTTTTCAGATTACAGGCTGAGCCACCATGCACAACCAAGATGAAAATTTTTAGAGACAGTTGCCAACAGATTTTCATTAAAGGAAATTCTGAAATAAGTGTTTCAGGCCTCAGAAAAGTAATCCCAGATAGGAGGTTTAAGAAAAAGGAGGGATAAAGTATTTTAAAAAAGATAAATATGTATGAAAATCTGAATGAAAAACATCTATATGAAACAAAATAATAATGTCCTGGGAGATTGAAAAGTAAAAGTAAAAAGCATCAAAACAATATCATATAAGTTGGGAGAAGTAAATAGAATTAAAATATTCTAAATTCTTCATGTCTTATGAGAGAAGGGGAAACTTCAGACTTCAATAAGTTAAGTGTGCATTATTTAAGTTATAAGGTGACCACTAAGTGAATACAAACAAAATGTAAAATCTTATGGCTGTTAAGTGGGAGAAAAAATATAATACTAAAAAAAAAAATCAATATTTTAAAAAAACCTGTCAACCAAGAATGCTATATCCAACAATCCTATCCTTCAAAAATGAGAGGGAGCTAGGTATAGTGGCTCATGCATGTCATCCCAGCACTTTGGGAGGCCAAGACAGGTGGATCAGTTGAGGTCAGGAGTTTGAGACCAGCCTGGCCAACACAGTGAAACCCTGTTCTAACAAAAATACAAAAATTAGCCAGGCATTTCTGTAGGTGCCTGAAATCCCAGCTACTTGGAAGACTGAGGCAGGAGAATCACTTGAATCTGCAAGGCAGAGGGTGCAGTGAGCCAAGATCACACCACTGCACTCCAGGCCAGGCAACAGAGCAAGACTCCATATTAAAAAAAGAAGAGGGAGACAGAAACTTTCTCAGACAAACAAAAGCTGAGGGAATGTATTATCACTAGACCTGCCCTACAAGAAACGCCCTAGGGGTGCTTCAAGCTGAAGGAAAAGGTTGCTAAGTTGGCAACATGAAAATATACAGCTTACTGGTAAACATAAATATAGAGTCAAACTCAGAACACTCATTAATGTTGTTCTGAGTAATGATGGCGTGAAAACCAATTATATTTCCAGTATAAAGTTTAAAAGACAAAACTACTAAAAACAATTATAACTACAATAATTTCTTAAGGGACAAACTATAAAAGATACTAAATATGTCATCAAAAATAAATTGTGGGTCTAGGGTGTAAAAGTATACGGTTTATGCAAGTGATCCCAGCACTTTGGGAGGCTGAAGCGGGTGGATCACAAGGTCAAGAAATCAAGACCATCCTGGTCAACATGGTGAAACCCCGTCTTTACTAAAAATACAAAAAAATTAGCTGGGCATGGTGGCGCACACCTGTAGTCCCAGCTACTCGGGAGGCTGAGGCAGGAGAATTGCTTGAACCCAGGAGGCGGAGGTTGCGGTGAGCCGAGATCGCACCATTGCACTCCAGCCTGGGTAACAAGAGTGAAACTCTGTCTCAAAAAAAAGAAAAAAGAAAAAGAAAAACAAAGTTAAGCAGTAATCAGTTTAAAATAACCTGTTATTAGCAGATGTTTTATATAAGCTTCATGGTAACTACAAAGCAAAAAACTCTTAGTAGAAATTATTCAAAGCATGCCACTAAAGAAAATCAATATAATTAGTCATATTGATAATATAATAAAGAAAAATGTCATCATCTCAAGAGATACAGGAAAAGCATTTCATAAAGTACAACATACAATAATGATTTAAAGAAGAAAACTTTTAGCAAACTAGGAATAATTTTCCTAATCTGATAAATGGTGTCTACCAAAAAAGAACATAATAGTGAACATATGCTTAAACATAGTCACATACTTAACAGTGATATGAAGAAAGCTTTCTGTTTGAAATCAAGAACAATCAACGAGACCAGCTATCAGCACGTCCTTCCCCTTGCATTAAATAGTGTAGACAGTACAGTAAAGCAAGGGGAATAAAAGACAAAGATTAGATAAAACAAAACCCATGATTCACAGATGATATAGTTATGTGAAAGATCCAAAATACTACAGATAAATTATTTAAGTTAATAAGATAATTTACGAAGATTGTTGGATGAAAACAGCAATAAGACCGGGCGCAGTGGCTCACACCTACAATCCCAGCACTTTGGGAGGCCGAGGCGGGTGGATCACGAGGTCAAGAGATCGAGACCATCCTGGTCAACAAGGTGAAACCCCGTCTCTACTAAAAAAAAAAAAAAAAAAAAAATACAAAAATTAGCTGGGCATGGTGGCGCACGCCTGTAGTCCCAGCTACTCGGGAAGCTGAGGCAGGAGAATTGCTTGAACCCAGGAGGCGGAGGTTGCGGTGAGCTGAGATCACGCCATTGCACTCCAGCCTGGGTAACAAGAGCAAAACTCCGTCAAAAAAAAAAAGAAAACAGCAATAAATGAAAAGTAATTATATGTCTATGTCTGCAACACATAATTAGAAAATACAATTTAAAGATACCACTTACAAAATAATTTTGTAATATAGAGTAAAATCCTGGGGAGGTAATGGCAATAATGGCACCCATCATTTTAAAATCTTCCCAAATACCCACATGAAAACAAGTAGTTCTACTAGATTGCAAGCCCAAAATCCATGGATAATGTTTAAAATATCAAGATAAATCCCAAAATACAAGTCCTATGGGAACAAACCACCAAGAGCCACAGGCTTGTATAGAATCAGCATCTGTGTGGGAGGAAGTAAAGGAACAAAAGAGCATCTGACAGACCTGAGGGGGGAAAATACTCTCAAAATAATCAACAGGTACTCACCAGAAATCATGGAAAGCCTATTAGAAAATAGCACCTTAAACTAGGAGATGTCTTGCCTAATCCAGTAACGGCTGAGTGCATTGAGTCTACAACAGAAACTGAAGGGACCAGGGCAGTCTAGATTCTATGAACTCTTAAGATTAACCAACCAGGGGACTTTTCCAACCCAGAGGCCACAATGAGGAGAAATTCCTGTGAGTAAAGCCAAATTGAGCAATACAAGGACAAGGATAATGAAGGATAGGCCAGACATGGCAGCTCATGCCTATAATCCTAGTAATTTGGGACACCAAAGTGGGAGGATCACTTGAGGCCAGGAGTTCATGATAAGCCTTGACAATGCAGCATAAGCCCATATCTACAAAAAAAATAGTAAATTAAAATTAGCCAGGCATAGTGGCACATGCCTGTGGTCCCAGCTACTTGGGAGGCTAAGTGGGGAGGATCGTTTGAGCCCAGGAGTTCAAGGTTACAGTGAGCTATGATCACACCACTGCACTCCAGCCTGGGCAATAGAGTGGGACCCTACCCCTAAAAAAATAAAATAAAACAGGCTGGGTGCAGTGGTTCATGGCTGGAATCCCAGCACTTTGGGAACCCAAGACAGGAGTATCACTTGAGGTCAGGAGTTCAAGACCGGCCTGGCCAACATGGTGAAATTCCATCTCTAACAAAAAACACAAAAATGAGCCAGGCATGGTAGCACACACCTGTAGCCCCAGGTATTCAGAAGGTTGAGGTGAGATAATCACTTGAATTCAGGAGGCGGAGGCTGCAGTGAGCCAAGACTGCACCACTGCACTCCAGCTTGGGCAACAGAGTAAGAGACTATCTCAAAAATAATAATAAAATAAAACTAATTAAAAGATAATTTTGGCCAGGCATGGTGGCTCATGCCTGTAATCCCAGCACTTTGGGAGGCCGAGGCGGGTGGATCACGAGGTCAAGAAATCGAGACCATCCTGGTCAACATGGTGAACCCTGTCTCTACTAAAAATACAAAAAATTAGCTGGGCATGGTGGCGCGTGCCTGTAATCCCAGCTACTCGGGAGGCTGAGGCAGGAGAATTGCCTGAACCCAGGAGGCGGAGGTTGCAGTGAGCCGAGATCGTGCCATTGCACTCCAGCCTGGGTAACAAGAGTGAAACTCTGTCTCAAAAAAAAAAAAGATAATTTTAAGGAAAAAAAAAAAGATGAAGGGCACACAGGATCCAGATAAAAATGGGGAGAAGGCCAGGCGCAGTGGCTCACACCTGTAAATCCCAGCACTTTGGGAGGCCGGAGTGGGCAGATCAGGAGGTTAGGAGTTCAAGACCAGCCTGACCAACATAGTAAAACTCCTTCTCTACTAAAAATACAAAAATTAGACAGGTATGGTGGTGTGCACCTGTAATCCCAGCTACTCAGGAGGCTGAGGCAGGAGAATCGCTTAAAACCAGGTGGCCAAGGTTGCAGTGAGCCACGATCGAGCCACTGCACTCCAGCCTGGGTGACAGAATGAGACTCCATCTCAAAATAAATAAACAATAAAGTCACCTTTCTTTTTTTACTTTTTACTTTTTTTTTTTTTAATATAAAGAAGTGGTTTCACCATGTTGGTCAGGCTGGTCTTGAACTCCCGACCTCAGGTGATTACAGGCGTGGGCCGCCACGCCCGGCCCCCTAAAGTCACCTTTCTTAAACACATTCTACAATCGTTTTCCTGAAAAGCAAGCTTTACGGAAATGAGAGAACTGAGTTTTGGCCAACTGGCCACTTCCAACACCCATGAAGTCCCCTGAGCCCCAGGCGGACTCTCTTTTCCATTTGGGTGCAACCCTCACGGTGCCCCCGCGACGTCATCCCCAGCAACTCCTCTCCTGGGCTCATGCCGTCTGGGGAGTGCTCAGGATCCCCCGGAAAGGCCATTTCCCTCACATTACCTCCTTTTCTGGAAGTATAACCTCCAAAAAAGGAAAAGAGGGAGCTGGTGTCCGGTTTCTTCCAAAGGCAGAAAACCACCGCCCCACCAGCCCAGTGCCGGGGCTGGACCCGGGTTCCCCCCGCTCTCCCCAGGGGCAGGGACCGAGGGCCGAACCGTGCCGGGGAATCGGCTCAGACTCGGGCTGGATGAGTGAGGAGAGCCGAAGGCAGTTTCCCGTGTCTTCCTGGAAGGCAGGGGATAAAGGAGGGACGCCTTTGACCCGTCAGCTCCACAGAGCCCAGGGCACCCAGGAGGTTCCCAGACAGCGACCTGTCACCCAGCAGCCGAGCCCAGCGAGCCCGGACCTCGAAAATGGCGCCCCGCCCCACACTCCAGATCTGAGTACGTTTCAGGGCTCCCTGGGCCAAGTGACCCTCACCCTAGCTTCGAGGCTTCCACCAGGTTCTTCAGTCCGGTCAGTTGGACAAAAATGAGGATGAAGAAGCCTCAGCAGAGAAACCAAGTCACCGCCTAAGGCCCCTTCAGGCCTCGACGGATCCGTGGCCTGCGCGCGACCTTTCCCGCCGATTCTCTGCGCATGCGCCGCCGCGCCCCAAGTGTTCTCCCTCCTGCTGTAGCAAACGCTTTCGCCACTCCCTTCCTAACTCCCCGCGCTCCCCGACCTAGGCACATGCGCACATCCTCTGACTGACTGCGCACGCGCCGCTCCCTTGCCTAATGCACCCCACCCCAGCGCACCCCACCCCTGACACCCACTACCCCATGCTTCAGGTGGGGCCTCTGGCGCATGCGCTTTGCTTCCACTGCCATTTAAGAGGAAGTGGGGATGAGGTGGGAAGGTTGATCTTCTCATTCATTCCTTTTAGCCTTCAAACTTTTTTTTATATTTTTTAAGGTGGGGTTTCACCATAGTGGTCAGGCTGGTCTCGAACTCCTGACCTCAGGTGATCCGCCCACCTCAGCCTCCCAAAGTGCTGGGATTACAGGCGTGAGCCACTGCACCGGCATAAGCCTTTTTTTTTTTTTTTTTTTTTTGAGATGGAGTTTTGCTCTTGTTGCCCAGGCTGGAGTACAATGGCGTAATCTCGGCTAACCACAACCTCCGCCTCCCAGGTTCGAGCAATTCTGCCTCAGCCTCCCAAGTAGCTGGGATTACAGGCATACACCACCACCCCCGGCTAATTTTGTATTTTTAGTAGAGACAGGATTTCTCCATGTTGGTCAGGCTGGTCTCGAACTCCCTCGCCCGGCCTGCCTTCAAACCTTTCACACTAAGATCGCCTGCCAGAAATGAAACCTTAAATATGTGTCCAACAAGGCAGACAGGGACATTGCCTTAAGAGAGCTCAGAAGCCTACTACGGTTTCAAACAAGAATAAAAAACTCAAAGATTGACGTAGGTCATCCATTCTCATACTTTTGGTCTCTTAAGAATTATTAAGGACTCCAATAATTTATGTTACATTTATATGGATTGCATGTTTATGTGAGTTATATCTATCAATATTAAATTTCTAAAACATTGTTTAAAATTCATTATGTGTCAAAATAACATTTTTATTTAAAATAACTATAATTTCTACACCAAAAGAAATTTTAGGGAGAAGAATGGCATTGTTTTACATTTTTGCAAATATCTTTAATGCCCGGCTTCATATACGACAGCTGGATTCTCGTATCTGCTTCTGCATTAAGTGTGTCAAAATAGATCGTGTCTTGTAGCTTCTGGCAAACATCACAGTATGCAAAAAGGAAATGACAGTGAAAGGCAAATAACATCCTAGTAGTATTACGAAAATAATGTTCACCTCGCAGACTCCCAGAAGTGTTTCAAGAGCCCCCAGGAGTCCCTAGGGCACACTTGGAGAATCATAGGCTTAAATTGTTATGATTGAACAAAGAGATGAAGAGGAAATTGTGGGGGTGCTTTAAGAATTCATCACAATCTTTGGGAATCATTCAATCCTTCAACACGTATTTACTGAGAGTCTATTAAATGCTAGGAATTAGGAATACTGTAGAGAACAAAAGAGACCCCATTCCTGCCCTCAGTTTGCTTCACACAGCAGGAAAACAGATATATGATGACTCGCAAATAATTACGTGATTATAAATTGTACTAAGGCTGGGCGAGGTGGCTCATGCCTGTAACCCCAGCACTTTGGGAGGCTGAGGCAGGTGTGGCTCACGGGGTCAGGAGTTTGAGACCATCCCAGCCAATATGTTGAAACCACATCTCTACTAAAATTCTGCCACCGCACTCCAGCCTGGTGACACAGAGCGAGACTGCCTCAAAAAAAAAAAAAAAAAAAAAAAAGGGCTCCAAAACTTTGAGCCTGAAGAATTGGAAGATGGAGTCACAATTTACTGAAAAGAAAAGTACTGGAGTGAGCAGAAGGTAGGAGGGAATCAGTAGTTTCGTTTTGAGCAGGTTAGTTTGCGATGTCAGTTACACAGCCAAAGGGAGAGGTTGACTCAGCAAACAGATCTCCCTGAGTCTGCAGTTCTGGGTTAGCGTTTGAGGCTAGGCATATAAACTGATGAGTCAACAGTATGGTAGATTTCGAGGAACACTATGGGACTGCATGATATCATCTCGTGAGTGAGTGCACCTAGAAAGGGCTGGGACTCCCCAGATTTTATAAGCTGTAAAAAGGAAGATCCACTATAGATTGAGGAGAATCAGCCAGTGAAGAAGGAAGAAAGAAAAAAGCAAGAGGGAATTTGCCAGTAAAAGAGGGGGGGGGAATCTGGTGAATTAAATAGTTAGAAATGCTGTTCTCAAACGTTAATGCACATCAGAGTCACCAGAAAGGCTTGTTAAAACACAGATTGCCAGGTCGGGTGCAACGGCTTACGCCTGTAATCCCAGGACTTCGGGAGGCCAAGGCTGGCGGATCACCTGAGGTCAGGAGTTCAAGACCAGCCTGGCCAACATGGCGAAACCCCACCTCTACTAAAACTACAAAAATTAGCTGGGCATGATGGCGGGTGCCTGTAAATCCCAGCTACTCATGAGGCTGAGGCGGGAGAATCGTTTGTTTGAACCCAGGAGGTGAAGGTTGCAGTGAGCCAAGACTGCACCACTGCACTCCATCCTGGGCAACAGAGACTGTCTCAACAACAACAAAAGAAACAGAAGCTGAGGGACGACGCAGGTGGTGACTCAGTGTTCGGATACAGAGCTGTGTGGCTCAGGTCAGGGTTTCAAAGGGACCCCTCTGGGGCTTTGTGGGGGATAGACTGGAAGGGAGAGACTAGAGGTCAGGGAGACCCTAGAGTCAGGTTCCAGGTAGGAGAGCAGGAGCCCTGAGCCTGACCGAGCCCTGAGGACAGAGAAGAGGGGTGCAGGGGAGACTCAGGAGGCAGGAGAGACCTGGCTTAGAAACCAATGAACTGTTGTGGAAGAGGGGACTAGACGGGGCTTTGACCCAGTTGTGGGGGGAACCCCGCAAGTGCCGTGGCAAGGGTCTGAAGCCTCAGCCTGCTCCCATATAAATATTGATTTAGAAAAGAATTAGAAATATAAGCACATAGTTATTCCTTTATATAATCACGTGTAATCTTATAGTTACTTAGAATCATAAAGATATATACTCAATATAACCTTTAATTGTACTAATGACTATCAGGTTATGAAGCATGGAACTGAGGTGACATTGTGAACAAGGTGAGCCTAAGGCAAAATGCTCTAAGCCTCTGTCACGCCCCCATAAGGGCTGCTGGAGGGGAGGCCGCCTCGGCTGTGCAGCAGCGCCAGCTAGGGAAGGAGACGTCCAAAATGGCCGAGATATCTCCTTCCTGGGGAAGTTAGGAGAAAACTCCACTCCCCCAAGCTCTTGTGGCAAGGCTTGAGGGCTGTCAGGGAGACCCACAGACATCCGGGGGCTTAACTGTCTCTATGTGATGCTGTGCTTCGGTGCTCACGTTCCATGTCTGCTCTCCCGTTCCGCTTCTGCACCTGGTTTCTTTTTCTTAGAAGATAAGAATTAATAATAGTAACATAATCTTAATGTCCTTGGTATATCTGACAAATATGCAAAAAGTGCTGACACATTAGGTTTTCCCCTCATCTCAGCTACTTGAAAGCCCCGGGCCCCTATCTTCAAGACACGTGATTAACCTGACCCTACCACGGACCACCATTACCTCACCCGACCTTCCCTGCCGCCTGCTTTGTGCTCAATAAAAGTCAGAGCGTCCGGGCACTCAGGGCCACTACTGGACTTTGTGCTCTGGTTGGCAGTGGACCCCCGGGCCCAAACTCTTTTCTCTTTCTTGGTGACTTGTGTCTTTTATTTCCATAGTTTCTCGTCTCCAAACCAGCAGAGAGGGACTCACAGGACCCTGTAGGGCTGGACCCTACACCCAGTAACTGGAGAGATGGTGGGGCTGCCTCAGATGAGGAAACCAGGTGAGAGAATTTGAGGGGGATCCTGAGCTCTCTGTGGGAGGTGGTAAGGGCGAGGGTCCCAGGGGAACATCCAGGGGACAGTTGGCTGGAGGTCAGGAGACATTTAGAAAAAGTAGATAAGCCGGGCGCGGTGGCTCATGCCTGTAATCCCAGCACTTTGGGAAGCCGAGGCAGGTGGATCACGAGGTCGGGAGATTGAGAGCATCCTGGCTAACACGGTGAAACCATGTCTGCACTAAAAATACAAAAAATTAGCCAGGCGTGATGGCACGTGCCTATAGTTCCACCTACTGGGGAGGGTGAGGCAGGAGAATCGCTTGAACCTGAGAGGCGGAGGTTGCAGTGAGCAGAGATCATGTCAGCGCACTCCAGCCTGGGCAACAGAGGGAGACTCCGTCTCAATAAAAGAAATGAAAAGAAAAAGAAAAAGTAGATAAGGGCTGGGCACCTTGGCTCACGTCTGTAATCCCAGCACTTTGGGAGGCTGAGGTGGGTGGGTCGCTTGAGGTCAGGAGTTCAAGATCAGCCTGGTCAACACAGTGAAACCCCAGCTCTACTAAAAATACAAAAATTAGTTGGATGTAGTCTCACATACCTGTAGTCCCAGCTTTTTGGGAGGCTGAGGCAGGAGAATTGCTTCAACTCAGGAGGCGGAGGTTGCAGTGAGCCGAGATTGTGTCACTGCACTCAGCCCAGGAGACAGAACAAGACTCCAGCTCAAATAATCAAAAAAGAAAAAGAAGAGAGAGGCAGCTGAGTCCCCAGAGAGGCAGATTTCCTAGAGTCTGCGTGGATGAACGGGTAGTGGGAAAACCCCCGAAGTTGGAAATCTGTGAGGGATTTTGGATTTGACAAGAGCGGGGAGCCCATGGGAATGCCAGGGGCAGCTGCAGAGGCCGCTGGCTGTGCCCCCGCAACCAGGAACTGCAAACCCAGATCTGTCAGGATCCCAGGCTCAGCACCTGCTCCTCTGGGGCCTCTGCCCCTTTGGGCCCCACTGCAGAGGCAGGAAGTACTGCTTGATGCTCAGCTTCCGCTGGAGGTGCTGGCACGGCCCAGTGCCCTCCCCACTCTCAGGGACCTTCCCACCTCAAGCCTGTAGCACTTTCACTTCCCCAGGTACCCAGCCCCTGCCCCCAGCACGTGGGTGCTCCCCGGTCTAGAACAGCCTGCAGACTCTGAGAGGCACAAAGAGAAGTGGGGAAGGGGGAGACAGAGAAAGGAAGACAGGCCAGGCACAGTGGCTCACGCTCATAATCCCAGCACCCTAGGAGGCCAAGGCAGGAGGATCACTTGAACCCAGAAATTTGAGACCAGCCTGGGCAATATGTGAGATTCCCTTCTCTACCAAAAACAAAATGAGCCAGGCATGGTGGTAGGCAGCTGTAGTCCCAGCTACTGGGGAGGCTGAGATTCAAGGATCGCTTGAGCCTGGGAAGGTCGGGTCTGCAGTGAGCTATGATCATACCACTGGACTCCAGGCTGGGCAACCCTGTCTCAAAAACGAAGAGAAAGACATGAAGAGAGAAAGGAGGAAGGAACCCAAAGAAGGGGCCAAAAACACAGAGGGAGGCCAGGCACAGTGGCCCAGCCTGTAATCCCAGCAGTTCAGGAGACCAAGGCAGGAGGATCGCTTGAGTCCAGGAGTTCCAGACCAGCCTGGGCAACCTAGTGAGACCCATTTTTTTTCTCTCTATTTTTTTAAATTAAATATAAAAAATGAAATAAGCACACTCCATGGCAAAACTCCATTTCTACAAATAAATAAATAAATAAATAAAGGCTGGGTGTGGTGACTAATTCCTGTAATCCAAGCACTTTGGAGGCAAAGGCAGGCGGATCACCTGAGGTCGGGAGTTCAAGACTAGCCTGACCAACATGGTTAAAACCCCGTCTTAAAAAAAAAAAAAGAAAAACATAAAAATTAGCCAGGCATGGTAGTGTGCACCTGTAATCTCAGCTACTCAGGAGGTTGAGGTGGGAGGACTGCTTGAGCCCAGGCTACCATGAGCCGTTTGCCCAACTGTACCCCAGCCTGGGTGAAAGTGCGACCTTGTCTCAACAAGAAACAAATATATAAATAAAGTAAAGAAACACAGAGAGAGGGAGGATAGAGACCCCGGGGGGCAGGAGGAGGAGAGAGACCCAGAAGAGGGAGAGACTGCTGAGAGAAGGGGACAGAGACAGGGAGTGGCAGGAGGGTGGGGACAAAGAGACCCAGGGCAGGGAGTGGAGGCACAGCTGCACACAGAGATGGCAGAACATAGCAGGCCATGAGGTCAGAGTGTCTGTGAGGTCGGCTGCAGTCCAGGGTCAGCCCTGGGGTCCCCATGCCCAGGGGTGGGTGCCAGTAAATCAAGGATCCCTTTAGACACCCCCCACCCCCAGCTGAGCCATGGAGACCTGGGAGGAACTGCCCCGTGAGTCCTTGGTGCCCACAAACTCCAAGCCCCCTCAGGTACCAGGGCGTGTGTCCCAGTGGGGCAGGTGAGGGAGACAGGGACAGAGACAGAGAAGAGAGCCACCTCTCGTGAAGCAGAGGGGGTGGAGCCCCACCCTGGAACTTCCTCTTTCGGGGTTCTTCCTTTCTCTCAGCTCTCCCTCTCTCTTTCTCTCTCAGCCTGTCTTTCTGCCCATCTCCCCCACTGTCAACACCTCTTCTGTGTGGTGAGCAGACCGCTCACCCCTCTAGGTGAAGATGTCGGCCCAGGAAAGCTGCCTCAGCCTCATCAAGTACTTCCTCTTCGTTTTCAACCTCTTCTTCTTCGTGAGTTGCCTCATGGCTACCCAGCCCGGGCCCAGCCACTGCCGATAACCCGGCCCTCACCTCCCCGTTGTGCCCAGCCCCACGGCCGCATCTCCTCTCCCCAGGTGCTGGGCAGCCTGATCTTCTGCTTCGGTATCTGGATCCTCATCGACAAGACCAGCTTCGTGTCCTTTGTGGGTGAGGGGGCCTGGGGCAGGCGGGAGGGCCTCCCCCAACCTGAGCAACTTCCTGGGGTGTCCCTGGTCTCAGGGAGACCCATAGTGCCAGACTCTGCAGGCAGGCCACAGGCTCCCATCCACCGCTCACTGTTGCTTCGCCTCTTGAAGGCTGCGTCTTCCTCTGGCAAATGGGATTGTGCATACAAACTGATGATCGTGAGGGCCATTTCTCACGCACTTCCTATCTGTGGGACCTGGGTTGGGTGGCTGGTCAGATGGCCTCACAAACCTTCCCCTCTCGAGGTTCAGAGAGGGGAAGTCTCTTGCTGAACGTCACACAGCAAGGAAGTAAAAGAGCAGAAATAACGTTAATAACAATAATAGGAAAATAATAATGGAGTAACCGGGCCGGGCACGGTGGCTCATGCCTGTGATCCCAGCACTGTGGGAGGCTGAGGCAGGCAGATCATGAGGTCAGGAGATCGAGACCGTCCTGCACAGTGAAACCCCATCTCTACTAAAAATACAAAATATTAGCCAGGCATGGTGGCATGTGCCTATAGTCTCAGCTACTCAGGAGGCTGAGGCAGGAGAATCACTTGAAGCTGGGAGGTGGAGGTTGCAGTGAGCAGAAATCGCGCCACTGTACTCCAGCCTGAGTATCAGAGTGAGACTCCGTCTCAAAATAAAATAAAACAAAATGATGGCGTAACCACCAAAATGCTAGACACTCATATTTAAAGAGTTTTTGCCCCGCGTTGAAGAGTGGGTTGAACACGTGTTGCCATGTGTCTGTCAAAATGACCCTAGGGGCCAGATGCAGTGGCTCATTTCTGTAACTCCAGCACTTTGCGGGGCTGAGGTAAGTGGATCGCTTGAGGTTGGGAGTTGGAGACCAGCCTGGCCAACATAGTGAAACCCTGTCTCTACTAAAATAGCTGGGCGTGGTGGTAAGTGACTGTAATCCGAGCTACTCGGGAGTCTGAGGCAGAAGAATCACTTGAACCTGGGAGGCAGAGGTTGCAGTGAGCCAAGATCGAGTCACTGCACACCAGTCAAGGCGACAGAGTGAGACTTCGTCTCAAAAAAAAAAAAAAAAAACCCTGGGAAATCAGATACCATTCTCTAGGCCTCAGGGAGGTGTAAGGAGCCAAGCCAATGTCACAGAACAAGGGATAGGGCTGAAACTACTAGGGAGGAGGAGGAGCTGAAGGAGGAAGGAGAGGGTGAGAGCAAAAGAGAAAGAGATCCAGAGATGGGAACAGAGGCCTAGAAAGAAGAGAAAGCTTCAGAAGGAGACAGGGACTCAGGGTGGGGCGGGGACAGTGTCCCAGAGAGAAGGGCACCAGGATACTGCTCCCCACTTGGGTGGCTGCCTAGGCAGGGGATGGGGCTGCCTGGAGCTGTGCCACCCGGCTCATCATCACCCCCTCGCCTCTCCCAGGCTTGGCCTTCGTGCCCCTGCAGATCTGGTCCAAAGTCCTGGCCATCTCGGGAATCTTCACCATGGGCCTCGCCCTCCTGGGTTGTGTGGGGGCCCTCAAGGAGCTCCGCTGCCTCCTGGGCCTGGTGAGTGCCCCATCCCTCTCCATCCCTAGCACCACTCCATCCCCACCCCCAAAAATTGCCTGGGCAGAGGCTGGGGGGAGTGGTCAGCCTGACCTCTCCCCTCTGTCCCCCAGTATTTCGGGGTGCTGCTGCTCCTGTTTGCCACACAGATAACCCTGGGAATCCTCATCGCCACTCAGCGGGCCCAGGTGAGCTTCCTGCAGCCACTACCACCCACCTCCAGTGGGGAGGGGGAAGGGAGTAGTGGGAGTGGGTGGAGAGAGATGGAAACAAAGGCAGACAGTGGCTGACCTAGATAAAGAGAAATAAAAGGCTGGGTCTGGTGCCTCACATTTGTAATCCCAGCACTTTGGGAGGCCAAGGCAGGTGGATCATTTGAGTCCAGGAGTTTGAGACCAGCCTGGGCAACATAGTGAGACCCCATCTACTAAAAGAAAAATTATCAGAGTGTGGTGGTGCGCACCTGTGGTCCCAGCTACTTGGGAGGTTGAGGTGGGAGGATCGCTTGAGCCAGGGAGTTCAAGGCTGCAGTGAGCCACGCACTCATCCTGGGTGACAGAGTAAGGCCCTGTCCCCAAAAATAATAATAATAAATCATAAATGAGAGAGAGAGAGGCAGAGGACAGAGAGACACAAATATAGAGCCTGACAGAGAGGGAGAGACAGAGTCAATGACAAGGTCAGAGAAAGACACACCGACCTGGACCGAGGGAGAGAGGGATAAACAGTTCCAAAGGGAAACACGCAGGAAAAAGAGAGAACAAGAGAAATAGACGCCCTGAAAGAAGAGAGCCAGAGACTTAATGAACCGTAGAAATACTGGGAGAAACAGACGGAGCTGAAGTACATAGAGCTAGCCATTCAGTGAGGATCTGAGGCCCACCCAGAGATGCACAGGACCCCCTGGGGCTGGCACAGCCTGGGAGGGGCGGGGCGGGGCAAAGGGAGTCCAGCCTCACTGGCGGCCTCTCAGCTGGAGCGAAGCGTGCAGGATATCGTAGAGAAAACCATCCAGAACTACCGCACCAACCCTGAGGAGACACCGGCCGAGGAGAGCTGGGACTACGTGCAGTTCCAGGTGCGTCCCCCTCCTCCAGCTCCCTCCGGGACTCTAACCCGGCTCAGCCCTATGCTACCCGGAGACTCCACCCCCACGTGGCTCCGGCCCCCAGGTCTAGGACCCTAACGTACTTCAACGCCTCCTAGGCCCGACATCCCCCACTCCCCAGATGACATAACTGACCCTGGCGTGGCTCAGTTTCCCAGTACCCAAACCCTGGCGGGGCTTCGCCCTCTACCTCTAAAACTCCGTCCCCGTCCCCGCCCCCGTCCCGACGTAGTCCGGTCCCTAGTCCCGAAACCCGGCTTCCCACCCCGTAGACTCTCGGCTTCCACCAGGCCCCGCCCCCGATGAGACGCACTTGCCTCGCACTCCCATTCACCTGTGCGGTATCAGAGGCTCAATTATACTGCCCACCCAATCTCTGGTCCACAGCGCGACGCTGCAGCTCCTCCCCCAGCCCCAGGTCACCCTGTGACTCGTGTCTCTCCCAGCCCCATGTTCCCGTAATGTCCCCGGGCCCCGGCCCCATCGCGACTCCAGCCCACTGTCCCCTACCCCACACTCACCACTTAATCCCCTGCTTCCCGACCTGACCTCATACCCATCACCCTGTCCCCTGATCCCCAGCATCATATGTTTCCAGTCCCGAGGTCCCTCTGACCCGTACCCCTCTCCCAGCTGCGCTGCTGCGGCTGGCACTCCCCGCAGGACTGGTTCCGGGTCCACGTCCTCAGAGGCAACGGGTCGGAGACGCACCGCGTGCCCTGCTCCTGCTACAACTTGTCGGCGACCAACGACTCCACAATCCTGGATAATGTGATCTTGCCCCAGCTCAGCAGGCTCGGACCGCGGTCCAGACACAGCACAGACATCTGCGCGGTCCCTGTACAGAGCCACATCCACCGCGAGGTGGGCAGGGGTTCGGAGCATAAACCTGGAGAATGGGGCCGAACCTGCGGGAGGAGAGGGCTGCCGGCGAGGGGCGGAGCCTCAGGAAGGGCGGGGCCACAAGAAAAGGAACGGTACCGTGGGGGGCGAGGCCTGTGCGAAGGGCGGGGCCTAAAGAAAAGGCTGGGCTGGATCTGGAATACAGACGTCTAGGGAGGGGCCAGGCTTGGAGAGGTGAAGTGAATATGCGCTAGTAAGGAGACCCGAGAGCCCTGATGCCTGAAGGCGGTGAGGGTTGGGCTGAAAAGAACACTGGGCCTGGGCTTAAACGTCCCAGAAAGAATCCCTTTAACCTTTCCCTACACCCCCAGGGCTGCGCGCAGAGCCTCCGGAAGTGGCTGCACAACAACCTGATTTCCATAGTGGGCATCTGCCTGGGCGTCGGCCTACTCGAGGTGATCTGGCCCCGCCCCCACTCGAAATCGGCCCTAAATCCCTAGATGGCTCCGCCCTTTATTTCGCGTCCTCCGGTTGCCTGGGAAAGACGCGCTCGGGGCGGAGCGCAGCCTACCCGGGCCCTCCAGCCGCCCCACCCAGCACGAGGGGTGGAGGAGGCCTAGCTTCAGGGAGCCCTCATTGGCCGTAGGTAGGAAAACCTCCTGCTATTGGCTGCGATCTCCCACCCCTTTCCCCGCAGATGACTGTCATGGTGCTGAGCGTACAGCTACAGCGCAGGGCACTCCGCCGGAAACGCGAGCCGCACGTGCCGGGAGCCCGGGGTTCGAGCCCCGGGCCCAGCCTGATCGCTGACAGCAGCGGCGGCGGGCGCTGTGGCGTGCTCAGCAGCAGCGGGCGCAACGTCAATCTGTGGAGTGGCTGGGGCATGGCGGGTGCCTGCCCCAACTGGGGAGACAAGGCCCCACAGGGCAAGCTGCCCATGGCCCTGGGGCCCTGGCCGCTGTGGGTTCAAGACGTGGACCAGCCTGATACCGGGATTGTGGGCGCAGAATTAGAGACCGAGGCAGAATTAGAGGCCGAGGCAGAGGGGGAGACAGATGAGCCTCCAGAATAAAGGACCCTGTGCTTGCTTCTGACCTTACTCCTTCCAGCCTCTATCCCCAACCCCGCCTTCCCAACTATTGCAGCGATGCTTCCCCAACCCCCACCTGTTGCAGCTGTTCCCGCCTCATCAGCTCCCCCCGAGCCCCGCCCATTTATGCCTGGCCTCTTCTCCAGCCCCATCCACCCCCGTCTCGCCAGCACCCCTTCGACTACTCTGACCCCATCTCCTTTCTCTATAGCTCGGGTTCATGACGCTCTCGATATTCCTGTGCAGAAACCTGGACCACGTCTACAACCGGCTCGCCCGATACCGCTAGGCCCGCCCTCCCCAAAGTCCCGCCCCGCCCCTGTCACGTGCGCTGGGCACGTCCCCGCTGCCTGTAAATATTTGTTTAATCCCAGTTGGCCTAGAGACTCCCCCCACTCCGGCCTTCACATTCCCCTGGGGACCCAGGTGGCTGCCTGACCACGCTGTTGTCACCTCTCTCATGGGACCTGGGGCTTTCATCCACCAGCTTCCTGTCCCCATCTGTCGGCCTACCACCTCCCACAAGATTATTTTTCGCCCAAACCTCGAATAAATCCCCTGTGGTTTTTGGTAAAATAGCTTTATCCTCTGTCAGAACACAAACCAACAAACTTTGGGAGGGGAGGGAGGAAAGAGTAGCTTGTGGCTCATTAGAAGGAGGGGGGAATGAGATTTGAAAGCTTCACCCCACTGCTTGTGCAGCTGAGATAAAGTCAAGCCCCTAGCACCCACTTATAAATATCTCGTTATATTAAAAAAAAAAAAAAAATACTTTCAAGGCCCACCTGACTCTGCTCCTGCACAGAAAGGGTTAATCTTCACTTTGTGATCTCACAGGTCAAGGAGTGGAGGTGGGAGGGATAGGCAGAAATTTCAGGGGGAGGGGTGGCTGGGAAAAAGTAAAGGGGACAAGCAAATGTGTAACTAGGGTCCTCTAAGACATGCAGAGGAGTGTGGAGGGGCCCTGCTAGGGGCTGAGAAGCCAGTGCTGTACCTGGGGGTTGTCTCACTCCTGTCCCCACAATCCCTGATACTCTGGAGTGATCTGTCCTATCAGACACCCACTGTGAGGTCCTAATATCGGGGTTTATCCTTTCCTCAGTCCCAGCCTGTCCAGCTCTCCAAGTTTTGGGGGCCCCTCTAATGAATAGGGGCCCCTATTAAGGAAGGACCGCCCCAGTTGCTTAGGCCTCTGAGGTCAACCCCTTCACATCACAGCCCCCTCCCCAAATAAGAAGCATGAGGTGAACTGGAGAACCTTCCTTGGGAGGAAGGTGTTCTGGGGTTGAGCCAGTTCTGGGGTACCCCTTCAGTCCCTGACCAGGCGGTAAATGTGGTGCTGGGCCCCACGCTCACTGGTGGAGACCTCGAAGACATAGGCGGTGCACAGCAGCAGTTCCTGGGTGTCTCTGTTTGTCACCACCTGCCAGGGAGGCCAGGACAAGGGACTTAGGCTTAGAAGGGAGGGCAGGGACCACTGCGCCCTCCCCCAAGCTATCACGGGACACCAGCAGGCCTCTTTTCCATCTCCAGGAAGCAGGCCCCCACCATATTATGTTCCCCAAGAGAAAGGGATGCCCAACAAGTCAGGTGCCCTGGGCAATGGGGGTTACCCTCAGCTGAGGGTTGGCAGTGATGATGTATCACGTCTCAGGGTTAATCGGGTTCCCATCACATCACACTGCCCAGGTAAAAGGGGTCCCCATCACGTCACAGGTAAAGGGAGAACCCTCCCTTCAGGTTCTGCAGTCAAGGGGTCTCTGCCTCAGCACAGTCCCCAACGTTAAAGGGGCTCCCACCATATCACGTTCTCAGAGAAGCTGAGGCTCCGCCTTAAAGTGCCCTCCAGTCAGCTTCCCCAGGGAAGGAGGGACTGCCTGACATGTGAGTGCTGTGGGGCTGGGTGCGGTGGCTCATGCCTGTAATCCCAGCACTTTGGGAGGCCAAGGCAGGCAGATCACTTGAGGTCAGGAGTTCGAGACAAGCCTGGCCAACATGGTAAAACCCCATCTCTACTAAAAATACAAAAATTAGCCAGATGTGGTGGGGTGTGCCTGTATTCCCAGCTATTCAGGAGACTGAGGCAGAAGAATCGCTTGAACCGAGGAGGTGGAGGTTGCAGTGAGCCGAGATCATGCCACTGTACTCCGGCCTGGATGACAGAGCGAGACTCCATCTCAAAAAAAAAAAAGAGAGTGCTGTGACATCCCTACTATATCAGTTCCCTGGGTGAAGGTGTCGCCTAAACCAAGGGTCAATTGTGGGGTCCCCACTGTATCAGTTTCCTGGTTAGAAGAGCCTCAAGCTGAGGGTTCACTTCGGAGTCCTTGCTGTGTCTGTTCCTGGGTGAGGAGTTCCCCCTAGACTGAGAGTCTGTTACAGGTACTGTCCCTTGACATCCGGGGGCCCCACTCCAGCTCAGCCCCGGGCATCACCTGGAGGATGGTGAAGTTCTCCAGGACGCTGTTCATCATGTATCGCTCAGGCAGCTGCCGTAACTTGTGCAAGAAATTCACCAGGTACTCGCACATGGGCGAACGTAGCAGGCGGTATACAAATCTCCCGTCCTCCAGCTGGGCCCGTTCCGTCTGAACCAAGGGGCAGGGAGTGGGGAGAATGGTGGCTGAGAGACACATGGGTCACCCCAGGAACTGAGCTTCACCCTGTGCCTCTTAGATGCCACCAACTGACTCCCACTGCTCCTCCCTCACATCACCCCACCCACAGTGACTGGAGACTGGACCTGAACCCTTGGGTATCCAGCTCAGGATCTCTTGTGCCTGCAAATCACAAGCCCCTCAAAGACCTCTGAACTCCTCTAACCTCCCAGCCCCCAGATACCCTCCAAAAATCCCTCCATGAAATCTGCAAACTCTATCTGACCTCTACACTTACTTCCCCGTCTCCGGCAGCCCCTAAGTGTGACTTCTGTTTTCTTTTCTGTTTGTTTTTTGAGACAGAGTCTTGCTCTGTCGCCCAGGCTGGAGTGCAGTGGCGCAATCTCGGCTCACTGCGACCTCCACCTCCTGGGTTCAAGCGATTATCCCACCTCAGCCTCCTGACTAGCTGGGATTACAGGTGCCTGCCACCACGCCTGGCTAATTTTTGTATTTTTAGTAGAGACGGAGTTTCACCATGTTGGTCAGGCTGGTCTTAAACTCCTGACCTTGTGATCTGCCCGCCTCGGCCTCCCAAAGTGCTGGGATTATAGGTGTGAGCTACCTCGCCAAGCCTTAAGTGTGACTTCTGAACCTTCTTGCCTTAGGAATGTCTCCATATCCATAAGACCCTTCTCAATCTCCGTGACTAAATCTCTATACCACACATTCCCCGTTAGCCCTCAGAATGATTCCTACCTGTGACTTCTGAACTCCACAACTGCTCCCAACTCATGCATTAAACCCTCAAAGAGGCTGGGAGCCATTCCCTCCATGCACACCCCCAAATGCCTGAGCCATCATGGCTTCTGATCCATTCTGCACCCCCGAGTGGTGGGTGGCTGGGCGCTCACGTGCCCAGAGCTCCACCCCTCCAGCCTCACCTCCACCTTCTCCACCACCTGCTTGCCAAAGGAGCAGACCTTGGAGGAACAGGTGAGGGTCATGTGTTCCAGGCTCTCATACTGGCTGCTCACTCCGTAGAAGCCACCACTGCTGCTGCTGCTGCCACCGGCCCCCGCCTCCTCACCACTTGGGCCCCAGTTCAGGTCGGCCTGGGAGATGGGAAGGCACAGATGAGTCAGAGGGGATGTCCCTTATAAACAGTGGGGACTGCCAGGCACAGTGGTTCATGCCTGTAATCCCAGCACTTTGGGAGGCCGAGGCTGGCAGATCACCTGAGGTTGGGAGTTCAATACCAGCCTGACCAACATGGAGAAACCCCGTCTCTACTAAAAATACAAAATTATTTTTGGGCATGGTGGTGCACGCCTGTAATCCCAGCTACTCAGGAGGCTGAGGCAGGAGAATCGCTTGAAACTGGGAGGCGGAGGTTGCAGTGAGCCAAGATTGCACCATTGCACTCCAGTCTGCGCAATAAGAGCAAAACTCTGTCTCAAAAAAAAAAAAAAAACAACAACAGTGGGGACTCCGTTACCCCTGCAGTTCCCAGCTCAATTCCTCAGCATTTGTTTTGTTTTTGGAGACAGGGTTTGGCTCTGTCTCCCAGCCTGGAATGCAGTGGTGCAATCACAGTCCACTGCAGCCTCAACCTCCTGAGCTCAAGTGATGCTCCCACCTCAGCCTCCTGAGTAGCTAGTACCACAGGTGCATGCCACCACATCCAGCTAATTTTTTGTAAAAACGGGGTTTTACCATGTTGTCCAGGCTGGTCTCAAACTCCTGGGCCCAAGTGATCCTCCCACCTTGGCCTCCCAAAGTGCTGGGATTACAGGCATGAGCCACCACTGCACCTGGGGCTTTCAAAGTTCTCCAAGGGCTGGTTTCTGGAGGAGATCCACTGCCCATCAGCGTTGAAGAAGTCTGGGTCCACAAAATGGTCTTGGCTCTCTCTCCCCAGTAACCAAAGGAGCCCTGGAATTCAACCTTTTTCTCTTGAAGCCCACACAACTCAAGAGTTCAGCCCCTTCCGAGGGCCTGGTTACTAAGGAGGCAGTTACTCCTTAGCAACCAGTTGAAGATGGATACCTCCCTCTGAGCCCCTCTCATCCTGGTTGCTAAGGCAAATGGCTACTCCCTAGCAACAGAACCTCATGGAGCCCAAGGAGGCCTGACTCTTCTTTAGAACACCTCCCCCAAGCCGAATCCAAGAGGCCAGACTCCCTCCATAACGCCAGTGGTTAAGTGCATGGACAGCAGCCAAGTGTCACTAGGCCAAGTGGGGCCTAAGGAAGTATAAGACCTCATCACACCCTTGTTCTGAGTCACCTCCTTGAGAGGCATGCTTCTTCCTCTTCCTAATTTTTTTTTTTTTTTTTTGAGATGGGGTCTTGCTCTGTCACCCAGGCTGGAGTGCAATGGCGCAATCTCCACTCACTGCAACCTCTTCCTCCTGGGTTCAAGCGATTCTCCTGCCTCAGCCTCTCAAGTAGCTTGGATTACTGGTACGAACCACCATGCCCGGCTAATTTTTTGTATTTTTAGTAGAGTCGGGGTTTCGCCATGTTGGCCAGGCTGGTCTCGAACTCCTGACCTCATGATCCGCCAGCCTCAGCCTCCCAAAGTGCTGGGATTACAGGCGTGAGCCACTGCGCCCAGCCACTCTTCCTAACTTTAGTTGCTAACACTTCACCAGGTCAGTCTTCTCAGGGGCCCGACTCTGTCCCTCACTATGGCAAAACCAAAGGCCTTACCAGCTGCTCTTCTGAACCCCTTCAGCAGCTGGGCTTCCTAAGCGGTTGGCTGTCCAGACCTGGGACCTGATGAGGCCTGTCTTCAGCCGCAACAATGCCTAAGCCCTCAGCTGCATTTCCCTAGAGCGGTCTCAGGCCTCCATGTCACATGGAGGAAAGCTTCAGAACCATGACAGTGACATTCTCAGCAAAAGCAGTAAAGTTCAGCCCCTCAGCAGGCTTTCTTTTTTTTTTTTTTTTTTTTGACACAGGGTCTCATTCTGTCACCCAGGCTGGAGGGCAGTGGCACAATCTTGGCTCACTGAGCCCTCCACCTCCCAGGCTTAAGTGATCCTCCCACCTCAGCCTCTGGAGAAGCTGGGACCACAAGTGTGCACTGCCCAGCTAATTTTTTCATTTTTTGTAGAGTTGAGATCTCATTGTGTCACCCAGGCTGGTCTCACCTTAGCCTCCCAGAGTGCTGGGAAGTTAGGAGTGACCCACTGCATCTAGCCAGGGACTAGACTTTCTTCCAGGGACTGCGTCTCTCGACCACCCTTGTTACTATCCAGGCAACATTTATTGAGCCCAGGCCAGGTACTGTAGCTCACACCTGTAAGCCTAGCACTTTGGGAGGCCAAGATGGATGGCTCACTTGAGGTCAGGAGTTCGAGACCAGCTTGGCCAACGTGGTGAAACCCCATCTCTACTAAAAATACAAAAATTAGGTTGGGAACAGTGACTCACACCTGTAATCCCATCACATTGGGAGGCCAAGGTGGGCGGATCACCTGAGGTCAGGAATTTGAGACCAGCCTGGCCAACATGGCGAAACCCCATCTCTACTAAAAATTAAAAAATTAGCTGGGCATGGTGGCAGACGCCCATAATCCCAGCTACTCGAGAAGCTGAGGCTGGAGAATCACTTGAACCCAGGAGGCTAAGGTTGAAGTGAGCCGAGATCCAGCCACTGCACTCCAGCCTGGGTGACAGTGAGACTCTGTCTCAAAAATAAATGAATGAATAAGTAAATAAACACGGGAATTGACAAAGCCACTCCATGGCTCCTTCAATCAATTCTCAAAGCCATTCTCTAGCAACAAGGTCTGGTGGAACTGACGCAAAGCATCAGTCCCCTCTTTAGAGACCAGAGCCTGCACAAGTCCACTGGCTAAGGCGAGGGGACCGTTTCTTAGCAGCAAGGCTTGGTGCAGTGAGGTGGGGCACAGAGAAGCCTGAAATGAGGCAAACCAATGCCCAGGCCCATATGAGTTACACAGCCCGGTAACTAAGCATATCAGTTACATGTGGCAATGTCTAGTGGGATCCAGGGAGGCCCCAGCGCCTCCAAACCGCCCTGGGAGCCACCCTTCTCGGAGTTCTTTGTGGCAAAGTGGGCTGACACTCCAAGCCATGAGGAGTGACCGGTATGTCCCAGACTGACCTGGTAGGGCTCACGACTGTCTGTCTTAGGGCCAGAAGCCTCTGCTGGGACACCACAGGATTTGTGAGCACTTTGGGTTTTGCTGTGAAAACTTACCCAGAACTTGACCAGGAAGAAGGCATGGGGGGGCCCACGATCATACAGCTCCCGGAGGCCACCCTTTTTCTCGGGGAATTTGTCGTAAATCTGCCGGACGTCCACGCTCTCAAGCGGCGGTGCTCCGGGGCTGGGGCAGTGCTGGCTGATGTGCACGAACAGGTGCCTCTGGTACTGAGGAGGGTTGGCCGTGGGTGAGAAGCTGGAGGTGGGCTGGACCTCCAGCCCATGCTGCCTGAACCAACCTCATGCCAGCTGTTCCACACTGTCCACCCAGCACTGGGCCGGACCTCCACCCACTGTCCCCACTCCTGTTCCTGCACTCACAGTCCCCTGCAGCCCGGCAGTCCCATAGTCCCCAGGTCCCTGCCGCACCCCTTCAACTCCATCCTCACTGCCTCAGCCTCAGCTCAGGCCTCCCACCTTCACCCCAGCCTCCAACCTGGCCTCCCCAGTTCATCCCTCACATGGTTCCGGAGCTGACCCTGGCCCTCCCCTGGTCATAGCCCTCTCACAACTCCCCAGCACCCTCAGGACAAAGCTCACACTCCCTAGGCCTGGTTTTATATAGAACAGGTGCTCATAAATGTTCAGTGGATGGATGAGTGTGAATGAATGGGAATCCACAGAGGTCTTATGATTAATGTTTTGACTGATGTTTATATGGTGTGGCAGAGACTGCTATGTGTTCACAAATCCTGGTTCCTTGATGCAGTGCAAAACTACATTTCCCAGGCTGCTTTGCAGTTAGGTGTGACCACATGACTAAGTTCTGGTCAATGGGATGTGACCAGGTCGGACAGTTGACACATCAAGGCCAGACTCCTAAAACCTCCGGCATAATCTTAACTCTCTCCCTTCCTCCATCTGCTAGGCAGATGCAGAGGCTCCCTCAGCACATTCTGAAGCCTTAGAACATGGCAGAACCACAAAATGGAAGGAGCCTATATCCCCAAATCACTTGAGTGCCAGGCTCCTGCTGAACTTACATTGAAATGTTACATGAAACTTATCTGGCGTTCAGTCCCTAAGAGTTAGGAGCTGTTTCTTCTAACAGCCCACTCCATCCTAAACCAGGAGAAGCTCAAGCACAGAAATAAGACCTTTTCCAAGTTACCAGGATGCATCACAAAGCCTAATGAACAGTAGAAACTCAAACATGTTTGATGAATGAATACATTATGTCCTGAGGAGTTTTTCTGACCTTCCCAACTTGTCACCCCATGACCTTCCAGTTCTTTGTGTTACTAGTTCTCAAAGTACAGTCCCCAGACCAGCTGCCACAACTGACCTGGTAGCTTACTAGAAACACAAATTCTCGAGCCCCACATCACATCTAGCAAATCAGAAATTCTGGGGATGGGGCCCAGCAATGTGTTTTAAGAAGCCCTCCAGATGATTCTGATACATGCTAAAGTTTGAGAACCGTGACTTTATACCTTCCCTCCCTGTCATCCTCTATATCCCAAAATCCCTCAGTGACTATACCTAAATTTCACTCACAGAATCAACTGCATCCGGCGGTTCCACAAAGGCTGAGAACTCTACCAGCTGCAACCGGGCAGTGCCCAGGGCCCGAGCCTGCCAGGCTGGGGGTGATGGGGCAGGTGGGGGCAGGGGTGAGAGGGCTTGGGGGGGCTCATACCCTAGAGAGAGAGAAGAAAGAACAATACAGATTGCTAACATTTATTGAATACATCAGGTACTGTTGTCTCTTGCCTGCCTCCACTCAGAAGCTGAAAAAGCTAAATACTCACTTTCCCAGCCTCCCTTGCAGTTAGAAGTGGCCATGTGACACAGTCCTAGCCAATGAGACGTTAGGGGAAATCTGCTGGGGGGCTTCTGGGAAGGAGTTTCTTCCTGAATGAAAAAGACAGAACTTTGGGAGGAGAAAGCTTTTGGCCGTGGCCAAGTCCTGCTTGGGACACTGATATGGTTTGGATATTCGTCCCCTCCAAATCTCATGTTGAAATGTGATCCCTGGCCATGGCTCATGCCTGTAATCCCAGAACTTTGGGAAGCTAAGGCAGGTGGATCACAAGGTCAGGAGATTGAGACCATCCTGGCTAACATGGTGAAACCCCATCTCCACTAAAAATACAAAAAATTAGCCGGGCGTGGTGGCAGGTGCCTGTAATCCCAGCTACTTGGGAGGCTGATGCAGGAGAATCGCTTGAACCTAGGAGGTGGAGGTTGCAGTGAGCCAAGATCACACCACTGCACTCCAACCTGGGGGACAGAGCAAGACTCCAACTCAAAAAAAAAAAAAAAAAATTAGAAAGAAATGTGATCCCCAAGGTTGGAGATGGGGCCTGATGGGAAGTGTTTGGGTCGTGGGGGTTGATCCCTCATGAATGTCTTGGTACCCTCCCTAAACAGTAATGAGTGAGTTCTCACTCTTTGAGTTGATGTGAGCTGGTTGTTTAAAGGAGCCCGGCCTCACTGTCTTGCTCCCTCTCGCCATGTGACATGGTGGCTCTCCTTCCCCTTCCACCATGATCCTAAGCTTCCTGAGGCCCTCACCAGAAGCAGAGGCTGGCAACATACTTTCTGTACAGCCTGCAGAACTGTGAACCAAAAAAACCTCTTTTCCATTTAAATCACCCAGTCTCAGGCATTCCTTTATAGCAATGCAAATGCACCAACACAGATATGGTGCTTGGAGTTGCCACAGCCATCTTGGGACAATCAGACAGACATCAGGGGAACTACAGAGATGCCAGCCCTGATATTGCTAAGCCCACGTGAGAACAGCCCACCTCCTGACTTTTTAGTGTGTGGACTCAAGACATGAATGCTTTTACTATTTAAGGCACTGTCAATTTGGGTCTTCTGTTACTTGCAGCCAAAAGTATTCCTAATTGATAAATCGATGGAAACTAAGGGAACTAGGGACTCCCTCTTTCACTGATCTGAGTTCTCAGAGCCAAATCAGCATGGACTTCCAGAAGCCATCTTTGCTGTCAAGTAGCTGAGTCTGCCTGGAAATGAAGCCACCACAGTGGAAAGCAGATCAAAGTAATTTCTGATGCCATCACTTGAGCTGCTGGATCCAGCCATGCCTGAAACCACAATTCTGAATTATCAGTTACTGGAACCAATAAATCAATAAATTTTTCTTTCTTTCTTTTTTCTTTTTTGGAGAAGGAATCTCACTCTGTCACCCAGGCTGGAGTGCAATGGTACAATCTCAGCTCACTGCAACCTCTGCCTCCCAAGTTCAAGCAATTCTCCTGCCTCAGCCTCCCGAGAAGCTGTGGTTACAGGCGCATGCCACCAAACCTGGCTAATCTTTTTATTTTCAGTAGAGGCGGGGTTTCACCATGTTGGCCAGGCTGGTCTTGAACTCCTGACCTCAGGTGATCCACACACCTTGGCCTCCCAAAATGCTGGGATTACAGGCATGAGCCCCGACACCGGGCCTCTTCTTTTTTGAAATGTTATTTCAGCTAGCTTGATTTGGATTTCTATCATTTGCAGGTGAAAGCATCTTGACGAACACACCTCCCCAGTGTCTCATAAGCTAGCCAGTGGCAGAACACGAATCCAGTGTGCATGGCTACAAAGACCACGCTCTTAACCATCACACGTTCCACCACTCAGCTCTCCAGCAACCCCCTGCTCCCCTGCCCACAACACACGCACCCTGCCTCAAAGCTGGCCTTCAGTAAGAATGTATCCCCCAACTGGCCAGGCACGGTGGCTCACGCCTGTAATCCCAGCACTTTGGGAGGCCAAGGCGTGCAGATCACAAGGTCAAGAGATTGAGACCATCCTGACCAACATGGTAAAATCCCATTTCTATAAAATTACAAAAATTAGCTGGGCGTGGTCATGCGCACCTGTAGTCCCAGCTACTGGGGAGGCTGAGGCAGGAGAATTGCTTGAACCCGGGTGGTAGAGGTCGCAGTGAGCCGAGATCGCACCACTGTACTCCAGCCTGGCAACAGAGCAAGACTCCGTCTCCAAAAAAAAAAAGAATGTTCTCCCCAGTTGACGGAAGGTTGAAGAAAGGCAGTAGGGGTCGAAGAGAGAGAGGGAAGACAAGGGAGGGTGGACCGAAGGATCTTACCTGGGAGGTCAGTAGATGGGGGAGTCAGTGACAAGGAGAACGGTGTCTGTGAGAATGGCTTCACGCTGAGAGAGAAAGGAAGCCGGGGTCAGCCAGGTAGAAAGATGCTAATGTTACCAGCAAATGTAGACAGAGGCCACAAGCCAGACCCTGTGCTAAGACATTTTGTGCACAATCTCAAGGAAGCCTCACAGCCCATGAGGTAGGTAGAATCACTGCTCTTCTCATTGTACAAAGGAGGAAACTGAGGTACAGAGGGTCAACTGACCTGCCCAAAGTCACACAGCTGAGACGCAGCGGAGCAGGGACTTGAACCCAGGTCAGTCTCAGCCCGGTATCTCAGGCTCTTGGTGATGACATTTTGGTATCTCTCACAAAATGTCGGAAAGAGAAGAGAAACCGGCTAGGCATGGTGGCTCAGACCTGTAATCCCAGCACTTTGGGAGGCCGAGGTGGGTGGATCACTTGAGGTCAGGAGTTCGAGACCAGACTGGCCAACATGCTGAAACCCCATCTCTTCTAAAAATACAAAAATTAGCCGGGTGTGGTGGCAGGCACCTGTAATCCCAGTGACTCAGGAGGCTGAGGTAGATTTGCTAGAACCTGGGAGGCAGAGGGTGCAGTGAGCCGAGATCATGCCATTACACCCCTGGGTGACAGAGCAAGACTCCATCTCAAAAAAAAAAAAAAAAAAGAAGAGGAAAAAAGAAACCAGTGCTAGGATTACAGGTGTAAGAGCCACCACACCCGGCCTCCTTTTCTTATTAATTCTTCGTCTGTATGTTTATTGTCTGTCCCCTCCCAGCCCCAAACATATGAAGCTCCATGAAGGCAAGGATTCCACCTGTCATACTCACTGCTGTGACCCCCAAACCAAGCACAGAATCAGGCACTTAGCAGGCCTCAGCAAATACTGGACTGGGCTCCTCTGCCTTCTTGGAACCCAGCAAGATCTCCTATCTCAGGACCTTGTCACAAACTATTCTCTCTGCCTAATATATTCCCACTCCCATTCTTTTTTTTTCTTTGAGACAGAAATCTCACACTACAGACGGTTTCACCATGTTGCCCAGGCTGGTCTCGAACTCCTGACCTCAGGTGATCCACCTGCCTTGGCCTCCCAAAGTGCTGGGATTATAGGCCTGAGCCACCCCACCCAGCCTCCCACTCCCATTCTTCACCTGGCTAAGTCCTACCCAGGCTTCGATGTTACCTTGTCAGAGAAACCCCTAGAACTTTCTCCTCAACCCCAGAACCTGCTGTGGTTCTTCACAGCAGCTCACACACTCCAGTTTTGTTTATGCAGGTGATGATTTGATTAACACTTATTTACCCCATTTAACTAACAGCTCCGTGAAAGCGGAAACCCCAGGCTCAGCGCGGTGCCTGCCCAACCCCCTACCTTCCAGCTCAGCACCCTCCCCTGCAAACCTTCGCCCCCCCAGGGACTTGACCTGATGCTTTCCATGTCCCCATTCAGCAGCAGCTCCCCAGTGACCTTCCTTCTCTCCCAGTCTGGATCCCACAGCCTGTCACTGTACTCCCTTTTTTTGTTGTTTTTGAGACGGAGTCTCACTCTGTTGCCCAGGCTGAAGTGCAGTGGTGCAATGACGGCTCACTGCAACCTCTGCCTCCCAGGTTCAAGCGATTCTCCTGCCTCAGCTTCCCGAGTAGCTGGAATTACAGACACACGCCACCACGCCCAGCTAATTTTTGCATTTTTAGTAGAGATGGGGTTTTACTATATTGACTGGGATAGTCTCAATCTGACCGTGTGTTCCGCCCGCCTCAGCCTCCCAAAGTGCTGGGATTACAGGCCTGAGCCACCGCGACCCGCCATGCTGAGCTCATTTTATCCCCAAACCTGCTCTTCCCCAGACGGCCATCTCCAGACAGCCCCACCAACTCCACTCACCAGTCAGCGAAGACGCCATCCTTGCCTCCTCCTTCCTTCCCATCCCTCCTCCTTCCTTCCCATCCCTCCTCCTTCCTTCCCATCCCTCCTCCTTCCTTCCCATCCCTCCTCCTATCTCTGACCAGGGACCTCCTCCCTATCCCAATTCAGACCTAGTCCTGAGTACTTATTATGTGTCAGCTCCCATTCTCATCACTGTCCACGTTACACTCATTTATTCCAGGCTGGGCGCGGTGGCTCACGCCTGTAATCCCAGCCCTTTGGGAAGCTGAGGCAGGCAAACCACGAAGTCAGGAGTTCAAGACCAGCCTGGCCAACGTGGTGAAACCCCACCTCTACTAAAAAAAACAAAAAATTAGCTAGGTATAGTGGCAGGCTCCTGTAGTCCCAGCTACTCAGGAGACTGAGGCAGGAGAACTGCTTGAACCCAGGAGATGGAGACTGCAGTGAGCCAAGATTGTGCCACTGTACCCCAGTCTAGGTGACAAGAGTTGAGACTCCATCTCAAAAAAAAAAAAACCTCATTTATTCCAACGCCAACACAGTGCGGGAGCTACTATTATTATTCCCATTTTATTTTATTTATTTATTTTTTTTTTGAGACGGAGTTTCGCTGTTGTTACCCAGGCTGGAGTGCAATGGCGCGATCTCAGCTCACCGCAACCTCCACCTCCTGGGTTCAGGCAATTCTCCTGCCTCAGCCTCCCGAGTAGCTGGGATTACAGGCACGCGCCACAGTGCCCAGCTGATTTTTTGTATTTTTAGTAGAGATGGGGTTTCACCATGTTGACCAGGATGGTCTCGATCTCTTGACCTCGTGATCCACCCGCCTGAGCCTCCCAAAGTGCTGGGATTACAGGCTTGAGCCACTGCGCCTGGCCCAATTATTCCCATTTTAGAGATGAGGAAACGGAGGCTTTGAGCACTGAAGTCACCTACCCAAAGGCCTATAACCAATAAGGGCAGAGCTAGGATTCAAATCCTAGCTCTGTGTTCAAAAACACTCTGTGTTCAAAAGGGAGATGGGCCAGGCGCAGTGGCTCACCCCTGTAATCCCAGCATTTGGGAGGCCAAAGTGAGCGAATCTATGGAGACCAGGAGTTCGAGACCAGCCTGGCCAACATGACAAAACCCCATCTCTACTGAAAATTAGTTGGGCATGGTGGTGGGCACCTGTAATTGCAGCTACTCAGGAGGCTGAGACAGGAGAATCACCTGAGATGATGCCATTGACCCCCTGCCTGAGCAACAGAGCAAGACTGCATCTCAGTAAATAAATAAAAGGCGGGGAGATGGGAGCTAGAAGGTGGAGTGAGAGTGGTCTCTGTCGGGCTGTGAGGGTGGGGAGCAGGTGCAGAACCAGAACACACAGTACTCACTCCGGAACATTCCAGGGGGGCCCAGAGCCCCCAGACCAAAACTGGAAAAGCTCAGAGGCCTGGAGAGGACAAAAAGAAAAATGGTTAGTCAGTCCCCTGTGGACAGCTGCAGCCCCAGCCATCCCCCTTTGCCCCCAAGTCCCACAGTCCCCAACCTCGACCACCTGAGGCCCGGTGGGACCCAGTTTGGCCTGCAGGGAAGGTGCAGAGATGAGCTGGGCAGAGGACATGGTCGCCATTGTCTGGAAAGCCTTGTCCTTGGAAACCTGGTCCTGGAGGAAGAGGTGGAAGTTCCCGTAAGTGGGGCATGCCAGTCAACATGGCAAGAGGGGAACAATGCTGAGATGGGGCGAGAATGGGGAGGTGCAGAGGTGGGGAGTCAAGGCAAAGGGTTGGTGTCTGGGCATGGTGGCTCACGGCTGTAATCCCAGCACTTTGGAAGGCCAAGGTGGGCAGATCACTTGAGGTCAGGAGTTCAAGATCAGTCTGGCCAACATGGTGAAACCCCGTCTCTACTAAAAATACAAAAATTAGCCAGGTGTGATGGTGCACGACCATAATCCCAGCTATTAGGGAGGCTGAGGCATGAGAATCGCTGGAACCCAGGAGGCAGAGGTTGCCGTGAGTGGAGATCACGCCCCTGCATTCCAGCTTGGGTGACAGAGCGAGACCCTGTCTCCAAAAAAAGGCAAAGGGTTGGGGGAGGGTTGAGCCTCTCACCGTAGCCCTCTGCCCCTCCTCAGGACGGGGCACTAGTCTGAACCCGGCGTGAACATGGGTGGTAGGATGGGCAGGGGGACTTACCACATTCAGAGCCTGCCCATGGGGGTGGGGGAGGGTGCCAAAGGAGGAAAGAAAACATGACTTAGGAAGTGTGGCCCGGACTCCCCCACCTCCCTGCCCTACCCGCCCGCACGGCCCCGCCACTCTGAGCTGAGCAATCCCAGGGGAAGTGGAGGTGGCCAGCCCTGGAGGGGAAAAGGGGCTCCCTGCCCAGAAAGACATCGATGAGGGTTTGCAGAACAAGGAAAGTCAGAAAGTTCGCAGATGTCCAGGCGACAGGAAATGAGAATTTCAGAGCCAGTGGGAAGATGAGGTGAATGTTTCCTCATCCAGACAGAACCGATAGGTAAGAGAGAAGGCTGAGAACAGGACGAAAAGGAAGGGTTTCAGATCTAGAGAGAAAGAAAGGGAAAGCTTCTGGGTATTTAAAACACACACACACACACACCCATCCCCACACCCACACACACACCCCACACATATACACACCACACACACACACCACACACACACCCATTCCCACACACACACCACACACACAGCCACACCACACACACCACAAACACACACACACATACCACACACACCACACGCACACCACACACACACCCACACACCCATCCCCACACCCACATACCACACACACCATATACACACACACCCATCCCAACACACACACAACCACACGCCCACACCCACACACACACCACACACACACCCATCCCAACACACACACAACCACACGCCCACACCCACACACACCACACACACCCCACGCACCCATCCCAACACACACACAACCACACGCCCACACCCACACACACACCACACACACACCCATCCCAACACACACACCACACACACACCGACACCACACACACACCACAAACACACACACATACCACACACACCACACACACACCCACACACCCATCCCCACACCCACATACCACACACACCACACACACACCCATCCCAACACACACACAACCACACACCAACACACACACAACCACACACCCACACACACCCATCCCAACACACACACAACCACACAACCACACACACACCACACACACACCCATCCCAACACACACACACACACACACACACAAAATAACAGGAAGCTGGCTGGGCTTGGTGGCTCACGCCTGTAATCCCAACACTTTGGGAGGCCAAAGCAGGCGGATCACGAGGTCGAGAGAGAGACCATTCTGGCCAGCGTGGTGAAACGCCATCTCTACTAAAAATACAAAAAATTAGCTGGATGCGGTGGAGTGCGCCTGTAATCCCTGCCACTCGGGAGGCTGCGGCAGGACCATCACTTAAACCCAGGTGGCAGAGGTTGCCATGAGCCGAGATTGCGCCACTGCCCTCCAGCCTGGCAAGCGGAGACTCCATCTCAAAACACACACACACACACACACACACACACCACACACACACCCATCCCCACACACACACATCCCCACACCCACATACCACACACACCTATCCCCACACCCACATACCACACACACCACACACACACCCATCCCAACACACACAACCACACACCCACACACACACCACACACACACCCATCCCAACACACACACAACCCACACACACCCATCCCCACACCCACATACCACACACACCACACACACACACATCCCCACACCCACATACCACACACCACACACACACACACACATCCCCACACCCATATACCACACACACCACACACACACATCCCCACACCCACATACCACACACACACACACACACACATCCCACACCATATACACACACACCACACACACATCCCCACACCCACATACCACATACCACACACACCCATCCCAACACACACACAACCACAAACACACACACACCCATCCCAACACACACACACCACACACACACCCATCCCAACACACACAACCACACACACCCATCCCCACACACACACAACCACACACCCACACACACACACCCATCCCCACACCCACATACCACACACACCACACACACACCCATCCCAACACACACACAACCACACACACACCCATCCCCACACCCACATACCACACACACCCATCCCAACACACACACAACCACACACCCACACACACACCACACACACACCCATCCCAACACACACACAACCACACACACACACCCATCCCCACACCCACATACCACACACACCACACACACACACCCATCCCAACACACACACAACCACACACCCACACACCACACACACACCCATCCCAACACACACACAACCACACACCCACACACACACCACACACTCACCCATCCCAACACACACACACACACCAGAAAACGACTGTCCTCAAGTCCAGAAAAAGAGACAGAAAAACCCTGTACACCCAGAAGGGGAAGAAAATGAGGGTCGCAGGCCAGGAGGAGCCAGGAAATCCGAAGGATGAGGAGAAGAAAACGGACGGAATCTCCACCAGGAAGTGAAGATTTATGGTCACAAAGAGTAGGCGGGCCACGCGAAGCCCAGGAAACGAGCAAAGAAACCAGGGGAGACGAAGACGCCTTCACAGCGCGAGAGGGGAAGAGGGGGAAGAATGAGACCACCAGGAAGAGGGAAAGGAGGGACAGGAGCTGAGGGAAGGGAGGGGACAGGAACAGTAGCCAAGGGAGAGGACTGACGGCTCATCCTTCCCACCGTCCTGAGCAAAACCTTTAGCCCCTCCATGCCGCTGCTCCCTGCCCAGGGTCTCAGCCATTGCATCACCATCCCTATCCAGCTCCCTTTGTGGCCACTGACTCTCACCCAAGATGTCTGCACGCGCTGTCCCGTCCAGAGGTCCCTCACTTGAGGTCTCTGTCCCTCTCTCTCTCTGTGTCTCTGTCCCTCTGTGTGTGTGTGTCTCTGTCCCTCTCTCTCTGCGTCTCTGTCCCTCTCTGTGTGTGTGTATCTATCCCTATCTCTGGGTCGCTGTCCCTCTCTCTCTGGGCCTCTGTCCCCCTCTCTCTCTGGGCGTCTGTCCCCCTATCTCTCTGGGTCTCTATCCCCCTCTCTCTGGGTCTCTGTCCCCCTCTCTCTCTGGGTCTCTGTCCCCCTCTCTCTGGGTCTCTGTCCCCCTCTCTCTCTGGGTCTCTGTCCCTCTCTCTCTCTGTGTCTCTGTCCCTCTGTGTGTGTGTCTCTGTCCCTCTCTCTCTGGGTCTCTGTCCCCCTCTCTCTCTCTGGGTCTCTGTCCCCCTCTCTCTCTGGGCCTCTGTCCCCCTCTCTCTCTGGGTCTGTGTCCCCCTCTCTATCTGGGTCTCTGTCCCCCCACTGTGGGTCTCTGTCCCCCTCTCTTTCTGGGTCTCTGTCCGCCCCCCTTCTGGGTCTCTGTCCCTCTCTCTCTCTGGGTCTCTGTCCCCCTCTCTCTCTGGGCGTCTGTCCCCCTCTCTCTCTGGGTCTCTGTCCCCCTCTCTCTCTGGGTCTCTGTCCCCCTCTCTCTCTGGGTCTCTGTCCCCCTCTCTCTGGGTCTCTGTCCCCCTCTCTCTCTGGGTCTCTGTCCCTCTCTCTCTCTGTGTCTCTGTCCCTCTGTGTGTGTGTCTCTGTCCCTCTCTCTCTGGGTCTCTGTCCCCCTCTCTCTCTCTGGGTCTCTGTCCCCCTCTCTCTCTGGGCCTCTGTCCCCCTCTCTCTCTGGGTCTGTGTCCCCCTCTCTATCTGGGTCTCTGTCCCCCCACTGTGGGTCTCTGTCCCCCTCTCTTTCTGGGTCTCTGTCCGCCCCCCTTCTGGGTCTCTGTCCCCCTCTCTCTCTGGGCCTCTGTCCTCCTCTCTCTCTGGGTCTCTGTCCCCCTCTCTGGGTCTCTGTTCCCCTCTCTCTCTGGGTCTCTGTCCCCCTTCTTTCTCTGGGTCTCTGTCCCCCTCTCTCTCTGGGTCTGTCCCCCTCTCTCTCTGGGTCTCTGTCCCCCTCTCTCTTTGGGCCTGTCCCTCTCTCTCTGGGCCTCTGTCCCTCTCTCTCTCTCTGGGCCTCTGTCCCCCTCTTTCTCTAGGCCTCTGTCCCTCTCTCTCTCTGGGTCTCTGTCCCCCTCTCTCTCGGTCTCTGTCCCCCTCTGTCTCTGGGTCTCTGCCCATCTCTCTCTGGGTCTCAGTTCTCCCAACAAGTCTCTGTCCCCCTCTTAGGATGTCTCCGTTGGTCCCTACCTTCAACTTGGACTGTATTTCCCTCGATTTCCTTCGGGCCAAAACCTGGATGTGACTAGAAACCTGGAAGGATCAACAGAGAAGCAGATTTAGGCCGCGGCTCCTGCCCTGTGCTCTGTCCCTTCTCTCCCCGCAGGTGCCTCACTGAGCTGCTGGAACAGGAAAGGTGACAAACACACTGAAGACAAGGCCAGATGCGGTGGCCTGTAACCCAGCATTTTGGGAGGCTGAGGCAGATGGATCACAAGGTCAGGAGTTCGAGACCAGCCTGGCTAACATAGTGAAACCCCATCTCTACTAAAAATACAAAAATTAGCTGGGCGTGGTGGCACATGCCTGTGATCCCAGCTACTTGGGAGGCTGAGGCAGGAGAATTGCTTGAACCCAGGGGCAGAGGTTGCAGTGAGTTGAGATTCCACCATTGCACTCTAGCCTGGGCGACAAGAGTGAGATTTTGTCTCAAAAAAAAAAAAAAAAACCACACTGAAGATGAGCACCAACTCTGGAGCATGCCAACACAAATGTCCACAAAGGAGCTGACGAACACCACGGATCCTCCCGGGCCCATCCCACCCAGGCTTCCTTCCCTCCACCATGCTCTCTGTGGCTCCGTTGGCTCGAACGCAACTGCTAGAAAAACGATCGATCCCCACATAGGCACAGTGAGAGCACGCTAACAGACATGCTGATACAGCTCAGATGTTCGTCCCCTCCAAATCTCTTTTTTTTTTTTGAGACGGAGTCTTACTCTGTCGCCAGGCTGGAGTGCAGTGGCACAATCTCGGCTCACTGCAACCTCCACCTGGGTTCAAGCGATTCTTCCGCCTCAGCCTCCCGAGTACCTGCGACCACAGGTGCGTGCCACCACGCCCAGCTAATTTTTGTATTTTTAGTAGAGACGGGGTTTCACCATGGCCAAGCTGGTCTCGATCTCTTGACCTCATGATCCGCCCGCCTCAGCCTCCCAAAGTGCTGGGATTACAGGCGTGAGCCACCGCGCCCGGCGTCCCCTCCAAATCTCATGCTGAAATGCGATCTCCAGTGCTGGAGGTGAGGCCTGGTGCGATCGGGTCATGGAGGCAAACCCCTCATGAATGGCTTAGCACCATCTCCTTGATGACGAGTGACTTCTCTCTCAGTTCACTCAATATCTGGTTGTTTAGGCTGGGCGCAGTGGCTCACGCCTGTAATCCCAGCACTTTGGGAGGCCGAGGCGGGCGGATCACCTGAGGTTGGGAGTTTACCAGCCTAAGACAAACATGGAGAAAGACAAACATTTCTATTAAAAATACAAAATTATCCGGGCATGGTGGTGCATGCCTGTAATCCCTGCTACTCGGGAGGCTAAGAAGTGGGAGGTGGAGGTTGCAGTGAGCCAAGATCACTCCACTGCACCCAAGCCTGGGTGACAGAGCTAGACTCCATTTCAAAAAATAAATAAACAAATATATAAATAACCCAGCCTCGGGTAATTCTTCATAGCAACGCCAGTGGACTAATGCACACACCAAGAAGACAGATGAAAGCACAGGAACTAGCTTCTTTTCTTTTCTTTTTTTTTTTTTTTTCTTTTAACAGAGTTTTCGCTCCTGTTGCCCAGGCTGGAGTGCCGTAGCGCTATCTGGCTCACAGCAACCTCTGCCTCCCTGGTTCAAGCAATTCTCCTGCCTCCGCCTCCCGAGTAGCTGGGATTACAGGCATGTGTCACCCCGGCTAATTTTGTATTTTTAGTAGAGACGGGGTTTCTCCATGTTGGTCAGGCTGTTCTCAAACTCCCCACCTCAGGCGATCTGCCTACCTCGGCCTCCCAAAGTGCTGGGATTACAGATGTGAGCCACTGCGCCCCGCCCCTCCCCGCCTTTTTTTTTTTAAGACTCAGTCTCACTTTTGTCCGTCAGGCTGCAGTGCAATGGCATGATCTCGGCTCACTGCAACCTCTGCCTCCCAGGTTCAAGCGATTCTCCTGCCTCAGCCTCCTGAGTAGCTGGGATTACAGGCGCCTGCCACTACACCTGGCTAACTTTTGTATTTTTAGTAGAGACGGGGTTTTACTATGTTGGCCAGGCCAGTCTTGAACTCCTGACCTCAGGTGATCCGCCCACCTCAGCCTCACAAAGTGCTGGGATTACAGGCATGAGCCACCGTGCCGGGCCAGGAACCAGTTTCTTCCTTGAACCTGAACCTGCCCATAGGAAGATGACCCTAAGACCGGCCCATCCCAGACGGAAGCCCACAAGTCAGTTCTGAGACCTGTTTTCGAGTTCGGGTCTTCCCTGTTCTCAACTTGATGTAGCGGGCGATCAGTTCATTCCGACCTGAGGATTCAAAGAAGGAACAGAGTTAGACCTTCAGCAGAACTTCCCCACAGCAAGGACACCAGGGAAGAAGAGATAGCAAGGGTCCCCAAAGGTCTGCAGTAACTGGCTGTGGCCCCCTTCCTCAGCTACATGGAAGCCATACTGCTTGGGTTCAAATCCCAGCTCCATCACACACTAGCTCTGTGTGACCATAAGCAAATCACTTAACCTATCTGTGCCTCAGTTTCCTCATCTGTGCAATGGTGATGCTAGCGCCTACTTCAGAGTCATTGCGAGGCTGTAATAAATGTTCCCATGAGCAGCTGTCATTATTCATGGGGGGTGGGGGGCGGGGAAAAAGACAGGAGCAGACTCACCATACATCTTGCCTTCATCGGACAAAATAATTTTCCGGCGGCCGCAGGGTGGGTAGATGGCCAGGGCCTCCTGGAAGCTCTGCTCAATGTCTGGACTCCACACCCCCTCTGCATCCGGGCCCCCATCACCCCCGGCCCCCTCACTGCCACCGGTACCCTCCTCACTGCCTTCCTCACTGCCCGTCCAGCCGCTGCCATCATCCAGGGGGGCCCCAGCCCGGGGTTCCCCCATCTGGGCCTGGAGAACACAGAACTCAGCAAGCTTCCCTCGAACCCCACCCTCCAGGGTCTTGAAGCTGAGAGGGCTGGGCCTCTGGACCGCTGGGTCTGCAGGAGGGAGCTGGGGGCCTGGACTCCTGGGTCTGAGGGAGGAGGGGCTGGGGGTCTGGACTCCTGGATCTGAGGGAGGAGGAGCTGGGGCCTGGACTCCTGGGTCTGAGAGTGGAGGAGCTGGGGCCTGGACTCCTGAGTCTGAGGGAGGAGGGGCTGGGGGTCTGGACTCCTGGGTCTGAGAGTGGAGGAGCTGAGGCCTGGACTCCTGAGTCTGAGGGAGGAGGGGCTGGGGTCTGGACTCCTGAGGCTGAGGGAGGAGAAGGAGCTGGATTCTGGGAAAGCCAAGAATGACAGTGTTCTCTGAGTTTGCAGAGGAACTTGAATTGTGATGAAGTCAACCACGTTGATTACACTAGAGTGATTACCCCAGAGGAATGCCAAGGGCCATGAGGGCTAAAGGTTAGGGTATGAACTATGGGTTGAAAAAAGACAGGAGGCAAGAGCTACTATCAGGAAAGGAGGGTGTGGTGAGACCTTCCCAGTCCCACCCCGAGAACAGGTGCGAGGATGTGAGCAGCAGCTGTGACAAGAAAGAGGGGCCCAGTAAGATTGAGAGGAGGCCTAGAGAGAGGGACAGAGACCCAGAGAGAGAGGGGGACAGAGACCCTGAGAGAGAGGGGGACAGAGACCCAGAAAGAGAGAGGGACAGAGACCCTGAGAAAGAGGGGGACAGAGACCCAGAGAGAGAGGGGGACAGAGACCCTGAGAGAGAGGGGGACAGAGACCCAGAGAGAGAGAGGGACAGAGACCCTGAGAGAGAGGGGGACAGAGACCCTGAGAGAGAGGGGGACAGAGACCCAGAGAGAGAGAGGGACAGAGACCCAGAGAGAGAGGGGGACAGAGACCCAGAGAGAGAGGGGGACAGAGACCCAGAGAGAGAGAGGGACAGAGACCCAGAGAGAGAGGGGGACAGAGACCCAGAAAGAGAGAGGAACAGAGACCCAGAGAGAGAGGTGGACAGAGACCCAGAGAGAGAGGGGGACAGAGACCCAGAGAGAGAGGGGGACAGAGACCCAGAGAGAGAGAGGGACAGAGACCCAGAGAGAGAGGGGGACAGAGACCCAGAGAGAGAGAGGAACAGAGACCCAGAGAGAGAGGTGGACAGAGACCCAGAGAGAGAGGGGGACAGAGACCCAGAGAGAGAGGGGGACAGAGACCCTGAGAGAGAGGAGGACAGACCCAGAGAGAGAGAGAGGGACAGAGACCCAGAGAGAGAGGGGGACAGAGACCCAGAAAGAGAGGGGAACAGAGACCCAGAGAGAGAGGGGGACAGAGACCCAGAGAGAGAGAGGGACAGAGAGAGACCCTGAGAGAGAGGAGGACAGAGACCCAGAGAGAGAGGGGGATAGAGAGCCAGAGAGAAAGAGGGACAGAGACCCAGAGAGAGAGGGTGACAGAGACCCAGAGAGGGGGGCAGAGACCCAGAGAGAGGGGGGAAGAGACCCAGAGAGAGAGGGACAGAGACTAAGAGAGAGAAGGGGACAGAGACCAGAGTGGGGGAGACAGAGACCCAGAGAGAGGGGGACAGAGACCAAGAGAGAGGGGGGGACAGAGACCAAGAGAGAGAGGGAGACAGAGACCCACAGAGGAGATGTTGGTGGGGAGGGGGGAAGTGGGGGACAGAGACCTAGAGAGAGAAAGAGAAAGAGATCCAGAGAGAGGGCGACAAGAGACCCAGATAGAGGGAGGGAGGCCTAGAGACGGCAGGGACAGAGACTCAGGGCAGCAGAGGCCGAGACCAGGAGAGACCCACAGAACCAGGTTGAGGGACAGGGGCGCCCTGCCATCAGGAGAGCCAGAACAAAGGGCCCAGGCGTCCCCTCCCCCAGCTTCCCACAACCCCCATCAGGGGAGGGGCCGGCCGGCCAGGGCGACTCCCCTCCGGCCCCGGGCCCCGCCCCTCTCCTCCCCTCCCCCGTGCGCCGTGGGCTCAGATCCAACTCAAGTTCCCAGCGACTTTCCGGAGGCCGGGAACAGGGAAAACTTTTTCCAATACAGTCAGATCCCGCCTCCCCGGAGGCTCCATGTCCTCCACAGCTTTCCCAGGACCCCAGAGTCCAAGCCCCCATAACCCTCCTCCCGCAGACCCTAGCAGACAAAGACCCCAGGCCAAGCCCACTGACGTTGCGGCGTTCAGGACCCCCGTAGGCCAAAATCCCAGCCCAGCCCTCCCCCATGTGGCCAGACAAAGGGACGGTGGAGCCGGGTAAGAAAGGTCCCCCTAATTTCCCGCCCCAGACCCTAAACCTACAAAGAGGCAAGAGTTAAGATCCAGAAAGCCCCGTCACCTCCCCTCGGCCACCCCAGAGACCCTCCCTTCTCCGTAAGAAGGACCAGATGCCCCCAAGATTACACACTGGGTCGTTCTCACTCCAAAGTGACACCGCGCAGACACTCGCACGCCCCACACCCCGCCAGCGCCCTCGGCCCTGCACCCGCTCCTATGCGCACGCCCAAACTCAGACCCAGCCGCAGGCACCCTAACTCCGACCAGAGTTCCCAATCCTCACTAAGGCTTGGTCTGGGGCGCAAACTCCGGGCCCCGGGCAAAAAGAGGGCGGCAAGCCGTTCGGAGAGGGTCCCGCAAACGCACGGCTCACCTCCTAACCATCCACTCCCCACCCCAACTCACACACCCCAAAGCAGGATCCCCGACTCCCGCTGGTGCCTTCCTACCTCCCGGCCAGGGGCTGGGGAGCCGCGGGCGGGCGGGGCGCTGCGAGGGAGAAAGTTGCCGGGAGCTTTGTTTGGGAAAAGTGGGAGGGACCGGAGGGGGGGCGGGCCCGGGCGGCGGACAGCGGGAAGGGGTATCCGACGGTGACAGTTTGGGGGCGGATTTTTGCTTTGGGAGAGATAAGTCTATCTTGGAGCTGGTAGGAACTCAGCATTTGGATGCTTGGGAAAGGAGCGGGTTTGGGGCTTCGGACTGCAGGTCGGAGGGAAGAGGTTGATGGGAGCCAGGAACCCCTGGTCTGAGGGAGGAGAGGCTAGGGGCTGGGACTCCTGGGTCTGGGGTAGTATGGGACTGGAAATACGGACTCCTGAGTCTGAGAAGGGACGGGGCTGGGCTTTCTGGAATCCCGGCTACCCTCTAGTGTTTGTGTATTGGGTGCCGTGGAAGTGATACGAATATAATTAATCTTTACTGTTCAGTTTCCTATGACAACAAGGTGTAATCTCAACATAGTTAAGAGTCGTGGGCAAAACCACCGGGAGTTTATTGGAGGCCCACGTAGGTGCAGATTCCTCATCCACAGGCGTTAGTGGACTAGAGGTGGCTGGCGGCTGTCCCAGGACCAGAAAGAGAGCCCTGGTGCCTTGAGGGAAGACGGCTTAGGGCCCGGTCCCTTATGGGTGAAGGGCTAGGTATTCAAAATTACGGGACTAGAGGGGGCTAGGGCCCGGACCTGGGGTCCTCAGGGAAAAGGGAACTCGGATTCCTGGTTCCCTGGAAGATGAAATAGACGACTGGATCTAGGGTTTCCGGAGAGAACGGGACTTTTTAGTGGAATCGGAGTGGGAAAACCAGACGGGACACGGAGAAAAGGCTCCCGAGACAGATACAAAATTAGAGTGAGAACTAAAAAGTCTGCTCGTCAGAGCATATAGAGCCTTAATAAATAAATAAATAAATAAATAAATAAATAAATAAATAAATAAATAATAAATAAAAGGGCTTCTCGGATTCCGGCGTCTCCAGCAGGAGTCTAGGACTGGAACTCCAGGTGCTAAGGGCAAGATCTGGAGAGCAGGGGCGTGGCGTTAAGCCAAGGGGCGTGGCCACCTGCGATTGGGCGGGACTCCGAAAAGAGGGCCGCAATCAGAAAAAGCAGACCAGACGGGGCTCCCAGGGCTCAGGTCAACCGACAGGGGCGTGGTCTGATTGAGTGGGCGTGGCCAGGGACTGAACTCAAGCTCTGGCTTAAGAGGTGTGGTGAACGAAGAATGGGGCGTGGCTCTGTCACCAACGGCGAGGTCGTGAAGAAGAGGCCGAGGCTCACGGGTGAGACCAGCAAGTTTGAGGCGTGGTCAAACAATAGGGGCGTGGCTAGGGTTCGTAGAGCGCAACCAAAGCTCGAGACCAGACCTGGGCTCGAGACCAGAACTGTTTGTGTTTAACAGTCCGTGGGCGGCCGGAGTGCGGGAGTCCAGTGAACGGGCTGTGGTCTAGCATAAAGGCGGAACCCAGAAGAAGGGGTGGGGCGTGGTAGAAGGTGAGGATTGAGGTCTGGTCGTGAATGTGGGCAAAAGTGAGGAAACAGACCATTAGATCTGCCCGGGCGCTGTAGCTCACACCTGTAATCCCAGCACTCTGGGAGGCCCAGGTGGTCAGATCGCTTAAGATCCGGAGTTCGAGACCAGCCTAGGCAATGTGTCAAAACCCCATCTTTACAAAAAATACAAAAATTAGCCGGGCATGGTGGTGCAAGCCTGTGGTCCCAGCTACTTCGGTGGGAGCGGGGAGGGGCTGAGGTGGGAGAATCACCTGAGCCCGGGGAGGTCGAGGCTGCCGTGAGCCGTGATTGTGCCACTGTACTCCAGCCTGGGCGACAGAGTCTGGATCTCAAAAACTAAAAAAAAATAAGAACCCAGAAGAACCGGACCTGGGAGAAGAGGGGGCCTGGCAGGGTGGAAGGTGTGGGAGTAGAAGAAAGGAGCAGTGGGGGAAATATGTGCAGTGTGGGAGTTGCCTGGACTGGGGAGGCAGCTTGGGCAAGGAGCTGGAGAGGGGCGTCTTGGGTGGGGCCATGGTCACTGTGGGGTGGTGGGAACCGTGAGGAGGTGGGGCTCTGACCCGGACCCTTGCCACAGCCTCCCCGCCTGTCCCCGCAATGCGGCACCCACTGGTCCTGCTGCTGCTCCTCTCTGCCCTGGTGAGCCCCTCCACTGCAGCACCTATCCACCATGCTGATGCCCAAGAGAGCTCCTTTGGTCTTACAGGCCTCCAAAGCCTGCTCCAAGTCTTTAGCCGACTTTTCCTGAAAGTAAGCAATGGCGGGGGGGGGGGGGGGCTAAGAAGAGGTTCAGGCACACAGACTGGGAGATGGTTCAGGGGGACACACAGGACAAGAGTCAATGGGACAGAGAGACAGGGCAACAGGAAGACCAAGGGATAGCAAGAGGGAAGGGGCCGAGTATGGTGGCAAATTTCTGTAATCACAGCACTTTGGGAGGCCAAGGCAGGAGGATCACTTGAGCCCAGTAGTTAGAGACCAGCCTGGGCAACATTGTGAGACCCTCACCTGTACCAAAAAAAAAAAAATTAGTCACACATAGTAGTATGCGCCTGTAACCCCAGCTACTTGGGAGGCTGAGGTGGAAGGGTCCTTTGAGCCCAGGAGATCGAGACTGCACTCTAGCCTGGGTGACAGACCAAGGACACCCTGTCCCTAAATAAATAAATATATACATGCATAAATGAGAGGAAAGGTAACAGGCAAGGAGAGAGGGAGATGGGAAAGAGACAAGAGACTGGGGAATGTCCAGGCACGGTGGCTCACACCTATAATCCCAGCACTTTGGGAAGCTGAGGTTGGCAGATCACAAGGTCAGGAGTTTGAGACCAGCCTGGCCAACATGATAAAACCCCATCTCTAAAAAAAATTAGAATTAAAAAATTTAGCTGGGTGCAGTGGTGTGCACCTGTAATCCCAGCTACTTGGGAGGCAGAGGCAGGAGAATCGCTTGAACCCGGGAAGCAGAGGTTGCAGTGAGCCAAGATCATACCACTGCACTCCAGCCTGGGCAAAAGAGTAAGACTTTGTCTCAAAAAAAAAAAAAAAGAGAGAGAGACTGGGGAAAGAGACAGGAGGAGAGAGCGTTGGGGACAGAAGAGGGGCAGGGATAATAAGGCAAAGAGACTGAGAATAGAGACGGAATAGATGGGGGATGGAGGCCAGAGGTTAGGCCTTTAGTGTCAGAATGCAGAAAGTAAAAGGGATGGGAGGGACAAGGGGCAAGGCCTCGGGGACATCCTAGAAGGGGCTGTACGGGGAGATGTGAGGTCCAGCAGCTCACCAGTCCCTCCTCCAGCCACAGGATGACCTGCTTCGGGGCATGGACAGCTTCTTCTCTGCCCCCATGGACTTCCGGGGCCTCCCTAGGAACTACCACCAAGAGGAGAACCAGGAGCACCAGCTGGGAAACAACACCATCTCCAGCCACCTCCAGATCGACAAGGTGCCTGTGCAGGGAAGCCCTTCCTGGAGTTCCCTTGGGATCCTTCCATCCTTCCATCCTTCCATCCCTCCTGCTGCAGTATCAGTTGGGAGGGATGGAGGGCAAAGGAGGAAAGCAGGTTTGCTCTCACTCTCTCATCTGATCTTCACAGGTGACAGACAACAAGACAGGAGATGTGCTGATCTCTGAGAAGGTGGTGGCATCCATCCAGCCGGCAGAGGGGAGCTTCAAGGGTGACTGGAAGGTTAGGACATGCCGCGCCCTCAGAGTGTCCAGGCCTCAACATTTTCTTTTTTTCTTTTCTTTTTTTAAAGCAGAGTCTCGGCCAGGTGTGGTGGCTCACACCTGTAATCCCAGCACTTTGGGAGGCCGAGGTGGGTGGATCATGAGGTCAGGAGTTTGAGACCAGCCTACCCAGCATGGTGAAACCCCATTTCTACTAAAAATACAAAACAATTGGCCGTGTGTGGTGGTGACCACCTGTAGTTCCAGCTACTCGGGAGGCTGAGGCAGGAAGACTGCTTGAACCCAGGAGGCGGTTGCAGTGAGCCAAGATCACCCCACTGCACTCTAGCCTTGGGGACAGAGTGAGACTCCGTCTCCAAAAAAAAAAAAAAATCAAAAAAGTAGTCAGGTGTGGTGGCATGTGCTGTGGTTCGAGCTACTCAGAAGGCTGAGGTGGGAGGATTGCTTGAGCCAAGGAGGTTGAGGCTAGAGTGGGCCCAGATCATGCCACTGCACTCTAGCCTGGGCAATAGAGTGTTTTGTTTTGAGGATATACCAAGTAAAAAATGTTCTTTTTATTATTATTTTTTTTTGGAGCCTCACTCTATTGCCCAGGCTGGAATGTAGTGGCACCATCTTTGCTCACCGCAATCTCCACCTTCCAGGTTCAAGCAATTCTCCTGCCTCAGCCACCCGAGTAGCTGGGACTACAGGCGCTTACCACCATGCCTGGCTAATTTTTGTATTTTCAGTAGAAACCAGATTTCACCATATTGACCAGGATGGTCTCGATCTCCTGACCTTGCAATCCACCCACCTCTTTAGGAGCCTTTGCCTCCCAAAGTGCTGGGATTACAGGCAAGAAAAGTTTTTTTTAATAATACAATAAATATACCTATAGTCTCTTTTCCATAAACCAGAATTTCTCAAGGTTGGCATAATTGGCACATGGGGCTGGAGAATCTGTTGTGGAGCTGCCCTGTGCATGGTAGGGTATTTGGTAACATCCCTGGGCTTTACCCACGAGAGAGAAGTAGCCTCCTGCCAGGCGAAGTGGCTCACACCTGTAATCCCAGCACTTTGGGAGGCTGAAGTGGGAGAATCACGAGGTCAGGAGTTTGAGACCGGCCTGGCCAACATAGTGAAACCTGTCTGTACTAAAAACACAAAAAAATTAGCCGGGCATGGTGGCATATGCCTGTAATCCCAGCTACTGGGGAGGCTGAGGCAGGAGAATTGCTTGAACCTGGGAGGCAGAGGTTGCAGTGAGCCGAGATCACACCATTGCACTCCAGTCCGGGCAACAGGATGAGACTCCGTCTCAAAAAAAAAAAAAAAACAGAGAGGTAGCGTCCTCACTCACACTGGTTGTAACTCCCAAAAATCTCTCCAAACTTCAATTGAGAACCCCGGCCTAGATTGAGGCTTGTTAACATTTTATCTATTTTTTTTTTAATTTTATTTTTTTATTTCTGAACCATATGACAGGAAATGGCTGACATCATGACACTTCACCCATAAATATTTCAGCAGACTCTCCAGAGACTGTATTTTCCCACAAGACCATAATACCATTTAATTTTCTTTTTTTTTTTTTTGAGACCAAGTCTCACTCTGTCACGCAGGCTAGAGCGCAGTGCCCTAATCTCAGTTTACTGCAACCTCCGCCTCCTGGGTTCAACCGATTCTCCTACCTCAGCCTCCTGAATAGCTGGGATTAAAGGTGCATGCCATGCACTCAGCTAATTTTTGTATTTTTAGTAGAGATGGGGTTTCACCATGTTGACCAGGCTGGTCTTGAGCTCCTGACCTCAGATGATCCACCCATCTTGGCCTCCCAAAGTGCTGGGATTATAGGCGTAAATCACTGCACCTGGCCCACAGTACCATTTTCACACCCAAGAAAATGTGGCTATCAAACTGTTTTGGGATTTTTGTTTTTGTTTTTTGAAGGCGGGTCTCACTCTGTCACCCAGACTGGAGTGCTGTGGTGTGATCTCAGCTCACTGCAACCTCCTCCTCCCAAATTCAAGAGATTCTCTGGCCTCTGCCTCCAAATAGCTGGGATTATAGGCACACACCACCAAACCCAGCTAATTTTTGTATTTTTAGTAGAGTCAGGGTTTCACCATGTTGGCCAGGCTGGTCTCGAACTCCTGACCTCAAATGATCCACCACCTCAGCCTCCCAAAGTGCTGGGATGGCAGGCATGAGCCACCGTGCCTGGCCTATCAAGCTGTAAGTACAGTATTACTTCACTAGGGCCGCCGTAACGAAGTACCACAAACTGGGTGGCTCAAACAGAAATTGATGGTCCCACAATTCTGGAAGCTGAACATTGAAGATCAAGGTGTCAGCAGGGTGGTTCCTTCCGAGGCTGTGAGGGACAATCTGGTGCTTTGCTGGCCACCTATAGTGTTCTTTGGTTATGAAATCATCACCCTGATCTCTGCCTTTGTCTCCATTTGCTGTACTCCCATGTGCATTTGTGTCCGAATTTTCCCTTTGCATAAGAACACTAGTCACAGGCTGGGCGTGATGGCTCACACCTGTAATCCCAGCACTTTGGAAGGCTGAGGTGGGCAGATCACCTGAGGTTAGGAGTTTAAGACCGGCCTGGCCAACGTGGTGAAACCCCATCTCTACTAAAAATGGAAAAAGTAGCTGGCATGATGGTGTGCCCTTGTAATCCCAGCTACTCTGGAGGCTGTAGTGGGAGAACTGTCTGAATCCGGGAGGCAGAGACTGCAGCAAACCGAGATCGTGCCCCTGCACTCCAGCCTTGGCGACAGAGCCAGACCCCATCTCAAAAAAAAAAAAAAAAAAAAAAAAAGAACACCAGTTATGTTAGATTAGGGCCAAATCTAATGTCCTCTTCTTCACTAACTATATCTGCAATGACCCTAGTTCCAAATAAGGCCACCTTCTGAGGTATTAGAGGTTAGGATTTCAAAATATTAATTTGGGGAAGAAACAATGTAGTTTCTTTTTTTGACTCTGTCACCCAGGCTGGGTGCAGTGGCATGATCTCGGCTCACTGCAGCCTCCGCCTCCCGGGTTCAAGCGATTCTCCCACCTCAGCCTCCCAAGTGGCTAGGATTACAGGCACGTGCCATCATGCCTGGCTATTTTTTGTATTTTTAGTAGAGATGGGGTTTTATCATGTTGGCCGGGATGGTCTCAAACTCGTGACCTTGTGATCTGCCCACCCTAGTCTCCCAAAGTGGTGGGATTACAGGGATGAGCCTTCGAGCCTGTTCAGAAGGAAACAATTTAACCCATAACAGTCTCCTACAGGGCTTCTGAGACCTCATCATACTAAAAGGCAGACTGATTCAGCAGGGCTGGGTGGGGTGGAACCCATTAGTTTGTATACGTCACAACAGCAGCCACCCTTTGAACTGCAAGGACCAAATAGACACTCAGTCTGTATTCAAACTTCCTCCCTTGACTCAAAGCTGTCCTTGAAAGCTTTTGATCCAGGACCAATGAAGGATCACACATTGCATTTATGGTCCTGAGTCTTCAGTAAACCCAACAGCTTTTAGTCCCAAAGTGCTTTGTACATTTTAAACTGCTACCCTCTAAACCTCAGAGAGGATTTAACCCTAAAGTGCTCTGTAATCCCAACAAGCATAATAATCCCTGAAGTGCTCTATTACCTCCCTTCTGAAAGCCCCCAAATGAATTTCCATCCCAAACCTGAATATTTTTAATCCTTAAGTGTAAACTCAAGTGCTTTGTAAACCTCAAAGAGGGCTTTTGAACCCGCAAAGCACCCTGTCATCTGCAAAGTAGGCTGAATAGGTCAGTGGGGACTGGCCATCCTGGGGTGTTGCTTGGAGTAAGAAAGGGTCTCCTTGTTCTTCCTCCCCAGGTACCCAGGATGGAGGAGAAGGAGGCCCTGGTGCCCATCCAAAAGGCCATGAACAGCTACCACGCAGAACTCCATCCCCGGGTGGCCTTCTGGATCATGAAGCTGCCACGGCAGAGGTCCCACCAGGATGTCCCTGAGGGTGGCCACTGGCTCAGCGAGAAGCGACACCGCCTGCAGGCCATCCGGGATGGGCTCCGTGAGGGGACCCGTGACGACGTTTTAGAAGAGAGGACCCAGGGCTTCTCCCACTTCAGGCTGTTCCCCCGAAAGACCCACTTACTGTACATCTTTAGGCCCTCCCGGCAGCTGTAGGGGTGGGGACCGGGGAGCACCTCCCTGTAGCCCCCATCAGATCCCACCCCAAGCACCATATGGAAATAAAAGTTCTTACTTACATCTAACCATGCCATCTCCTTTCAGGATTTATCCCCAACCCCCTGCCAACCACGCCACGGCAAAGCCCCCCAGTCCCAGCTCTGAGCATGACAGGTGGCTGTGCTAGCTCTTGCCTAAATCTCCCAGGCTTGGTTTTCTCATTCAGACATCTGTCCTCTAACCCCATCTATCCACTCAGCACCCAACCCTGTCACCTCTAGCCCTGTCTACACTCTCAACTCTCAGCTTTTTTTTTTTTTTGAGACAGGGTCTTACTCTGTCACCCAGCCTGGAGTGCAGTGGCACAATCACGGCTCACTGCAGCCTCAACCAATCCTCCCACCTCAGCCTCCCAAATAGCTGGGGCCACAGGTGTGTGCTGCCACGCCCAGCTAATTTTTATATTATTTATAGAGATGGGGTCTCCTTATGTTGCTCAGGCTGGTCTTGAATTCCTAGGCTCAAGCAAACCTCTCACCTCGGCCTCTCAAAGTGCTGGGATTACAGGCTTGAGCCACTGTGCCTGGCCCCCAACTCTTTCACTCCAGGCCTGTCTGTCCAGTTGGCCCCTATACCGTTACTGCCATAACAAATGGGCACAAACTTGGCCACTTAAAACAGAACGCAAACAACAAACAAACAAAAAAAACACAAATGCATTACTTCCCAGATCATCGTGGTCAGAAATCCAGGATGGCTCCACCAGCCCCCACCTGAGCTCTCATTGGAAGGCTCTGGGAAGAAGTTGCTTTCAAGCTCATTCAGATTTTCAGCAGAATTGAGTTCCTGGGCTTGTGGGACTGAGGTCCCCGCATTCTCAGTGGCTGTCTGTGGGTAATCCCCCATATAGGCACCAAGGAATGAGAGGTAAGCAGAACCCTGGCACAGTTAGGGCTTGAAGAATATCTCACTTTATAGTGTTACTATAAAAAGAGCCCTGGGTCCTCTCTTCTAAAACATCTAAATAGTGTCAGCTATTTCCTTTTATGTAATCCTTTATATAATCATATATTAGTTTATAGAATCAGGGCTTGTAGAATCCCTTTATATAATGCTCTATATATAATCATATAATAGTTGATAGTATGAGTGCCTAAAGAATATTTCCCTACATATACACCTACAATTATATCTTAGTTCATAATCGGAGGAATGCCTGGAGTGGACACAGTACAGAGCACAAATTAAGGAATAAGCAGCTTATAATCAGAGGAATGCCTAGAGCAGACACAGTGCAGAGCATGATTTAAGGGACAAACAGTTATGCCAGGACAAGAATCCATGGCCCAGGCAGCAGCGTTCAGTATCGTAAAGATACCTGCTGTATGGCAGGCTTGGGGCGAGAGCCACTCCTCCTGATCAAGGAGTTGTAGGATCTTGCTCCAGTTCTTGTGGAAGGCTGCCCTCAGAACGGCAATCCACCTTGGTGACTGTGTACTTACCAGCTCTTAAAGCATCTTCCCATAGAACCCATTGGAAGCTGCCAGAAGGTGGCAGTTGTAGGGCACGTTGGGAGCCAGATGTAAGGCTGATGGCCCCACAGGGTCGTGGGGTGAGCCTTATGCTGTGCTGAGGCACAGGATCCGAGAAATAAAGAGATAGGACACAGAAGTACAAGGAAAACGCAGCTGGGCTTGGGGGGCCACGCCACCTATAAGCAGAGTCAGGCGAGGCCCCAAATGTCCAGAAGCATGAGTATTTATTGTGCATAGGTTAGGGGGCAGGGCAGTGAGTGAAATCATCTTTAAGGATAGTGATAGGGTCGTGATCAATAAAACATGGGGTCCACCCCCAATAGGTCACCTAGGGCAGAAGGTGGACAGTGCATAGTAAGGGGCCCGTTCCCATGAAGGCAAGGGCCGTGCGCAGTAAGGGGTCCACCCCATTAGGTCACCGAGGTTTGAAGGTGGGCCATGCGTAGTGTGCAATACTTCTATCTATGGTCAAACTACTTGTAGGAAGATTTATAGGAGGATGCTTTAAGTCACATAGCAGTGACAGAGCTGTCAGGGTTACTGCCACCTTCTGGCAGCTTCCAATGGGTTCTATGGGAAGATGCTTTTCAAGCAGCACAGTAGCAAGAGCTGGTAAGTTCACAGTCACCAAGGTGGATTGCCGTTCTGAGGGCAGCCTTCCATAAGAACTGGAGCAAGGTCCTACAACTCCTTTATCAGGAGGAGTGGCTCTCGCCCCAAGCCTGCCATACAGCGGGTATCTTTACGATACTGAACACTGCTGCCTGGGCCATGGATTCTTGTCCTGGCATAACTGTTTTTCCCTTAAATCGTGCTCTGCACTGTGTCTGCTCTAGGCATTCCTCCGATTATAAGCTGCTTATTCCTTAATTCATGCTCTGTACTGTGTCCACTCCAGGCATTCCTCCGATTATGAACTAAGATATAATTATAGGTATATATGTAGGGAAATATTCTTTAGGCACTCATACTATTAACTATTATATGATTATATATTGAGGACTATATAAAGGGATTCGTCAAGCCCTAATTCTATAAACTAATATATGATTATATAAAGGATTATATAAAAGGAAATAGCTGAGTGGTAACACTATAAAGTGAGATATTCCTCAAGCCCTAACTGTGCCAGGGTTCTGCTTAGCTCTCATTCCTCGGTGCCTATAAGGGGGGTTACCCACAGCGGCAACCTTGACAGCTCTGTCACTGCTATGTGACTTAAAGCCTCCTCCTATAAATCTTCTTAGAAGTAGTTTGCCCATAGATAGAAGTATTGCACACTGCACCCTCTTCACTGCGCACGGCCCACCTTCAAGCCTAGGTGACCTAATGGGGGAGGACCCCATGTTTTATTGCTCACGACTCTATCACTATCCTTAAAGATGATTTCGCTTACTGCCCTGCCCCCTAACCTATGCACAATAAATACTCACGCTTCTGGACATTAGGGACCTCGCCTGACTCCACTTATAGGTGGCGTGGCCCCCTGAGCTCAGCTGCGTTTTCTTGTACTTCTGTGTCCTGTCTCTTTATTTCTCAGATCCTGCGCCTCAGCACAGCATAAGGCTCACCCCACGACCCTGTGGGGCACACAGCCCTACAGCTGTCAGCTGGGGGCCACCCACGCTTAGCTTCAAGAGGCCTCTCTCCAGTTACTGCATGTGGGCCTGACATCACAGAGCCACAGCCCAGCCCCGCGGGGGACCCTGCCAACCCCTGCGTCCCATCTCTGGTATGCCTTCCTTCCTCTTCTGGCAGAGACAGTTCTCTACTTTGAAGTACTCATGCAATTGGACTGGACCCACCTGGACAACGTATTTACAGGTTCCAGGAATTAGAGGGTAATCATCTTTGGGGGACTGTTATCCAGCCCCACTCGCGTCCTGCCCGTGTCACCTCCAGCCTCGACTCTGTATGTCCACAGCCTATGTTTGCCCTCTCCGTCTTGCCCTGACTCCCCTGACGGACTGACCCATCTCCGACTTGCTGTTTCTCTTTCTTTGTTGCGCAAACTGTCCCTCCCTGATCATCACCTCAAACTCCATCACTTCCAGGCCTGATGCCTCATCCAAACTTGGAAGCTCACAGAGCTTGCCTTTGGTGGTCTGTCCACTTCGTCCTTCCCCAGAGCAGTTCTTGTCCCCCACTAAAATCCTCCCTCATGACTCACCAAGGAGAAGGCTGATCTGATCCTCCCCTGTGCTGAGTCCCATCTAGGACCCAGACACGGCATTTACTTTCTCCAGTGAAGCCCAGGCTGAGGGCTAGATCACCCCATAGACTCGCCCACTCAGGAAACCAGCAGTGAATACAATGAATACAAGTCAACTTCTTTTTTTTGAGATGGAGTCTCGCTCTGTCGCCCAGGCTGGAGTGCAGTGGCCCAATCTCGGCTCATTGCAATCTCTGCCTCCCAAGTTCAAGTGATTCTTGTGCCTCTCAGCCTCCCAAGTACCTGGGACTACAGGCGCTCGCCACCATGTCCAGCCAATTCTTGCATTTTTAGTAGAGACAGGGTTTCACCATGTTAGGCAGGCTGGTCTCAAACTCCCAACCTCAGGTGATCTGCCCACCTCAGCCTCTTAAAGTGCTGGGATTATAGGCGTGAGCCATCTCGCCCAACTTTTTTTTTTTTTTGAGATGGAGTCTCACTCTGTCGTCAGGCTGGAGTGCAGTGGCGCGATCTCAGCTCACTGCAACCTCCGCCTCCCGGGTTCAAGCAGTTCTCCTGCCTCAGCCTCGTGAGTAGCCAGAACTACAGGTGCACATCGCCACGCCCAGCTAATTTTTGTATTTTTGGTAGAGATGAGGTTTCACCATGTTGACCAGGCTGGTCATGAACTCCCAACCTCAGGTGATCTGCCCACCACTGCCTCTCAAAGTGCTATGATTACAGGCGTGAGCCACTGCGCCCGGCCAAGTTTAGCTGCTTCTAAGGCCTCTCTCCTTGGCTTGAGGATGGCTGCTTTCTCACGGTATCTTCACACTGGCTTTTATTTGCAATTCTAGAATAGGGGAGTACCTCATTCTATAAATAAAAAAAAAAAGAGCCAGGTGTGGCATCAGGCACCTGTAATCGCAGCTACTGGGGAGGCTGAGGCAGAAGAATTGCTTGAACCTGGGAGGCGGAGGTTGCAGTGAGCCAAGATCATGCCACTGCACTCCAGCCTGGGTGACAGAGTGAGACTCTGTCTCAAAACAAATAAACAAACAGAGTTACTTTACTTGTAAAGGTTCAAACAGAGGGGACTTCTTTATCATGCTAGCTAGGAGATGTGGCAATTATCTCTCTCTCCTCTCTCCTAATTTCTCAGAGGTTAGGTAACTTAGTTTCAGCTTGCTGACATGGAAGCAGCATGAGTGACTCCACTGGTCTCTCAGGCCTAGTATAGGAGCTCAGTCCAAACCAACGGCTTCCTATAATTTTTTTTTTGAGATGGAGTCTTGCTCTGTTGCCCAGGCTGGAGTCCAGTGGCGTGATCTCTGCTCACTACAACCTCTGCCTCCTGGGTTCAAGAGATTCTCCTGGCTGGCATGGTGGCTCATGCCTG